TTTCTGACGTTAAAACCACCAGCGCGCCAAGAGGCCCGCCAGCCTGGGATCACGGCCGGCACCACGGAGGCACCGCCTGCCAGCCCGGCCTTCCTCGGGGCACCCTCCTGGCTGCAGTCATCGGCCCCCTGACAGCGACCCCTCGCCGTGTCCCTCCTGATGACAAGCCCTCCCGTCCGGCACAGAGGCCCGTCCGGGTGCACCGGAGGCTGCCGGGCCGAGCAGTGCTGGGAAAGCCAGTGGGATGTTCTTTGGCCAATCCACAGTGTCCCAATGTGGCTGCTGTCAGGCGGCTCCGGAGCAGGAGGGCAGGGGCAGGGAGGGCGTGTTGTTTTAACTGTTTGGCATGATGGCAACGCGCTCCTTCAGACTCATCCTTTCACAGACACATGGAGATGCGGCTAAAGTGGCCCTAACTCTTAAAGGTTAATAACGGACAGATACACTAAGTCATCCTGTGATACAGGCGGCCGCGGGGTGTCCCTAGTCAGAGCGTCACTCAGAAACGCTGGAGTTCTCCCAGCAGCTGCCGAGCTGGTCCTCTAACGGAAGGCACGTCCCCCCGGGGAGTCTGACTTTTGTTACGGACGTAAAGTGGAGTCACTCATATTGTCATAGAAATAGAGTTTTAAGGCACTCCAGCATTTCTCTTCGTCAGGCAGCGTTTTGAACATAGATCATTTCACAGGCAAATTAACACTCAATGCTGTTAACACTCCATCCGTCTGGATATTTTCCTTCCTTACCCCGGGCTTACCCAGGAGGCTATGCCGGGATGGTGAGCCCGTGCTTACCCAGGAGGCTATGCCGGGATGGTGAGCCCGTGCTTACCCAGAAGGCTATGCCGGGATGGTGAGCCCAGGCTTACCCAGAAGGCTATGCCGGGATGGTGAGCCCGGGCTTACCCAGAAGGCTGTGCCGGGATGGTGAGCCCGGGCTTACCCAGAAGGCTATGCTGTGATGGTGAGCCCGGGCTTACCCAGAAGGCTATGCCGGGATGGTGAGCCCGGGCTTACCCAGAAGGCTATGCTGTGATGGTGAGCCCGGGCTTACCCAGGAGGCTATGCCGGGATGGTGAGCCCGGGCTTACCCAGGAGGCTATGCCGGGATGGTGAGCCCGTGCTTACGCAGGAGGCTATGCCGGGATGGTGAGCCGTCGCCCTCTCATTCAGTTAGGTTTCGTTACAGAAAACAGATTTCCATGTCATCTCCAGGGTCAAAGCATTCTCTCACCTCACCTCCCGCCCACGCCCTGCCGTGGAATGTGGGGTGATGCCCTGTATTCTCGTGTCACAGTGTCACTTACTTATCATAGAACTTAGAGCCGTGGTTCTCTGCCTTCCTCATGCCGCGGCCCTCTCCTACAGCTCCTCACTGGTGGTGACCCCCAGCCATAACATTATCTTCGTTGCTACTTCATAACTGTAATGTTGCCACTGTTATGAATCGTAATGTAAATATCTGTGTTTCCCGATGGTCTTAGGCGACCCTGCTAGCGGTTCTCACCCTGTGGGTGGAGACTCAGGGTGACCGCGTTGAAGCAGCAACGAAAATAGTTTTATGGTTGGGGGTCACCCAACGTGAGGAGCTGAATTGAAGGGTCGCGGTGTCAGGAAGGTTGAGAAGCACTGGCGTAGAGGCTTCAGAGAAACCCCAGCACCCATCAGCGTCCCTCCTTTCTGTCCTCCCTGGAGTGGGAATATGCAAATGACAGTGACAAGATCCGTGATCTCCCGTCACGGCCGCCTTACATGCCTCCTGCGACCACCCTCACACTGCCGTCTCCAGCTGCAGCATTAAGCACCATCACGTGCCACATGATGACGCCGTGGACGACGCCGGGTGGCGTAGGTGACGATGGTCCCCAAAGGCTATGACGGGGCTGGAAGGTTCCGCTCGCCTAGTGGCACCTAGCCAGCATGCGATCACGGCACAACACGTTACCATCCCGGCAGTGCTCGGCCCGGGACACGCTGGCCAGGCTCATGGCCCGGGAGCCACAGGCTGCACCAGACGGCCTGGTGTGCCGGGGCTGGACCGTCCCAGCGTGTGCAAGGGCCTCTGTGACGTGTGCACAACGCACTTCTCGGAAGCCATCCTAGCCGAAACCGGTTTGGCTCCATGGTAGAGCGTCGGTCTGCGGACTGAAAGGTCCCAGGTTCGATTCCGGTCAAGGGCATGTACATTGGTTGCGGGCACATCCCCAGTGGGGGGTGTGCAAGAGGCAGCTGGTCGATGTTTCTCTCTCATCAACGTTTCTAGCTCTCCATCCCTCTCTCCTCCTCTTTGTGGAAAATCAATAAAATATATATATTAAAAAAAAATAGAAGCAGCAGCCATCCTAGTGGTTAAGCGACGCACGACTGTCTCTGGAACACGGGAAGGGGACGTGGAGACTGGCTCACCCCGCCCCCTCCCCTCGGGGCCTGTACGACTGCGCCCTTAACAAAACCAGGGCTCTGCGGGCAAGGCCCAGTGAGCTTGGCGAGCTCCCGTCGGGGGTTCGTCCGACGGCGTCTGCTGACCCCACCTCGGCTCTCAGGCTCTCCCTAGGAGGCCCCGCGCTCCCGCGCCCGGCTGCCTGCAGAGTCCCGTGTACCCACGGTGCGATGTTTACTCCTCGACTGATTTCCTACCAAACGGCGGTGTACCGTTCACGCCGCCCTGCACTCCCCTTCGCTCACCTAGCAGAAGAGGTGGAGGTCTCCTTCTATTATGACACGTACTAAAGCCACTTCCTCCTTCCTAACGGGTAAAAGATTCCATTGTATCACCCTGCAAACAAGGACCTTCTGGCCGTTCTCAGTTTCTGGCTGTCACACACATACCCCGCTGAACAGCCGTGCACACGCGTGGGTTGGCGCTGGGAACGGGTGCTGGGAAGTGGAGCTGCCTGTGGTACCCAGTGCAGTCACGGCCGCGCCCCTCGGCTGGCGGGGGCGGCCTGCTGCTCCTGGATGAAGCCTGGCCGGCATGCTACCAGGCCGAGCGCTACAAACATTCAAATTGGCTGCGGCAAGGGGGGTGGGGGGATCACATTAAATTTATGGTCAGCCGAAACCGGTTTGGCTCAGTGGATAGAGCGTCAGTCTGCGGACTGGGGGGCCCCAGGTTCGATTCCGGTTGGGGGCATGTACATTGGTTGTGGGCACATCCCCAATGGGGTGTGTGCAGAGGACAGCTGGTTGATGTTTCTCTCTCATCAATGTTTACTAACTCTCTATCCCTCTCCCTTCCTCTCTGTAAAAAATCAATAAGATATATATATTTTTTTAAATTTATGGTTAAATGTGAAGAGCCATTCCAGTCTTCCACTGAGAGCAGAAAGGCCTTCCGCTCCCGTCACAGTTTCCTCGCTCTCGCACACACGTAAACATTTCTCAACTCTGGCTGCAGCACACGGCCCAGGACTCCTTTCAGCCTCTGGGAGCCAGGAATTACTCCTGGTGGCATGGTGGACAAGTGTCAACCCGGTCACGTCAGTCACCAGAACACTTGAGGACCATTTAAGGAAGAAATATGAGCCCTGGTGTTGTTAGAAAACCTTTGGTGACACCTCCTGGAAAGAACAGGCAAGTGCAAGCTTCAAAACTACAGGTGTCAGCGATTTGGAAGAAAATGCATTATCAACGCTCTTCATGGTATAATACAAAGAACAATTCTGTATGGAGTGGGTGGGGCGGGGAGGCACCGATTTTGATGACTCCAAAAAGTGATTTGGAAGAACTGTTCAAATGAGGAGAATCACAATAGTAATATCTTAGCTGATACACTGTTTAGATTTTCATTTTTATAGTTATACAAAAGGTATGAACAGAATAAAGTGCCAAACAAGTCCAAGAGTTCCTTCAATAAATAAAAAACAATGCAAAGCCCTAAGAGAATATTACATCAAAAGTATTGGCCACAGCTTATCACAGAGTCTAAGTTGCACTGTGTGTGTGTGTGTGTGTGTGTGTTTGTGTGTGTGTAGCATCGTATCCATCATGCTATCACACACACAGTGTGTATATATGTGTACACACACACACACACACACACACACACAGTGCAACTTAGGATCAGCACCTCAGATTTGAAGAAATCCTCAAATCTTACTGTAGGTCCCTCAGTAGTATTTCCAAAGATTCTCTTGTATTGATTTTGCAAGGTTATTCCTATGTATGTTATCTCTTCTTCCATTACATTTTTTCATCAGAATGCTATTTATTTTTGCCTATTTAATAAATAGTCACCTGACTAAACTCTCTTACTATTTATAACAAAATTTCAGGGCATTCTTTTGGGTTTCCCAAGAATGCAATGAAATAAGTTTAAACTGAAATCTTAAACTAACGTGCTGGAAGTTACCGTATTTTTCGGACCATAAGACGCAGGGACTTTTTCCCCCCCACTTCTGGGGGGAAAAAAGTGCGTCTTATGGTCCAAATATAGCCTACACATATACTTTTAAAAAAAAGTTTTTTTACTTGCCCGGCTCTGTGTGGTCTCTGTGTGCTTGCCCGGCTCTAAAATGGTTCTAAATGCTGCTGTTTACTTTACAGGGTTGATTACATGTGTTTATGACTGTGATGTTGGGTTTTAATGCACATAAAATATTTTAGGACACTATTTGTTTCAGAATCTTTTTTTCTTCATTTCCCTTCTCTAAAAACTGGTGCGTCTTATGGTCCGGTGCGTCTTATGGTCCGAAAAATACGGTAAGCCCCAAGAAGGTCAGTACTGTGCGTTACTTTCAGTGTTCTATGCTCAGCACCTAGCCCATTACTAACCTCTGTCAATGCTGTTTCATCCAACTAACCCCTACCCACAGAGATGTGGAGTTTAGTTAAAAAAGTCAAATATAAATGAGGAAATGGTATTCAGGATCTTACAGATCCTGCCAGAAACTGGGCATTTTATAACTGAAGCACTATACGTTTGGTTATAATCAGTTCTATTTTAATAAAAAACAAAACAAAAACTAATTGTGAAATAAGAGTTTTACTTTCAACACTCACCTGTTGGATCTTAGATCGGACGACTCAAACTGGATATTCATGGGCCCAGGATGGACTTCATGGTCCGCCTCAGGGATGAGAAGCTGCCTGGAATCGCTGTCCAGATCTGCCATTTCCTCCGGCTCCGAGCACTGCAGTGGTCAGTCCTAGGTAAGTCAGAAAAGATGGGCCATTTAAAGTTTAATTAAAATTTATTTCACTGTTAAGAAATAATCCTTTTGCATGCATAAGAAACTGGAAAAATCCCGGAATCTGCTGCAGATATCTTAATGCAGTCTATGCCTGAAAGACACTTATTTTTATCAGAAACTTGAAGTTACTGCTTATTTTTCAGCTTGCTAAAAAAAATAAGTGAATCGATTCCTTTCCAGGAATAAAACAGATTTGGCTATTTGACCCATTTTTCTGCAGAAAAACAACTAAAAGTCAGGCCAAGTGTGGGTAAACTTAAGGAACCTAGAGAGACAAGCAGCTTAAGGGAGTGTTCCTGCCCTGAGGCTGTTTGCTGGGCCAGGGGTATTGGGCTGAAGTTTCCAAGGCCAACTGGGCGGGATGGCTCAGCTGGATGGAGTGTGGTCCCAAGCACCAAAAGGTTGTGGGTTTGATTCCTGGTCAGGGCACATACCTAAGGGAAGCAACAGACCCATGTTTCTCTCTCTCCCTCTCCCTAAAAATCAATAAACAGATTCTTGACTGAGGATACGTTAAAAAAAAGAAAGGACCCATACAATGACCGAAATTGAAAACTCAATGAATAGATTTAAAAGTTGATGAGGAAATGAATAAACTCAAAGATTAAATCAGAAGAAGCTATCCAGAAGTGACAGGGGGTGGGGTGGGGGGGAAAGACAGAAAATGTTGGACAGATGAAGAAAGACAGGGGATAGAGTGAGAAGGTCTAACATGCATGTAATCAGAGAGTCAGAGAGAAGACAGCAGAGGCACTATTGGAAGAGATAATAGCTGGAAAATTTCTAGAGTTCATAAAAGATAATCTGCAGACTCAAGGAGCTTAATGAATCTAAGCAGAATTAATAAACAATATATTACAGGGTTGAGACCTACTGCCCAGAAGGAGATTCCTTTTAAACTATTCCTGCTTACTGACAATGCACCTGGTCACCCAAGAGTCAGAGGGAGGTGGACGATAAGATGAATGTTGTTTTCATGCCTGCCAACACTGCGTATATTCTGCAGCCCATGATCAAGGAGTAAACTTGACTTTCAAGTCTTATTAGTTAAGAAACATGTTTCGCAAGGCTATGGCTGCCACAGTGATTTATCTGATGGATCCGGCAAAGTCAATGAAAAACTTCTGGGAAGGGTTCACCGTTCTAGATGCCATTAAGAACACTCACAGGAAGAGGACAAAATGCCTACACAAAGAAGTTAATTTCACCCTCAAGCAGGACGGAGGGGTTCAAGACCTCAGCCGAGGAAGTGACTGCAGATGTGGTGGGAACCCCAAGAGGAGGAGAGCTGAAGTGGAGCCTGACCAGGAGGACTGCGGCAGAGCAGGAGGGCTGCTTAGGGACGAGCGGGGAACAGTGGCTTCTAGAGACGAGTCGGCATCTCAGAAGTGAAGAAAGCCACTCCCGGTGATGCTGTGAAGATGGCTGAAATGACAACACCGGGTTTAGAAGAGTCCACAGGCTGAGCTGGCAAAGCAGTGGCAGGGTGTGAGAGGACGGACACTACAGTGTTCACAGTTCTGTGGTGGGCAAAATGCTGAAAGAACGCATCCCATGGGCAGAGACATCAGCAGACAGGAAGTGGATCAGATCAGCGCAGCAAACTCACTGTGACCACCTGTCCCAGCGCCCAGGCCAGCAACCCCCGGCCCATCGCTGCCCTCCCCGTGGAGGCTCAGAGTTTCCATTGAGATGTGCACGTTCCTCAGACACAGCGCCATGGCACATGAACAGGCGGCCGTGGAGTGTAAACATGGCTCTCACAGGAGCGGGGGAACCAAACAGCTTCTTTCCTGCGGGGCCCATTGACCAGCGAGGTCTCCAGGATAGAGTGAGAATCCAGGGTCCGCCTGGATTCTGGACGGAAGAGGTCACGCCTCCTCCCTGCCCGGCCACGCACCTCCCCACGGAGCCGGCAAAGCTGGAAGCCGTACCTGCCCGGCCCGCCCACTTGTGGTCCCCGCGCGGGACCCCGGGCGCCCTCCGATCCCGCGGGCAGCGCTTCGCCGGCCGCCGGGGCAGCGAGGACGCTCCGAGACCCGCACCCGGTCCCTGCAGCCCCTCAGTGACCCTGGGTCCCTACGGCTCCCGCGGGCACCCACTCGGCCTCTCTCCGCGAGCCGCGCGCGCCCCGCTCCGGAGCGATCTCCTCGGGCTCGGCCTCACCGCCCCCCTAGAAGCCACTGTTCCGCCGAGTCACCCAGAACTTCCCCGACTGACAGCCGCGCCGCCGCCAGCTCAGCCGTGCCGCCGCTTCCCCTCCGCTCCCTCCCGACGGGCGATCTGCAAGCTGAGGGAAGATGCTCTACCTGAGCAGGCCGGTCCTCGGCCTCCAGAGCTCAGGGGGGGATAGGTGGGAGCCTCCCCAAAGCCTCGGGACTCGAGGCAGCCCGGCTTCCCGTAGCCGGGGCCGGAAGGGGCCACGGCCTGACCGCGGGGGCCGGCGGGGAATGGAGTTCCCAGAGCGCTGGGCCGAAGCTGTGGACTACAACTCCCAGCGGCCCGTGCGGCAGCCACACGCCCCCGGCCGCGGAGCCCCGCCTGGGTGTGGCGGAGCGCGCGGCTCCCGTCGGCTTCTGCCTGGGGGCTTCCCGCCGGGGCCCCACGCCTGCCTGAGGGTCCACGGCGGCCTGGAGGAGGGAGGCGTCGCCGGCTGCCCTCGCAGCCCGGAAGCCTCGGGGAAAGGGCCGCTGTGGCATCCCATGCGCTGTCCCTCGGGCTCTCCTGGAGGCCTGAGCCATGGGCGCCCCCGGGAAGCTGGTGGGAAGAGAATTGTCGTGTTGGCACGCTTCCTCCTGCCTAGACACTGAGCTTTTTTCCCCCACTTTTTTATTTTATTTTTTTATTTTTTTATTTTTTACACAGAGAGGAAGGGAGAGGGATAGAGAGTTAGAAACATCAGTGAGAGAAAAACATGGATCAGCTGCCTCCTGCACACCCCCCACCGGGGATGTGCCGGCAACCAAGGTGCATGCCCTGGCCTGCCCTGGCCAGAATCGAACCCGGGACCCTTCCGTCCGATGCTCTATCCACTGAGCCAAACCGGTTTCGGCTCTTCCCCCACTTTTAAGTGTGTGGACAGATTGATGGCGGGGGAAAGGGGAGCTTTGGGAGGACTACGTGCACCCGAGTACATTAGTGCTTGGGTTAGGAAAGTCTGCTCCCGGCGGCAGTCTGTGAAGAGCGCGTGGCAGCATGTGCACTGTCATGTGATACCCCGAGTTCAGGAGCCCACGGGTAACAAACTGCTGAGGTGAGCTTGGCTCCAGATGCCTACTGCCCCCGGGGTACAGATAAGGAAACAGCCTGGAGAATTTATGACCTACCCGAGGCCAGAAACTGAGAGGCAGATAAGCTGGAGGCCAAACCGAGACCTCATTCCCCAGAGCGAGTGCTCCCACTGCTGGCCTTGCCCCACCTTTGCAGGCGTGGGAACTGCATCGGACGTGTCACGGTGGATATGGACGGTCTCTACCTACAAGGACTGAGATACGATTTTTGACTTCACGGTGGTATGGAGGTGGTACGCACTTGGTAGAAACTGTGCTTTGAATTGTGATCATTGTGATCATACCCTCTCGCGCTGCAGGTCCCGGCAGCAGTGTGGTCAGTGGGTAAGTCACCAACGCTCCACAGCGAATTAATCCATCCTGAGTGGCTTTGCCCAGCTGCAGGTTAATGTCAGTGACCTGAGCACATACACTGAAGGGGGGCCAGGCTTAACGATGATGTTCGGCAGGCTAGGTGTGTTAAATGCATTTTTCATGAACGTGACGTTTCACCTAAACCATGGGTTTGTTGGGGCGGAACCCCACTGTAAGTTGAGCACCTGTGATTACTTTAAAACAGATAAAAGCTATTCTGCTGATGATACTCTTGCAACAGCTCTTTGACCTGCCTTCAAATCAGCAGCACATTTTTTTTTTTTTTTTTATAGCTTCAGCGATAGCAAAATGTTGCTCTTTCTCTGCATTCCATGCTGGAATAATAATCTGAGGCTTGGTCGAGTAAGTGGTACAGAATGACATCAGCGAAAATGGCAGAGTAAGGAACTTCAAACTGTCCCTCTAAAAGCAGCAAATGAACTGGAGAAATTGGAGTCATTTTTTTTTTTTTTTTTAAACACTGGAATCTAGGAAAGACTGGTGAAGTTTGGTAAGAGATCTGTGATCCTCTACATTCCCATCTTGGAAGTGGCCTTGAAGACAGCAATCCATATTCTTGGTGTGGGTTGCTGATACTAAGGAGCAATATGGACCTAACTCTCAGGAAACTGTATTGTGTGCGTTACTATCTGGCGGAAGGGCTTGCCTTTGCTTTGCCGGCCTCACAGCTGCCTGGCGTAGCTTCCCAGGCAGCATGTGTGGAAACGTTACAGAAAACGCATCAGCACTGCCACTGGGGCTACGTTTACCAGCCCGGGAAGCAAGAAACAGACAGGAAACCGAGGAAGGGAGAGACTGGGGAGGCAGGCACTTGGAGGAAGAGGGTTTAGAAATGTCCCTCTGACCCTGGGAAACCAAGAGGGCCTCACGCATGCACTGTTCGGACACCTGCTTGGAACACGCCTGAGAAGACCCCAAGCTCTCACCTCTGGCTGACCTCCAGGCTCTGCAAGCAGAAGTGAAGGCCAAGGCAAGTTGCACACTGACTAAGCGCTGAAGGAGTGCCCCAATACACGGCTAACTGGCAAAGGCTGGGAGAATTTGTTTGCGTTTTGGCTTCTTTTTAAAATTTTTAATGGTTTGCTTCCAGGGTTTAATAAAGACATCCCTGTTAAATCACCAGCTGACCACTAAGCTCCTGGGGCAGAGACTTCAGTGCCACACCACAGAGAATGCAGACTTTGTAAATGAGGAGACTGGTAGTCAACTTTAAAACCTGGATCATACTCAAACTTGGTGTTTTGTGTGTTTTTTAAATATATTTTTATTGATTTCAGAGAGGAAGGAAGAGGGAGAGAGAGAAACACTAATGATGAGAGAATTATTGATGGGCTGCCTCCTGCACACCCCACACTGGGCATTGAGCCCACAACCCCGGGCATGTGCCCTGATCTGAAATCGATTTGTGATCTCCTGGTTCACAGGTCTACACTCAAGCACGGAGCCACGCTGGTTGGGCACAATTGGTATTTTACATCAAGCGTTCACAGGTGGTGTCTGTACTTCCCACCATGCCCGGAAGCACAGGAGGGCTTCCCCTGGTGACATGAAGGCTGTCCGGTGGCCTCAGATACTGCTTCTTCCTAAGTTCCTCTCGCCAGCTTTTCACCACTCATCGATGATCACCTGCTAGACCAGGTTCCTGCCGCTTCAGTGTCTGAGTAACTTTTTCTCAGTGTCCTTAGTTTCTGTTTACTTAGTAAGTATTTAAGTCCAAACAAATTAGTATGTGCTTCGGTCCTAACAACTTAGTAGCCATTTAAAAACATAGATAGATGAAAAGAAAAATGTTTTATTTTCTTCTTATCCACCATTGCTTACTAAGGGGATGCACACACGTGTGGGCCCTGCACAACTTCCTCAGATCAGATGGGACACCGCTCCCCCATTTCCTGGCCCACAGTGGATTTTGCATACTTCTTTGAGGTCACAGCAACTGCTGAAAACTCAGCTTTGCAAAGTAGGATGTTCTCCAAACGAATGAATGTGAGCTCATGTTGAAATTGGGCGCTACCTCAGGTTCACATCGTGCCTGGCAGAGGTTGCTGTGTTTTTCCTCAAAAATGTAAAATGCTCTGGTGTCCCTGCGAGTTTCCATGGTGCGCTCACAGTTTGGGAGAGGCGGGTCACTAGCCATATTTTCCTGGCCTACAGCAAAAATTGGCAAGCGTTGTCTGTAAAGGCGCAGTAGCAAATACTTTAGGCCATATAGCGTCTGTGAACAATTAACACTGAACGTAGTGCGAGTGCCGCCAGCGGAACACATGTAAACGAATGCGTGGCTGCCTTCCAATTCGTAGCAACAGCAGGGGCTGGGCTGGCTTTGCCCCCGGGGCCCTAGTTTCCTGACCCCTGGCCTAGAGGACAGAGTGGAGGCTTTTGTTTACCAGCTGGAATTCGTCTAAGGGAAATAATTGTTCCACCACAGTTTCATCACCCCCAAGCATGTTATCAAACTTGTTTTTCTTTTCACCAGTTTTCAAAACGAGTTGGCTGCCTAGCATCTCGCAAAGGTGATCCATTATTTGGATAACGTGGAGATACTAATTCGGAAAATGCCTAATATGTCCATTCTCCTAATCTGCATTACCTTGGAGGATTTAGAGCCTCTTTCTAAAGTGGGAAGGGTCTCACCTGTAAAGTTGCTTCCAAACTGTGAGACACTTTTGAGGAAACTCTTGTTCTTCCTTATTACATCAAATTTGGAGAAACTATGTAAGCTTTCCAGCAAGTCTTTTGAGACAGGAATCCTAAAGTTCTAGCTACGGCCACGCTTTTCACTGGGCGGCTCCTTGAGAGACGGGCTAATTCCATGTGTAGCACATGGTGTAGCACCTGGAATACGGTAGGTGCTCACTTAAAGCCTATTTAACAGCTAATGAGTTTCTGCTGTCTTTTTCTACGTTGCCATGTATTACCACCACCAATAAGACCAGGGAGGCTGAAACCGGTTTGGCTCAGTGGATGTGTGTCAGCCACTGGAAGGTCCAGGTTCGATTTTGGTTAAGGGCATATACCCTGGTTGCGGGCACATCCCCAGTGGTGTGTGTGTGTGTGTGTGTGTGCACGCGCGCGCGCGTGCGCGTGCGCGCAAAAGGCAGCTGATCAATGTTTCTCTCTATCCCTCTCTCTTCCTCTCTGTAAAAAATGCCGACTGGTCTGTTTGTCCTCTTTCACTTGATGTTCACATTTTTGAGTTATATCATTTCCATCCACTTCCTTTCCTCAATATTGAACTTCAGTTCTCATCAGAATTCACTTTTTTAACCAGAGCTAGCTCTCCAAAGTTATGTAAATTGGATGTTCCATAAAGAACCATTTTATTGTAATATCTGAAGGCAACAAAAATCTTTTCTTTCCAAGAGGTGAATAGCAGAGAATGTTAAATGTTTTTTTAAAAATGTTTATGTAAGAAAGTATCTCCAAGTTGTCCATATCTTTTAAAAAAAATTTAGTTGCTTATCATTCTATCTACATAATTTCATATCTTGCTTTTTTCATTTAACGTAAGACATTTTGAAAGAACCACATTCAATGTAAAGTTGGTTAAGACACTTCGGGGAAGCCTGCATAGGAATCCAGAGCACCAGGGGTGCCATGGCTGTCCCCACACAGAGTTACCTCAAGGACACGATGTGAAAATTTGGTGTAAAAAGTTATTAAGCCTGACCTGCATGACTTAGTGGTCGAGCCTCAACCTATGAATCAGGAGGTTGCAGTTGGATTCCCAGTCAGGGCACATGCCTGGGTTTCAGGCTCGATCCCCAGTGTGGGATGTGCAGGAGGCATCTGATTGATAATTCTCTAATCATTGATGTTTCTATCTCTCCTTCTCTGAAACCAATAAAAATATATTAAAAAATGAAAACAAAATATATTTTTATTAACAACATAAACTGATGAACAAAAACAGTTCCAGAGACAGACATCGATTAGAGCCAGGGGTCCTCAAAATTTTTAAAGTGGGGGCCAGATCATGGTCCCTCAGAGAGCTGGAGGGCCGGACTATATGAACTACTAATTCCTACTGTAACACCTCGGCTGCGCTCACTGCCCAAAAAACCTGGCGGGCCGGATCAGACTCCTCTGCGGGCCGCATGTGGCCCGCGGGCCGTAGTTTGAAGACGCCTGGATCATTAGACCATCAAACCTCAGAGGGAAGGTAGGGGAGGGTGGGGGTAAGGGAGAGAGGTCAATTAAAGGACTTGTATGCAATGGACACAGACAACAGGGGGGTAAGGATATGAGTGGGAGAATTGGGGGGGAGATGGGGGAATAAGGACACATATGTAACACCTTAACCAATAAATAAATTATATATTTCAGAGAGAGGGAGAGGGAAAGAGATAGTAACATCAAGGATGAGAGAGAGTCATTGATCAGTTGCCTCTTGGACGCCCCACACCAGAGTTAAGTGCCCTGACTCGGAATCGAACCGGAATCGAACCGTGATCTCTGGCTCACAGATCAACGTTCAATCCCTGCGCCACGCCGGCAGGGCTCAATGAAAATATATTAAAAAACAACAACCAGAAGTTATTAAAAATGACGGTCATGTTAACATACATTCTGGTTTGACCTTTGTTAAATATGACCTCTTGGAAACAATTCACCTTGAAAATCATCTTCAAGGTTACTGCGCACTGGCTCCATCCTGACATAGTCCTGGCGGGAGACCGGACCCACAGGCGGCTCCGGAGACGGAAGGCGCGAAGCCCAGTCTCTGGGCCGGACCGGGCCGCTGGGCTCCACATTCCCGCACGAGATGCTGGGCGCACGGAACAAGATGGAGATAAAACCCAGAATAAGGAGGACAGTCGGCGAGCAGCCAGCGTCCTCGTCCGAGGGCTTGCGCCTCCAGACCACGTGACTGAGGGGTCCAGTTTGACCTGTGCCCCTGGGGTCGAGGGGTCACTGGCCCAAGCGCAGCTTCCTCTTCCTTAGGGTCAGAGGGCGGCTCTTCTGCAAAGGCGTGGACCCCGCCTCCGGACCCCTCGGCCTCCTGGGACACGCGTGGGCAGCACCCCTGCCACCCCGGGGCTGAGCGGAGTCCCCGGATGTGAAGCGGGCACCGCAGACACCACCCGAGGGGCCAACCGCCGGGCTGCGGGCTTCGGGGCAGCGCAGGGGCGGGACCGGGTAGGCGCGAGCGAGCGCAGCCCGCGTTCCGGGTTAGGAGAAGGCGGGGTGACTGGGCGCTGGCACAGGGGGGCCGGGGCTCCGCACGGGGAGGGCGCCCCAAAACCCGAGAGGGTTACCTCCCCCCTCCTCCCCCCAGAGGCCGCGGCCAGCAGAGCCCCCTGAGGCCCAACGGGCCCGGCGTCGAGGGTGAGTGGGCGGGCGGGCGGGCGGTGGACGGGCTTCGGGGGGCGGGGCCTGGGCGGGGCCCCGCGCGCGCTCCCGGCGCTGATTGGCTGGCGGCTCGCGCCTCGGGGTGCCTTCCGCGCAGCCTCACGCACTGACGTGGGCGTGGCGTGGGCACGTGCGGCCGTTTAGGCGGCGGCGGCGCCCGCGAGGACCTGGGCTCCGGGCTCTGGGCGGCAGCGGGCGGCGAGGGGTGAGCGGCGGGGACGCGGGCGGCTGGGCCGGAGGGACCCCGCGGGGGACGGGGTGGACGCCGCGGGCCTCGCCTGCCGCCCCGGGTCCCGTCGTCGCGGGGCGAGTCCGGTGTGAGGGCAGCGGGGGTCGTGCACGGACGCCCCTGGAGGGCCCGTTGACCTGTGTGGGGGCCTCGGCCTGCCTTCGGGGAACTCTCCGGGACGTGGGTCTGCGGCCCGCTCCCCGGAGAACTAGTCAGCGCCTCGAAGCTCAGCACCTTAGCTCCCCCGGAAGGGACCCGGCGCCCCTCCGCGGGGGTCAGGCTTTCGAGTCCCCGGAAGTGTTCCCGCCCAGTCTGGAGACGGAGAGGAGGGGTGGACGTGCCGCCTCCGTGAGACACGGGACTTGGGCCCCTCGGGCGCCCCCCGTTGGCGGGGAGATGGGCGCCCCGGGGAGAAGGTGCAGGGCGGGCGCGAGGCCGCCGTGGATGCGCCTGAGGACGCGGCTCTGGGCTCCTGGAGGCCAAACGTGTGTGTGTCTGTTTTAGGAAGGCAGGGCTGGACCACCATGGGCGATGAAGACTGGGAAGCGGAAATCATCACCCCGCACCTGTCCTCCTACGTGCCGGTGTTCGAGAAGGTAGCCCTGCGCCGCCCCCGCTGCGGGGCAGGGGGTGGGATAGGGGTGTGTGGGGTCCAGGGAGGGCGCCGGGAGAACTCCGGTCCGACTTCCGGTGCCTCCTCTCCGTCCCCCGCCGTGTCCTGGGATGGATGTGATGACAGTAAAACTGCCGCTGGGAGTGGACTCCCGCTCCGGCACTGGTGCTGCTCCGCGTTCCTGATTGCCTGAAAGTGACTTCTGTAGGAGAGGATCAAGTCTAATCTGATTGACTTCCTGTTGGCGTGACGTTAAGGGTTAGCTTTTCACTGTAATAGTGTCACGGATATCTACAGCTTATTCTTTGTTTCAGTTTGGGAGTATTTTTTTTTAAGTGGAATTACTTGGTCAAAGGGTATTTTATGTTTTTTCTCCCCTACCCCAAGTTCTCAATAGAGATGTTAGACTATAAAGTTTAATTCACAGATACCTTCTCCAGTGGACTTTCATGGTCACCTGTCTTTTTATTTTTCCTTCATCTGAGGTTTTGCCCGTATTAAGTTTCCTCAGACAGTACGCGGGCCTGTGGCATCCTGTGCGTGTCTGGCATACGTGTTTGGCGTTAGGTGTGGCCCACTCAGGTCTTTCCAATGTGCCCTTTTAGAATGTCCGCGCTATTCAGTGACATACCTTGTTTCGTGATTTGGGAATACTAACTTGAATGTAATTTTTGTCAACAAATCTACCTTATGATTCTTGATACATATTTGTGTGGATCCAATTGTAGTCAAATTTTTGGGTTTGTGTGCAAACTTAACACTTGGTGCTGGCTTTTGCGGTAGTTACATGGGCTGCTTGACTTGAAGGGACGTGGTGTCGTTAGCAGCTTTTTGGCCTGCCTTGGTTGAATAAAAAGTGCAGACACTAAGGAGGAACATGGGACTTTTTAAAACAACATTTTTAATGTAGGAGGACTCGAGTTCTTTTTTTCAGCCCAGTTCATTGTGAAGGCATCATTTTGATTGGCTTTTCAGACCCAGTTTCCAATGGTAGAGACAGCTGGGTTTCCTTTCTGTTGAATTGATAGTGGCTCTGAGACCGTCTTGAATTGGTGTCATCTTAATGTCTGTGCTCAGCCCTTTCTGAATCTTCTCAGGATTCTATTTGGAGATTTTTTTTTTTAAGTATTTTATTGATTTTGTACAGAGAGGAAGGGAGAGAGATAGAGAGTTAGAAACATCGATGAGAGAGAGTCATCGATCAGCTGCCTCTTGCACACCCCCTACTGGGGATATGCCCGCAACCAAGGTACATGCCCTTGACCGAAATCGAACCCGGGACCCTTCAGTCCCCAAGCCAACGCTCTATCCATTGAGCCAAACCGGTTTCCGCTCTATTTGGAGATTTAATGTTGACACGTGCTTATATAAATTTGAATAATTGGCTAGTGTTCTGGTAGCTCTTAGGATTTCGAGATTCTAGATTTTGAAGGGAGTGTACCACCTCAGGATCGAACAGTGAGAGGTGGGAGATGAAGAAGAGTCGATCACTAACACGTACACGTGTAGGCAGACATCTCAGTGCTCGGGCAGTGGTCCTGCATGCGAGCTGGTTGGGACATTGCAGAAAGCAAATACTCCTATGCTTCAAATGGAAACAGCTTGAAATAGTCCATCCACAAATATAATTTTATAAAGCTGGAGCAGCAAAGTTTGTAAAACGATTTAGGTAAGAAAGTAAAATCTGCATCCTCTCTGTTCCATCCATGCTGTGGTTCTGAAGTAGCGGAAACAAATGTGGTCCTCGGCCATCATGGAGTCGGCAGACCTAAGGAAGCTGGCGTGCTGGAGCCCGAGGGAGAGTTCTGGCAACTTCTGCGTCTGGTCATCAGCGAGATGTGGGAGGAAAGAGTGGCACATAATCGAGAGCATGACGCTCATTTATGCTGAGTAGGGCACGCTGTGGGAGATGGACAGTGTCTCCTCCTCACACCCTAACGGATGGAGTCCAGGCAGAGGGCCGGGTGGGAGAAGGCAGGGGGGGCGGGGAGGCTAAAGAGAGGCAGCGACGGCTGAGCTGATCCAGAGATGGAGAAAAGCCTCCTCTTGGAGGAGGGCCCGCAGCTTAGACAGCTGGTGGGACGGCTGACCTGGGAGGAGCTGCACCCAGTCTTCTGTCCATTGTTCTGTCCTCATCTACGCTCTGTCCTCATTTACGGTAGTTCTGTGCAGCCTGTCGCCGATCACCTCACTATGAGTTTGGATTGTTAAATGCTTTTGTTTGGGGAAATTACTTTTATTTGAAAAGGGGTTTCACACATAAACCAGGGCCCACGTTGTAAGCTCCACAGCAGTCCCATTTGTTTCTAAATTTGAGGTGCTTTGCTCTTTGTTGGGAGACCTGGAAGCCCCTGCACTGTGGGTCTGATGGGACACGGGACTCAGGCAGGTGTCTGCAGCTCAGAAGGGGCCAGGAAGGCATCCCTTCCCCACAGCAGCTGTCAAAGTGCTGACGGGGGAGCCAGGCTTCAGCGTGGGGCTGATCTGGCTGGGACTGCTGAACCAGAAGAAGGGGTGGAGGATGGCATTGTCTGTTCTTGGGACATTAACTTGTGTGAGACCAAAGGAGGAGAGATGTATTTTGTTCAGAATTTAAATTTATGTGGCAAACGACCTGTGTAACCGGCCTGGTCGTCTGTCTGGGCAGCCTGCTCGGCGTTGTGTGACGTGGAACCTGGTGTTTGGGACAAGTCCATGTAACACTCTGCTGGCTCAGGGATTTCGGCATCAGATGAAAGCGATGCTTGCCAAGACCCTTCAGGGGCTGTGAGGAAAATGTGGAGCTGCCTGCATGGACACTCACCTGGGCCGGGAGGCAGCAGCTTCAAGGTTCATGTTGTCCAGCTACACGCTTATTTGAGTAGCACACTTGACAAGCATTTGGGTCCAAACCTTACCATGTCTAAGAAGAAAAACAGCTTACCATGTGAGGGAAATACTCATTTGCTTGGAAAAGATAAAAGACTTAAAGCTGTGGTATTCCAGATTTAAAACAAGAGCACTAATGAGGGGAAAGAAATGTGTTTATCAGCATGCACACATTATTTGCAGCTGCACGTGAGGGGTATTTGTAGTTGCATATGCTCTTATGTGAAACATTTTGAAATTTCTAAATTGGTTCATATGGATGGGTTAAAGGTGACAAATGGTTTGCAGTGAAGTCTTCTAAAAGTAAGCTTAAGACAAGACCTGTGTTTTATCCAGTAAATTTTATGGAGTCCTGCTAGGTGCTGGCGTGAGTGGTGAGCACTGTAGGAAGGTATTTGCTGTCATGGATGTTATATTTTACAGGGGGACAGAATAAGCACATTGAGAACAAATTATAAATAGTGAAAAGTGCTAGGAGGAGTTCTGAGGAAAGTGTGTGTGCAGATGGGGAGCGTGGGGTGTGTGTGAGACAGACAGACACAGACAGACGGTGGATGGAGATCAAGTGGAGAGGACAAGCGTCCCTGGGACAGGGCCTCAGCCTGGGCCCCGAGGAGCCCCACAGCACGCTGTGTGCAGAGGTCCTGAGGGGGAGCAGGGCTGGCCATGGGGGGCCATAGGAGGCAGTACAGTGTGTTAGTTCTAGGACTGCTGGAGCGAAGGGCCCCGCTGGGTGCTTCAAGCAGCAGACATGGTTCTCTCCAGCCCTGAGGCTGGACGTGAGCAGGCGGGTCAGCAGCATCGGGAAGCTGTCAGAGAGCCCACGGTCCCTCCAGCTCTGGTGGCTGCATCTCTGCTCCGTCTTCATGGGGACTCCTCTGTGTCCTTTTAGCGCCCTTTGCTTTGCCCTGTAAGTACACGTGTGATGACATTGAAGGCCCCCAGGATCCCACACTCACCTCCTCATTTCTCAATCTTGAATCACACTTGCAATAACTTTTTCCAAGTAAGCTAACATTGACAAGTTTCTGGGATTAGGGATTGATATCTTTGGGTAGGCATTATTCAGCCTCGGACAGTCTGCTTAAAGCACAGCGAGATCAGACAGGAGGGGTAGGAAATGAAGTGAGCATGGAGGAGGGGAGAGGGGCCTGGTCGTAGCTGTGGACATAGGAGTGAAAGGAATCCAAGGTGCTGGCTTGTTTTTTTGACTTAAGCTACCAGATGGGTGATGTCATTTACTGAGAGGCAATCTATGGAAGATGAACAAGTTTGGGACGAAAAATGTCTTAAGAACTCTCTGTTGTGTTCAACTTGAGATGCCTGTGAAACACATTAGTAAGGATGCCAGTCACTCTATGAATTTGTTGCTTAGGAGAGGGATCAGACTACAGATATAAAATTGGGAGTTATCTGCATGTTAATGGGATTTAAAGGTATGCGATTGGGTAGAGTTCAATAGAGTAAAACAGAGGGATCTGCTGTGACCCGGGCACGCCAATCTCAGAGGCTGAGAGGGGAGGAGCTGGGAGGAGCTGGCCCGAGGGCAGGCAGTAACCAGGGCTTGGTGCTCCTCCAGCCGGGAGAAGAATGTGTCTGGAGGAAGACACTGTCATCTCAGATGCTGCTGAGGGCGCCTCTGGAGGAAGCACTGTCTACCAGTCGCACGCATCACTTCCTCATTGGAGGCATAGTCCCTGCGGAGATAAGCTGGAGGCTAGGCTTGGGGGCTTAAAGAAAGAATGAAAAAAAAAAATTACAGCTAATAAGTAAAAGGATAAAATATGAATCTGAAAAAAGAAAGGAAGGAGAAGGTGCAGGCGGCAGTGTTTAGGAGGGTCGGAGAAGAGGTGCAGTCGTTGGAGGGGGAGCGGAAGGAAGCTGGCACTTTGGAAGGTAATGAAAAGGTTAAGAATTTTAGGATGAAATGATTATGCTGAAAAACATTTTTTGATGTTTTGTTTCAAAATTTTTCCTCAAAATTTATAAGTTCCATGTATATAGGACAGGAGATCATCTAGTAATAGCTTTTCAGTTCTTTAGTGCCGGAGTGTTCATTATTTTTTACCAGCTAAAACCAGCCCTCTTGTGGTGCTCTACTCACCCAGTAGTACTTTGACTGCCAGAGAGGGAAACATCCGTTTATTGCTCCACTCTTCTGTGCATTCAGTAGTTGACTCTTGTATGTGTCCTGACCATGGATGGAACCCACAACCTTGGTGTTGATGGTCTAACTTTGTGGTCGGCAAACTGCGGTTCTCGAGCCACATGCGGCTCTTTAGCCCCTTGATGTGGCTCTTCCACAAAATACCATAGCCTGAGCGAGTCTGTTTTAAAGAAGTAGCATTAGAAGTTTATGTTTAAAAAATCTGACTCTCAAAAGAAATTTCAATGGTTGTACTGTTGATATCTGGCTCTGTTGACTAATGAGTTTGCTGACTACTGGTCTAACCGATTAAGCTGCCTGGCTAGGGCCTAAGTGATAAGTTAATATGCTACGCATACAATGTTACTGTGAGGGTTTTGGAATAATTAATAAAGGAGCATCAGTGACCCAGGAAATCTTAACAACGTACCTTCTTTTGTTCTGAACAAAGCCAGTTATTGAAGTTTTCTAGGATTTGTGAACTAGATTACACATTGTTCTTATTCAGGGTAGAAAACTAGTCTTCTCGTTCTTCTTACAGGATAGATATTCTTCTGGAGCCAATGGAGACACTTTCAGCAGGACTCCAGTTCCATCGCCAGGTATGGTTAGGCCGAAAGGAGGAGTCCTTCCTGGTGAAGGCTTCTTCTCGGGAATGAGGAGCTGCTGGTAGACGGCTATGGAGACACTTTGAAGGTTCCCGAGCGAGAACTGTCTTGTTGGGATATTTGGGGTGGGGGCCGCTTCCAGCTAGAGAAGGGAGAGACAGAGAGTATAGTGCCATAACAGCTTTATTTGATAGAGGGGTTTGCTGTCCCCTTCTAGGCATAGCCTAAGACAGTGTTTTTCAACCTTTTTTGGGCAAAGGCACACTTGTTTCATGAAAAAAATCACGAGGCACACCACCATTAGAAAATGTTAAAAAATTTAACTCTGTGCCTATATTGACTATATATAAAGTAATTCTCTTGAATAGGAATCAAATAAACACAAAGAAAGTATTTTATAATTTATTATGAAATATTAAGTAAACAAAATAGTGAAAAATTATAAAATTCTTGTCTTGTCTGCACCTACGGCACACCAGGCAACATCTCGTGCCGCGGAACAGCGGTTGAAAAACGCTGGCCTAAGAATCTCAAAACGCAAACCTGAAAGAACATATGCACCCCTGTGTTCATAACCGTGCCATTTACCACAGCTGAGGTCTGGAAACAGCCCCAGTGCTCATCAGTAGACGAGTGGACAGAAAAGCTGTGGGACATCTACACTATGAAATATCATGCAGCGGAAAAAGGATTGATTACCCTTTGAGACAGCAGGGAGAGACTGGAGAGTGTTATGCTAAGCAAAATAAGCCAGTCAGAGATAGACAAATACCACATCATCTCTCTTATATGTGGAATCTAATGAACACAATAAACTGATTAAAATAGAACCAGAGGCACAGAAACATGGAACAGACTGAGGAATCTCAGAGGGAAGAGGGGTGGTAAGAGATTGAAGAATTTATATGCATGCATGCATAGCCCATGGACACAGACAGTGGGTGGTGAAGGCCTGGGGGGGGGGGCAGGAACTGAATGGAGGGAGCAATGGGGAAAGGAGGACGTCTCCCACGCTCTCCCCAATAAAGGGGACTCACTGAAGCCTCTGCCCCACCTGGTGCTGCATGTTTGGCTTTTAGGCTGCTAGGAGCTTGCCAGGGTCCCTGCCGTGAGGTGGAGCCAGTTGCAGTGGTGGTCACATTGATTTCTGTCTGGAGAACTACCTGTTCTTATTCATAGCCCTTTTCCGCTAGGGCTAGGCCATCCATCTTTTCCATTCCTAATGAAAACGCCTCCTCCGCCATGTGAGCGGGTAATTGGAAAGGTGTAAAGTGTGCGTACCACCAAGATACTTGTTATTTTGACTCATTTCATGATGTTATTTGCTTTAGAAATTGATGATGGACCTTCTCGAAGAGATCATTTCATGAGAAGTGGTTTTGCCTCTGGGAGGAGCTTGGGAAACAGAGGTAAGTGGCTTTGTCTCCCCTTAATCTGTCAGCGGTGAGCAGTGGGCTGAGTCGAGGCTCCTGTGGCTGCTGAGTGCAAAGCCAGGTCTGTTTGATTTGGTGACTGGGTTCTCTGGCTAATGCAGTCATCATCTTCTCAAATAGCATTGTTTCTACTCCTGTCCTTACTTCTATGGCTTAGCAGGAAATAGTGGAACTGCTTAGATAGATGGGTTAAAGGGAGTTGCTTCACAGAGCGGCTGTGTTTATGATGATTGATTCCCACCAACTGTCGGGAGAGGGGAAGCTTCAGAGGCAGGGCGGAGGGAGCTCCTCCTCAGCTGGATGTTTCTCATGGGAAGCATTTCTGTCATCTCAGTAGTAAGAGCTTATTTTTCAAAGTTTGAATTTTTAAGAACTTGATCTGACAGATAATGACACAACCTTCCCACGGTCCATCTTTAGATTTGATAATAAAATGCTGAAAATATTCTGCACTATGGTTTTTTATAGTGAAATAAAATATTAGGATCTCAAATATATTTAAAAACACGTGACTATTTTTTTATGAACTGTCATAAGCTAGGACTAACTGTAGTTTTAAATACACATAGCACTTACTGAATTTATTAGATAGTCTTTGAAAAACTATGGATATTTCTAGATATTTTTATTCATTGGAAATGAGAGGTTGATGTGTGTGGTATTTCATTTGATATTTGGAAAACTTAATTTCTTATTAAGATACAGTTAACAAAAATATGAATTTTATATTTTGACATGTTCCTACTACTAATGGATATAATTCATTCTTTAAAGATGCATATACTGTTTTTTAAACCTGTGCGTTAACTAAGAGGTACTGATGATTTGGACCATGTAATTCTGCCAAGAGGTTCAAGTGTGGGTTTTGTGTGCTGTTACTAACATTAGAAATAATAAATGTCTTCATATTATACTCAAAGGAATGTTTAATACTTAGGTCTAGTTTACGGCTCTATTTTAGAATAGGTTTTGTGATATTTTTCATGCAGACTCGTAAACACTGTTGAATAAAGCCATTTTAATGAGAAAACCATAACAGACATTTTACTATAATTTTTAAAATTATATTTTTATTGATTTCAGAGAAGAAAGGATAGGGGGAGAGAGAAATATCAGTGATGAGAGAATCATTGATCAGCTGCCTCCTGCATGCCTCCTACTGGGAATCCAGCAACCTGGGCATGTGCCCTGACGGGAAATCAAACTTGACCTCTTGGTTCATAGGTCAATACCTAACCAGTGAGCTACGCCAGCTGGGCTAAAACACATTTTTAATTCCGTATGTTTTAGGTTGAAATACACATTACATTTCTGATCAAAACTCTTTGTTGAGTGCTAATACTTTAGAAAGTGAACTTTATACTCCATATAACCCTGAAAATTCACAGACCCATGAGCATAACTTCTTTCTCTTACGACTCATCTGACTTTTTAGCTAGTTTCAGTGTCCATGTTATTTCCCCTCAGAACTTGTATACCTAGTAATATGTTTTTGAAAATGACTCTTAACCACTTAAAATATAACACTGGTTAGCTTTTCCTGGTCTGTGAAGTAAGGCCTAAATAGCCTCAACTTCTCCAATCACACACACCCTGAGAGTCTGATGAAAAGTGCTGACGTGGCTCAGACACAGCTTTGCATGTGGCTTTAGGAGTTGTGTTGGATGTTACAGAGATGGCTAGCAGTGGGCAAGGATCAGGAACCATGCTTCCGCTTTCCCAGGGATGGAGTGCAGGGCAGTTTAGCTGCTTGGGTGTCTGTTACAATGTTTTGTTTTAAATAACCCTGCTACTTGCCATAGTAACTCTGCCCTTGACATTCTTAATACAATGGGGGAGAAACACAGGAATGCAGTGTTGCTGGGGATGTGGGGGAAGGGCTGGTTCTGACTGGAGCACTAAAGGGAGACTTCACCAAGAGGTGGCCTTTGGAAGGGGAATTTGTAGAGTGAAGAGAGTTTGATAGGGAGAGTAGAAAAGCAGGCCCACTGCACTACAGGAGCAGCACGCAGAAGCTCTTGGGGGCGTGGCTAGCGTGCACTGTCGTGGCGGTGGTGATTGGCAGGAGGCTCGTGTAGGGACATCTGTGGCAGGGAGAGGACGCAAAGGGCAATGGCACTCAGCTTATTTTCTGTATCTGTGGCCCCTTCCCTTTCAGTTAGGGCAGCGGAGTGAGAGGGATTCACTCAAGAGAAAACGCATTACTGGTAGAGCAGTTTGGAAACAGGACCAGAGTATGACAGCATTTTGAGTAGCAAAGACTTCCCCCGGGGGCATAGTGTCAGTAGCTCTCTCTCAGGTGAGGTTTCTATACAGAAAGTCAGAGTTGCCCTAGCCTGTTTGCTCAGTGGATAGAGCGACGGCCTGCAGACTGAGGTTTGATTCCGGTCAAGGGCACATGCCTGGATTGTGAGCTTGATTCCCCAGTAGGGGGCGTGCAGGAGGCAGCTGATCAATGATTCTCTTTGATAATTGATGTTTCTAGTTCTCTCTCCCTCTCCCTTCCTCTCTGAAATCAGTAAAAATATATTTTTTTTGAAAGGAAGAGTTGAATTTTCTGAACAAAGGTTACTACTAAAATAACTAGTCTAACGCTGTATTTCCTGGTATGTTTATTTTTTTGCCTTGGTATCACAATTTAAGAGTTTTAAAAGAAGTTGGAGTATGTTAAGTACATCTCCTAAGCTTTTGTACTTCTCTCTCCCTATCCCTGAAAGTCTCCCAGATTCTTCCGATCTCTGCTTGGATGACATGCTCACAGTTCCCTGCTAAAGCCTTGTCCCCTGAACTCTTTCAGATGCCGGCGAGTCTAATAAAAGGGAGAGCGCGCCCACGATGGGTGGCTTTGGAGTTGGAAAGGGTTTTGGAAACAGAGGTAACTTGCTTGTGATGTCTTGCAGTCAGAACTCGAGGGACCACGAGTCCTTCCGTCTTTGAGTTCCTATCTCCCTGTGGCGCACCCGGGAAGTATGTGCCTTTCCCAGGAATCTCTGTAGCTCCTGGGGTGCCCCACTCCGGTTAGAACAGCCGTCTGTGCTGCTCTGGGGGGTCTGCTCTTCCATGTGGTTTTTACTGGCCAAGCTCCGTGTGCAGCATCTCTTCATGCTGACCCCACCACAGGTGACCCCAGTTCTCTTCTTCTGTACTCGTCTCCCCGCCCTCCCAGACACGAGGCAGGCCATACTTCATGGTGATTTGGAGCAAAGAGAGCTTTGAAAATTAAACTTTCTTCCTAAAACCTTTAAAAACTAGATCAAGAGTAGAGTTTAACCTCAGGGCCAGTAGGTGTAACTGGGAGACTCTCCTGCGCATGTGGAGATCAGCATTGGCTCTTGAGGGAGGCGAGGACAGCAGGAACGGGGCCGTTGCAGAGGGTAGTGGAACACAGTCCTTTTCTGAGTCAGCTGCAAAGATTGCCAGCATTTCAATGAACAAAGGAACTGAAGACTTAGATCCGTGACGGCTCATGCTTTCTGTAGGATTATCTTTATTTTGAAACGACATCTGCTCTAAGAAAGACACCTTTATCACCCAATTACATCCCAAAGCCAGGGCACTAATACTATAATGGTGTATTAAAGCTGCAGAGAGCTTCATGCTGGAAGTGATGTTAGGTTAGGGTTGAACCTGAGATGTTAAGTGACTTGATAGGTATACATTTTTCATATAAATTTAATATCTGTCAAACAGTAATTGGTTAGTCTCTGAATTACATAAACTATAATTTAATATTTTATAATTTAGATTAAATACTAATTGACAGACATCCTATTTTATAACTAATTTTAAAGTATATAATTTCTTGAATATGTTTTTCCCTAAAGATTATTTTATTATTAAGACTCAACATTTTAAAATGCTGTAAAATATTTAGAATTGATTTTAGAGACATGTCTATATGCTCCAGAGATGCATAAGTCTAGACACAGGTTTTTATTGAAGGAGAAAATTAAAAGCAAAGGTTGGTGGTGAAAGGTTAAAAAAATTTTTTATAAACAAGAATTTGGCAGAATTTTCTTGTTACTGATAAGGGAAAAATTACTGAATATTGGATTACAATTTAGTTGTACTATCCTCTGGCACATAAAGAAATTGAGTTAATTTATAAATTTTTTTAAATTTTGGTACGTGGATTTGAAAGTATGTAGTAGTAATACTGACCTGCACCCCTGTAATGGTCTATGTACATCTAGAGGGTCTGTGACACCTGAGGCCTAGAACACTGGCTGACATTCCCCCTCAATAACTGACACAGCAGCCTCTCCGGGCCACGGGTTCCCTGCAGTGTTGCCCAGCACACCAGAAGGTAGTGAGTTCGAGTCCCTGTCAGGCATGCATGGGAGGCTTTCTCACATCAGTGTCTTTGTCCCTCCGTCCCTCCCTCTCCCTTTCCTCCCTCCTCTCTCTCTCAAATCAATAAAAATATTTCCTCGGGTGAGGACTTAAAAATATATTAATAAATTGACACAAGGGAGAAATTGTAATACAATCTATGTGAATTCTTCAGTATTTGTATTAGTTGTCTGTGGTTTACCCTGCTCTAAAGGGACATCATAACAAGTAGTTCCCGGAAGGTGTTTTTTGTTTTACCACAGAGTACAGGTAATGATTGTTTTCAGAAATTTGCAAGTTTACTTTAAATGTTTACAGGTTTTCCCAATAACAAGCTTGAAGAAGGTGACAGCTCTGGTTTCTGGAGAGGTGAGTTCAGTGTCTTTGTACTGACTTAAAATTTAATGTCTAGAGTACATGCTACAGAGAAACTAAGATGGAGTCTTTTAGTCTGTTCCATTTCTGGAGCACTATCACTTTATACTTTCAAAGTCAACATCTCTGGAGGTGGGCCTTGGGAATTTATTTTTAATAAACTTTCCAGACAATTTTTAAGCATTTAGAAACCCTGGTAATGTCAATAAACCCAGAAAAGCCAGGATATCCCTTCATTTTTTCATTAGCAAGAATGGGGAAACACGCATTTCTTTTTAAAAAACACTGATGTCTCAGGTTTGTTAAACAGGCAAAGTACAGACATAAGGATGACCCATAAAAGAACAGTCATGTGCTTCTAGTGTCTGCGGACCATGTTTGAGACGACTAATGGTTAAGATATTTCTGAAACCATTCTAGTCAAGTGGGCAATCGTGAAATGCTTACGTCTGGCTGTGCCCTGCGCTGGGCACAGGGTGCTCAGTTACACACCTCCCATCCAGTAGTTGGCTGTAGTTGGCGATTTGCATGGGGACTGACTGAGTAATGTCTTTGTATTTCTGTTGTTAAAGTATTTTAAGAATTGTTTGTAAGTTAACTTATGAAAATGTTTTTCTTACTAATTTAGCTTGTGATGGTGCTATTTTTATTAAAACAATTTTAAAGTAATTTATTTTTTGGTCACAATTGACATATAGTTCTATAATAATTTCAGGTGATGACAATGTTCAGTTTTGATATTTCATCTTTGAAGTTAATTTTGAGATGCTATTTACATGTTAAACTTTTATTCAAGAGTCTAATAACTTCGGGGAAGACACTTCGGCGCAGAGCAGGGGGTTCTCCAGGAGAGGAGGTAAGGACCAGGTTTGGAACAATGTGTACTGGTGACTGATGCTCAGCTAGCAAACTGCTGTTGGAAGAGATGAAAGAGAGGGAAGTTTTGGTGGTGCAAACCTTTGAAGAAAACTAGGTTGGCAAATGGCCTGTGCTGTTACTACGTGGGTGAATCCTGAAAAGGTGCTCCTCTTTCCGCTTCTGTCGCTGGGTTCCCCCAGTTCCCCGGCACATGCTGTGAAGTGCAGAGCAGGCGGGCTGACGGATCCTGGTCAGTCACAGTTTAGATGGGCTGGGAGGTCTTTGTCCTGCATGGAGTCACCAGAGACGTGGGGGCAAAGGAATTGTAAGTTACTTTTGTTCTGGTCTAATGGGGCTCCCCTATACCTCACTAATCCTGCCTTTAATGAAGCAGATGTGAGATGGAATACCAGTTGTGATGCTTAATTCTTGATGATCTGTAGGCAGACCTGTTAAAACAGCTGCAACAAAGCCACAGAAACTCTCGTGAGCGTGCAGAGCTCCTTAGGGTCAGAGTCTCCCATGTGGAAGGCATTCCACGGTGCCCAATGTGCCGGTGCTCTCGCTGCCGCTTAGGGACATTCTTTCCCTGGTCGCTAGGTGGTCAGCTGGTTGCCTGGCAGCCTGCCAGTGGACTGGCTGTGTTTCAGTGTAGCCTTATTAGGGATGGGAGGTGAGAACTTATTTTGACATTAGAGGCCCAGTGCATGGATTCGTGCACCGGTGGGGTCCCTCAGCCTAGCCTGTGTCCTCTCGCAATCTGGTTCCCCTCAGGGAATGTTGGACTGCCATTTTCAGCCAGATCCCCATAGGCCAGGCCGAGGTCTGTGCACCAGGCCTCTAGTATGCATATAAAATCTTTAATTAATCGATTCCTGCCCTTGCCCCTCCCCCCTTCCCTCTGAGATTCATCAGTCTGTTCCATGTTTTCATGCCTGTGCGTTGAGTGCCCCCTGGTGGTCAGCACACATCATAGTTACTGGTCAAATGGTCACTTTGGCTTTTATATAGATTGGTGTGCATACTATCTGTATTTTTGAAAGGTTTAATATTATACCTCTTAATGACTTTTTCTTCAACATTTTAAAAGATTTATGTATTGAAAGTGTAGCTCTAAGTTTATATATTTTGACTATTATAATATTTCACTCTTGCTTAACATTTATTTTGACAAAGATGATTATTTTAAAAATAAATACTTTTATTGATTTCAGAGAGGGAGGGGGAGAGAGAGAAACATCAGTGTTGAGAGAGAATCATTGATCGGCTGCCTCCTCCACACTCCACACTGGGAGTCAAGGCTGCAAACCTGGGCATGTGCCCTGACCTGGAATAGAACCATGACCTCCTGGTTCATAGGTCAACATCAACCACTGATCCACACCGGCCAGGCAAAGATGATGATTTTAAGACCATGGGATATGTGGTGTTTGTGCCTCTGCCTTTGGAAGAAGAAGATTGTGCAGATGTTTAATTCTGCAGAATACCTGTGCTCTTTTCACCTCGAGTTCCTAGGCTCTGTATATAACTGGGAACTGGCATCACTCATGCATATCCACTTAGGAGTCAGAGCCTCTGCTGGATTGGCCCTTAAGCTGTGGACACCAGAGATGCTGGGGCATCATAGGGTCTTGGGCTCCACAGAGAAGGTGGATTTGAAAAGGCACCAAATTGAATTTATAGAAAAGAACAGAGTTGGGGAAATGATGGCTGGATTAATCATATTAAACACAGATGAATAGAATTAATGAACTCAAAGATAGATCGGAGGAGGAAGTTCTCTAAATTTGAAAAACCTGAAAGCTGTTACCAGCTTTGGAAGATAGACTGAGAAGTGCTCTTATTCCAACATGTGCCTGCACAGGTGAGGAGAGCACAAAAGGGGGAGACAAGAGAGGGGAAGGAGGAAGATAACAGATGAGACTTTTCCAGTGTAATGAGGCACGTGAGTCCCAAGGAAATTAAATAACAAATTCACACCCTACACGTGTTGAAATTACAATATTAAAAGATTAAAAAAAAAAACCACTAGAAATCCCAGGGGAGAATATGAACCTGAAGATCAGTAGGTTGAGAGAAGAAGTGTTTTCCTGGTGAAGGCAGGGGAGAGGAGTTCTGAGCCCAGGTGGGGGAGCTCATGCAGTTCAGGTGCTGGAGAGAAACGGTACCAAGCAGACAAAGACCGCGTTTAGTACTCAGACCATCGAGGAGAGAAGTGCTAAGGTGTCTAAGAGGAACTGAGCAGGAAGAAAGGAGTAGAAAGCAATGATGAGCCGCATCCTACATAATAAATCCTAATATGCAAATAGATTGAATAGCAGAATGACCTGTGGAATGACCAGTTGCTGTACACTCACTGACCACCAGGGGGCAGATGCTCAACACAGGAGCTGTCCCCTGGTGGTCAGTGTGCTCCCACAAGGGGAAGCATCGCTCAGCCAAAAGGCAGGCTCACGCCTGGCAAGTGCAGTGGCAGTGATAGGAGCCTCTCCCACCTCTGTAGCAGCACTAAAGAAGTCCAACTGCCAGCTTAGGCCTGCTTACCATAGGCCTAAGGGAGCAGGCCTTGAGGAGCAGGCCTAAGCTGGCAGTTGGACATTCCCTGAGGGGTCTCAGATTGCAAGAGGGCGCAGCCGGGCTGAGGGGTACCTCCCCCCCACCAGTGCATGAATTTCATGTACCAGGCCTTCAGTAAGTAAATAAACATTTTAAAATTGGTAAGCCTAATATAAACTGCTGCTGCTGCTGAGATTAACTTGGGCGGTTTTAAGAACAAGAAAATTAAAATACTAGCGCAAAGACTTTTGTGTGTGTGTGTGTGTGTGTGTGAGTGTGTGTATGGGTGTTTTTGTTTTTGTTTTTTTCCCACTCAGTAGGAAGGAGAATCGATTGAAAATAATTTACATATGGTAGAATTTAAGGGTGATCAGAAAAAGGATAAATAAAACATAACTTCCTGGTGGAGGAAATCTAATAGAAGGACAGAGCTTTGGAGGAAGGAGTTTAGGTTTATAATACTTAAAATATTTAAGTATTTGTGGTGAAATAAAAGGATATCAGTAAAAGTATAAAATAAAATACAGCAACTGGGGAAATCTAATAGAACAAAAAGGGGCACAAGAAGCATTGAAATTCTGTTAAGAACACTAAGATGTAGAAATAAAAACCCATATGTTGATAATCACAATATTATATGAATATATTTTATTGCAGAACCAAAAATAAAGAGAAAAAGTGTTAGTATTAACCAAAAGAAGCTGATATAGAAATCTATACTAAAAAAAGGATAATATGCTAATTAGACTGGGTCAACTGGCCATCTTCCAGACGGTTCGACTTCCTTCCAGACAAAGCCACGGTGGTGGGGGTCGAGGCAGAGGCAGTTAGGGGCAAGATCAGGCTGGCAGGGGAGAGGAGTTGGGGTGAGATCAGGCTGGCAGGGAGTTAGGGGTGATCAGGTCAGCAAGGGAGGGCAGTTGGGGGTGACCAGGCCAGTAGGGGTGGGCAGTTGGGGATGAGAGCAGGTCAGCAGAGGAGGGCAGTTGGGGGCATTAGGCAGGCAGGCAGGTGAGTGGTTAGGAGCCAGTGGTCCTGGATTGCAAGAGGGATATCCAACTGCTGGCAGATAAACCGGCAGTTGTACATCCCCCAAGGGATCCCAGATTGGAGAGGGTGCAGGCCAGCCTGAGGGACATTGCCCCCCTGTGCACAAATTTTGTGGGCCTCTAGCAGGAGATAAAAAGACTTGCATGTTAGTGATAAGTAATTAATGATACAAGGTATGCTCACTCTGAAGACATTACAGTCTGAGCATGGTTTGAATCTAACAACATATTCTGTATATAAAGCAAAAATAGAAGTAATTTGAAAATCCTAGTTAAACGCTTAATTCTAGATTTAAACCGTTTTTTCTTCTGAAACTGATAGACTGAGCAGAATGGAAAAGAATAAGACAATAGAAGATTTGAGCACCAGTTACTAGGCTTGATTTAATATTTCTGTGTGGAATAATACACCCCCAAAGGACAAATTACAAACTCTTTCCCAGTGTATGGAAAAAATATGTAGAATTTGACTATCAAGGCCAAAGGGAAGTTTCAAAGTGCAACATAGGCCAAAACTGGTTTGGCTCAGTGGATAGAGTATCCGCCTGCAGACAGAAGGGTCCCAGGTTCAGTCCCGGTCAAGGGCATGTACCTTGGTTGAGGACACCTCCCCCTCCCCCATAGGGGGTGTGCAGGGGGCAGCTGATCAATGTTTCTCTCTCGTTGATGTTTCTAGCTCTCTATCCCTCTCCCTTCCTCTTTGTAAAAAATCAATAAAAATATATTTTTAAAAAAGTGCAGCATAGGATTTATATCAAGGCCATGTCTTCTTGCTAAAGAACAATAAAAGTAGAAAGTTTAAGAACAATGAAAGTAGAACAAAAAGCCTAATGCTTGTGGTTTAGGAATTGAATTTCTCAGTTTATGCAGAACAGTGCATATGGAAATAATGAAGTATTTAGAACAGAGTGACAGTAAAAACAACATGTCAGAACTTACGGGATATAGCTGACACAGCTGGCTTTTTAGAGGAAATGTTATAATCTTAAATGCATCCATTAGAAAAGAAATTAGATGGGTGTTCACCTTAAGAAAGGAGGAAGAAAGTTCACTTAAAGATTAGACACGAATGAAATAGGAGCATACAATGGAGTGCTGTTCAGCAAGTGCAGTTACAGCAGCCAAAACGGGTGAATAAAAGAGGCATGACGGATGTGTTTAAACATGTTCCCATTATATAAAGCTCAGAAACAAAACTAAGCCATATCTTGAGTAAAGAGAAGTACATAATTGGCCAAGTTAAAATAAGAGCAAGGAAATGAAAACCCACTCAGTATAGTGGGGTTTAGAGGGGGGGTTTCCAGGAAGAAGAGATGCATTATAGGACAAAGGTACCAGGGACTGTCTACTCTTAAACTGGGTGACGGATCCATAGGTTTTCATTTTATTTTAAACGTGCATATGTTTTGTATGTTCTTTTATTTACATACACAAGCAAGGAAATAAGTTCTGCCTAAAAGTAGAAAAGCAGATCAAAAGGACTTTCTTGAAGAGAAATTCTGACAGGGTTTCTTAAAAGATAAAGGAGGCACAAATAAGCACTTAGAAGAATAAGGTGGGTGTCAGTATTGATCAATAACGTGTGGCTGGATTGAGGAGTCTCTATGAGGGGAGGGAGGTGATAGATGCAGAGCTGTCAGCCCCATTTTATAAATATGCTCTAAGCATACATAGCACCAGGTATCAAGAAATAGCATCTGTAGAATTCTTATTGATTAGTTTCCTTAACTAAAAATAGTTCCAACTTCATAAACTACATAATTTACACATTCCTACCCAGTTGGCATCTTGGTTTTAAATTGATCTTGATCTGTCATAGGTGGGATCTCATTTTACTTGAACTATTTGTACTGATTTTTTAAAATCTTTTTTAATATATATATATATGTATATATATATATATATTTTTTTTTAATATATTTTATTGATTTTACATAGAGGAATTGAGAGGGATAGAGAGTTAGAAACGTCGATGAGAGAGAAACATTGGCCAGCTGCCTCTTGCACACTCCCTACTGGGGATGTGCCCGCAACCAAGGTACATGCCCTTGACCGGAATCGAACCCGGGACCTTTCAGTCCGCAGGCCGATGCTATATCTACTGAGCCAAACCAGTTTCAGCTGTACTGATTTTTTTTTAAATTTTTATTCACTTGAGTTAAAAATGTGTTGTTTATAACAGGAAGTCACATTGTGTGTGTGTCTACATGTCTGCTTTGAGTATCATGTTTGCTCTTTCCTGTAGGAGCAATTAGAGGCACAGATTTATGTAATCTCTGCGGACTGTATACATTCTGTTAGTGATGCAGTTGTGGCAACCCTGCTTCCTTATGGTCACCTTTAGTTTTGATTCCTAAAGCCTGCGGGTTTTTTTTTTTGTTTTTTTTTTTTTTAAATATAGCCAGATCTATTCATAGTAGGAGGGTTAAACATTTATAGTCAAACTAGAGGCCCAGTGCACAAAATTCATGCACTCAAGGGAAGGGGGCCCTCAGCCCAGATTGCAAGAGAGGGTGCAGGCCAGGCCAAGGGACCCCACAGGTGCACAGTCGGGGCCGGGGAGAGACGCCAGGGAGGAACCATAGGAGGGCTCCAGGGAATGTCCAGCCCATCTTGCTCAGTCCCGATTGGCCACACCCAAGCAGCAAGCTAACCTTTCTTGGTGGTCAGTGCATGTCATAGCAGCTGGTCAACTGTCTGCCCCATGATAGTCAGTGCACATCATAGTAAGCGGTTAAGCAGCCTTAGCCTATCATTAGCATATTACTCTTTGATTGGTTGAATAGGTGACCAGACACTTAGCATATTAGACTTTTATTATATAGGATATGGTGTTCCTTCTCGGTGACTCCTTGTTCATGCCTTAAAATATGTAACGTCATTGAATGATGCGAGGCTCAAGTTAAACTGTGTCCCAGAGCATCTGTTCTGTGCTGATCACATGTGTGTTGCTGTTTTAGGCTTTCAGGATGGAAATGACTCAGAAGCTTCGGCGCCACCCAGAAGAGGTGGACGAGGTGGCTTCCGAGGTTGCCGTGGAGGGTTTGGCCTGGGAAGTCCAAGTGAGTAGTGGGTGCAAATGGTGCGGTTGAGCGAGGAGGACACGGTGCAGACAGGCCTGTCCTGGGGTTGCTGGGAGGATGCTAGGATGGCCCCGCACGGGCTGGGGCACAGCCACCTACGTTGCACATGTGTTACATGAACGCATCCTGCTTTTTAGAGAGCATGCGTCTTCGTAGGCGTCTGTGTGCCTCAGCTCTTAAGTGTTATGCACGGTATTGTTTTGGAGCCGTGCTAACGTGGCCGACCTTGTCAATAGGTGGCCGCCTTCTGGCTCCTGAAGGAAATAATTCGTGGAGAAAACCTGTGTGCAATACTTAACACTCAGGTGACTCCCAGTGTGCACGGGGCCTCCAGTTTGACTATTTCACCCACATCTTTTAACTCTTGGCACTATAACTTCATTTTTTCTTTTTACCCACGATTTTAAAACGTCTTAGAAGTAACAAGTAATCTAACTTTATCATCTGTAAATCTAGACAGCGAGTGCGAGCAAGACGAGGGGACGCCACGCACTGCCGGCCTCTTTGGATCCAGGAGACCAGCGTTTAGTGGCCCGGGTGAGAAATAGAATTCACTATTGACTAGTAATCGTTTACATACGCGTTCAGCTCGAGGATTGGTAAACCTAGCATATATGTTTAAGTATGCGAGGTTGGCTCATGATTTTTTTCTGCTTTCTAGATCTGTAGGCAAAAATACATGGACATTTTTGCCTCATAAAATTTATACACTGTGAATTACTTCTTCTCTCTTATCTACCAGTTAATTGGAGTTATAAATTGTGCTTTTAATTAGAGAAAGGAAAATAAATTTTGCATTCGTTTCAAAGAAGTGATTCTGAGTTTGGAGATTTTAGAAGAAAATGAACTAAGAATACAATTGTTGATGAATAATGTTCAAATGTGAGTACATAAACTGTGGTACATCCAGACAATGGACTATTACTCAGCATTCAAACGAAATGAGCTGCTTACCAGGCTATGCGGAAATGTGGAGGGCCTTCAATATCTATTGCTAAGTGACAGAGTCACCTGGAAAGGCTGCGTACCTCTGATCCCAACTCCATGTCCTCCTGCAAAAGGAGCACGGTGGCATTTCGGGGTCAGTGGGAGGTGCTCAGGGCAGTGGGAGGGTTGGGCAGGCAGAGCATAGAGGTGGGAGGGGCAGTAGGAGGGGCAGTGGGAGGGCTGAGCAGGGCATGGAGGAGCTCAGGGCAGTGAGAGGGTTGAGCAGAGCATGGAGGTGCTGGGGGGGCAGTGGGAGGGGCAGTGGGAGGGCTGAGCAGAGCATGGAGGAGCTCAGGGCAGAGGGACTGCTCTGTAGAACGCTGTAGTGGTGGTTACGCCTCCTTCCATGGTTGTCAAACCCACAGAATGGTCAGCACAGAGTGAGCCTGATGTTCGCTCTGGCCTCTGGGGTGAGGACGTGTCAGTGAAGGGTCTCAGTGGTGACAGGTGCACCCCAGGGAGTGTTGATAGATGGGGAGAGGGGTGTGCATGCGTGGAAATAGGAGGAAATGGGAAATCCCCATATCTTCCTTCATTTTTGCTGTGAATCTAAATCTGCTCTAAAAATTGAAGGTTTGTTAATGTCTTTATTGTTGAAAGTATTACATTTGTCTCTCCCCCTACCCCCCTTCCCCGTTGCCTTTCCCAAGCCTTCACCACCCACTGGCTGTGTCCTTGGGTTATGCATCTATGCATATGAGTTCATTGGTTGATCTTACCCCTTACCTCCACCCTCCCCTACTTTCCCTCTGAGGTCTGACGGTCTGATTGATGCTTCTCTGTCTCTGGGTGTATTTTATGTATCAGTTTATGTTGGTAATTGTATTCCATAAATGAGTGACATCATGTGATATTTATCTTTCTCCGACTGACATTTCGCTTAGCATAATGCTCTCTAGGTCCATCCATGCTGCTGCAAATGGTAAGAGTTCTTTCTTTTTTACAGCTGCATAATATGCCATTATATAGATGTACCATAGGTTTTAATCCACTCATCTGCTGATGGGCACTTAGGCTGTTTCCAAATCTTAGCTATGGTAAATTGTGCTGCTATGAACATAGGAGTGCAGACTTTCTTTCTGATGGGTGTTTCTGAGTACTTGGGTTGTATTCCTAGAAGTGGGATCTAAAAATTTGAAGTTTGAAAAGAAAACATTCAGATGAGAAAAAGGTTTAGATGGGACGTAGACTGCAGAGGTGGATGTCGAGGGACTAGTCCTGAGCACGCGCTCAGGGTTTGGTTAGAACAGCTCTGTGGTGTGTGCGCTGGACGGGGGGTGCTTTCTCTCAGGTCTGCAAAACCGTGTCTTCCAGGCCATGGCGACATCTTCCAAAGCAGGAGCGGGAGCGGGCGCGGTGAGTGTGTTTATTCATTTGTTAATCCTCACCCAAGGATAATTTCCCATTGATTTTTAGAGAACGGAGGGAGGGAGGATTGGGGGGTGAGGTGAGAGAGACACATCCATTGGTTGCCTGCCACACATGCCTGACCAGGGCTGGGAATCAAAACCCCAACCCAGTGCCCTTGCCCAGGAATTGAACCCGTGGCCCTTGGTGGGCAGACCAATGCTCTAACCACTGAAGTGTTAAAATTATTGTAATACAAGTTTAATTTTTGAAGTTAAATATAGCTGTTACTGCATTTATCCACTTGGAGGAGCATACATTTGTACTTAATGCTGCAGATGTATTTGCTTAATATGTGTATAGGGCTGTTTACTGAAGTAAGGACTGAAAGTCACCTAATATTTACCAGCAAGTAACTTCTGTAATATAACCATGAAGTGAAATATCAGGTAAATATTAAAGATTGAGGAACATCTGTGTATAGTTCCTTATTTTAACACAGTTTGATTTGGTGGGGGGGTAAAGTTCAGTATATCTGACGGGGTGCTCCGAGGGGTGTTTTCAATTCCACATCCTTCCTGTCCTGTGAGAGGGGTCACACTTTCCTGGCTGCTGAACAGTGAAGCTGGTGGGCTGTCTGGATGCCCCTCAGTGACATGGCGAGTCTGGGAGCATTCAGAGCAGCACTCCCGCTCAGGTTCTGGAGTCCCGATTCTAGAAAGAGGTTCTTCTCCAGATGCTCCTGTGCGGTTTGAAAAGAAACGTTTCAAGACCTTTCTGTGGACAAGAAAAGCATAGTGCTCCCAGGAAAAGGCTCCATCTGTTAGCTTTCCACATAAGTGCCGTCTGTGCTGGGCTGTGCTGGTCCCCCAACGGCCCAGAGGGGATCGGTGCCTGAGGTAGGAAGGTCACAGGGCAGAGTTAGCGTAGCAGCCTGCTGCTCCTCAGGCCTGCCTGCACTGCACCGTGGGGTCTGGAAGTGGGTTTGGGATGCTCAGAGTGGTTCACTGTGACTCACCTGTTTGTGCAACAACGTGGCTTCTGCTGACACCTGCTTTCTTCTGGGGTGTGGACGTGCAGGCCGGAGGTGGTGGCATGGTCAGTCCCGCAGAAAAAGCCTGGGTCTCGAGGCTTCTGAGCTGCCTCTGCGGACAGCAGTCCCAGCTCCTTGCTGGGGGGTGAAGCGCGTCCTGGGAGTCAGCAGGGGAGAGGACATGGCGCTTGGCCTGGGTGTCTGACTGCCCCTTGGCGGTTCTGCTCTCTGGCCTTTTCCTGTAATAAATCATCGTGGGAGTCCTAGGAAATGGTGGGACCTGGAGGTGCTGGGGGACACCCCAACACAGGTGAATGCTTAGTTCCTTTTAGAAAATCCCTTTGCTTGAAGGATATTAGGAGATATAACAGCTTAATTAAAAAAACAGTCATATTTAACAGGGTCCTCTGCATTAAACCAGGATTTTGAATACTAAGGAAACTTAAAATGCTCAGGATTCTGCATATCTTAATTGTCTCAAGTATTGTTTATGCAAAAGGACTTTAAAGACGCCTGTCCGCTTTTAGACTTGTTCTCTTTGAAGACAAGCAGTGGAATAAAGGTGGGCACAGCCGTGGTCTTGACTGATTGTCACTTGGGTTTCCTTGCCAGGTGGTTACAAGGGGCTAAATGAAGAAGTCGTCACGGGCTCTGGGAAGAGTAAGTGCTCATCCTGTAGATGAGGGTCTGACTCAGAGTGAGAGCTTTCACCCCAACTTGAAAAAACATTGATCTCTTTTTTGGGTTTATTCCCTTTAAGATTCTTGGAAATCAGGAACTGAAGGAGCAGAAAGTGATGACATTCAAGGTACATAATTTTGTGTGATTCACAGAATGTGTATTGCATTTTAATAAAAACGCAGAATATTTAGAAGCAAAGTTAACTTTTTAAACTTAGAAATGAGAACTTTAATGCTAAATACTGAGGAATTCTATAGTATTTAAAGTTTGATTTTGCCAGTTTTGTCTGTTTCCCTCTTACTTTTCTTTAGTCCTGTAATGTAGCTTCTGTTTATTATTGAATTCCAAGGACCCAAAGTGACCTATGTTCCACCTGCCCCGCCCGAGGATGAGGACGCCATCTTCGCACACTACCAGACAGGCATCAACTTTGACAAGTACGACAGCATTCTCGTGGAAGTGTCTGGACACGATGTTCCACCAGCGATCTTGGTCAGTGTAACCACTATCCCTGTATTGACTATGTCTCAGACTGGGGGTTTCAAAATATATGGTACATCCCTTTAAGTTGATCCTAAGAATACAAGAATTTCATCTTAGTAAATAAAGTGTTAGGAAATTTGAAAGCATGTCTGCCATCTATATAGCGTTAATTCCTGCGTGGAAAGGCTGCTCTAAGCCAGGGTGCACGTTTTACTTAAATTTACCAAAAAGGATACTTCTTGTAGAGGCAAGTATGTGAGAAGGTGTGGGTGAGGGGAGCGATTTCCTGCGGTGGGTGGGACTTGTTGATGAGGAGCCCTTGTTACCAATCAGGTACTTATGTCTCGTGGGCTCACAGGGCCAGAGAGTTGCTTTTAGAGCCACTGTCTCTGGAACTGCTCTTACGCGATGGAGTAGTGGTTCGGGCTGGAGAGTGCTGGGAGTGGGCGTGTTAGTAAAGTAACTGTATTATGTAGAGTGGAATTAGAAAAACTGAAAACAAATGCAATCTGTTTATGGAATGATCGGCAGTTGACAAATGGAAACGAATTACTCCCCTTTTCTTCTAGACGTTTGAAGAAGCTAATCTCTGCCAGACGCTGAATAACAACATTGCTAAGGCTGGTTATACGAAGCTCACTCCTGTGCAGAAGTACAGCATCCCTATTATCCTCGCAGGGCGAGACATGATGGCGTGTGCGCAGACGGGATCGGGGAAAACTGTGAGCCCCTCTCCCCTCGTGTGCTGCCCGCACTCAGGTTCACGTTTTTTGAATGTATTAACTAGTGTGCAGCTTGAATCTCTTGTGGGATTGAAGTTGAAGATGATGTCCCTGAACTGTTGTAAATACTGTACTGGAGGTTTTGCTTCTGGTTTCTGCTTTTATTGGGGTGTGCATAGTTCTGAAGAAAGAATTTTGAAGTGATTTTAGACTAGTTTTGCAGTTAACATGTTTAATTTTCCTAAGTGTCTTCAGCTCCTTCTGGAACACGGTAGTGTCTAAACCAAAATGATGGAGGGTGAAAGAGGATGCCTGGCAATTTGTAAACTGTGCCATTTCACTTGCAGGCAGCGTTTCTCTTGCCGATCTTGGCACACATGATGCGTGACGGCATCACCGCCAGCCGTTTCCGAGAGCTGCAGGAGCCCGAGTGCATCATCGTGGCCCCCACGCGGGAGCTCATCAACCAGATCTACCTGGAGGCCAGGAAGTTCTCCTTCGGGTGAGTGCGGCGAGGCCACTCCCAGCAGGCGCTGTTTTTGAGAAGGAATACCTTCTCTGGGGAGAGCTCAGTCACAAGGCAGTTATGTAACGCAATTGAAGTGCTCCTTCTCCTAATCTTGTTTGTGGAATCCCTGCTTATTCTTATTTGTAAAAAGAAACATGCTCGTGAAAAATTATATGATAATAGAATGATAAGAAAGTAGTGAACATATTGGTGTATGTTCTGGTAGGTTTATTTTATTTTATTGATTTTTTACAGAGAGGAAGAGAGAGGGATAGAGAGTTAGAAACATCGATGAGAGAGAATCATCGATCAGCTGCCTCTTGCACGCCCCCTACTGGGGTCGTGCCCACAACCAAGGTACATGCTCTTGACCAGAATCGAACCCAGGACCTTTCAGTCCGCAGGCCGACACTCTATCCAAACCGGTTTCGGCTCTGGTAGTTTTTAATTTAAAAAATTAAGTTCAGGTATTCCTAATTTTCTGTCTTTTTACACATAAATATGGAAAACTGCTTATTTCATAATTAGACCTAATTCTTAAGGACTTTAAAATTATGTGTATACATTTTATTTCCCTATTTGGGGGTATTGGAGTTGTTTTTAATTTGGGGCTACTATGAATAAAGCATTCTTATAACCATTGTTTTGAACTCTATCTGGTACATTACTCGCCTCCATTTCATTTAGTTCTTTTTCTAGATTTCTGCAGTTCTTTCATTTGGGGCACATTTCTTTGACTTCTCATTTTGGCTTCTCTCTGTGTTTGTTTCTGAGCAGTGGGTAGAACTGTTGAGTCTCCCAGTCTTGGTAGGATGGCCTTACTGGTAGGTCCTCCGGGGGCCAGTGGCACAGTCTCCTCAGCCCCTGGGCCCGTTCTCCAGGAGTCTCTGGTGTGGGCTCTGGGCCTCCGGTGGGAGTTGAGCCTTGAAGGAAATACGGTGCCCGTGGGCCTGCAGTAAGAGGGCTCGACATCCAGAGCCACACGATGCGGTCCGTCCCGTGTGTCTCTGACTCACCTGGACAGGTCGAAATCCCTGCTGATTTTTACGGCCAGAGGTTATGTGGCCCCTCTTCCTGGCTCTGGCACTCTTGGCTGGAGAGCCGGGCATGGGGTTGAGGCCCTCGCTCGTAAGGGGGAACCTTTGCAATGAGACATCCTTCCTGGTTCTAGCCACTCGTGGGCGGGGCCCAGCCCTTCTCGCACCTCCCCCCACCCCACCAGTCTTGGGTGGCATCCTCTGTATCCCTGGCTGTCAGGCTTCTGTTCAGCTTCCTCAGCTGTCCTCAGCTTGATGCTCAGGTGGGTGGGTTTGTAGTTCAGTTGTAAGGTTGATGTGGTCATGGGAGGAAGTGAGCAGTGTCCACCTGCTCTGCGTCTTGCACCTTCCTCCACATGTGCATTTCAGTCCTCATGACAAATGGTCGCCTACTCAGCTGTGTTGCCTGTGATTGTAAATGGTGTTGCTGTGGTATTGCTTATTCCAGAGCTGACCCTTTCTCTTTATGAAAGATAGTCCTTTGGATGGATGGACTGTGACTTGAGTTTTCTATTGTTAAATACTTAGGTAGTTTTCAATCTTTCAATACTAAAAATAATGATGGCACTGAATCTTATTATTATACAGTCATCTTTGCCCATTATGGGGACATATTTGAAGGATAAATTTGTATGTGTGAACTTACTGGAATAAAAATATGTTTTTACATTTTAATAGTCACTACAGTTGTGAAATGGGTGGCATCAGTTTACCCCTCGAGTGCCAGTTTCCCTACGGTCTTTCTGGTGTTATCACACTTGAGGAGAAATGTTATATTAATCTTCTTTTGTTTTCCTTTTTTAAATAATGTGTGATTAAAAGCTTTAAAGGTCATTTGTGCTTTTAATGAATCATCTTTTCATGTTTTTGTCCTATTTTTGTGTGGGCGGTGGTGGTGGTTATCCTTGTTTTTGAAGAGCTCTTTATCAGATACGTAATAAAATATTTTTCCATGGTTTTTCATTTATCAACTTCTTCCTGGGAAGAATTTGATTTTTTAAAGGTTGTTGAATGTATTAGGTTTTGTCTTTATGGATTTTGCCTTTTCATTTTGTTAGATATAAGTGTCTAATTTTCAAGTAACTAGAAAATAACCTATTTTTTCTTGTCAATAGAACTTGTGTAAGAGCTGTTGTCATATATGGGGGAACCCAGTTTGGGCATTCAGTTCGACAGATAATCCAAGGCTGTAATGTGCTATGTGCTACTCCAGGGAGACTGATGGATGTCATCAGTAAAGAAAAGGTAGGCCCCAGGGGGAGGCTGTGTGGACGAATTAAGTTTGGTTTGGGAAATGGAGACAGTGGTATAAAGAAGGAGATACTTATTAGAGCACCATTTATAGCCATTTGTATGTCAGGCCCCCTCACATTTTTTGAATGTGTTATTGAAATAATTTCAACAGGAGATAAATAGTATTTTTAATTTCACACTTGGGAAAACAAACTCAACATGATCTTGTTATTTATTTAAAACCCCCTAGTTAGCTCTAGAAAGTTAATAGTGCTAGGGTAGAATCTGGATCTGTTTTCAGAATCCATATCCTATATCCAGCCACAGTAGGAGAAAAATGTGATAAATGCTTTTCTCTAGTTTCATATACACTGAGTGGCCAGATAAATATGATCTCTGAACGCATAATAATCTGGCCACTCAGTGTTTCCTCTATAATAAAAGGCTAATATGCAAATTGTCCCCTTGACCAGGCATTCGACCAGCAGGCAGGCTGTCCAACCACCCATGTCCCCTCCCCATGGCCAGACTGGCAGGACCCTACCCATGCACAAATTCATGCACTGGCCCTCTAAAACACACACACAAACACACACACACACTCACACACTCTGAGTGGCCAAATTATTATACATTTGGAGATCATTATAATCTGGCCACTCAGTGTATGTCTTGATGAAATCTTTTTTCCACCTAGAGCAGTGTGGTAGGCAAACTCATTAGTCAGCAGAGCCAAATATCAATAGTACAGCCATTGAAATTTCTTTTGAGAGCCAAATTTTTTAAACTTCTTCTAACGCCACTTCTTTAAAATAGACTCACCCAGGCCATGTTATTTTGTGGAAGAGCCACACTCAAGGGGCTAAAGAACTGCATGTGGCTTGAGAGCCACAGTTTGCCAACCATGGCCCTAGAGTAGGGGTGTCGAACTCAATCAGAGAAGGGGCCAAAATCTAAAATCCAGCCTAAATCGCGGGCTGAATGGTTTACTGAACAGTCATAAACTGTCATTGTGATGGAAACGCAGCGGAGTGCAGTGATGACAGCGCGGTGCGGGCCACATTGCAAGGCCTTGGCGGGACGGATTTGGCCCGCGGGCCTTGTGTTTGACACATGTGCCCTAGAGGAAGCCTTTAACAATAATAATTTTGTCTCTCATTTAAGAGTGGGAGCAATAGTAACCAGACTTGTTAATTTTCTAAGACCTTAAGGAGATTTTAGGGCATGTAGTGATTTTAGGTCTCACATCCCACACTCTTATGTCCCTGAACAATACTTTAAGTTCACTTTCACGAATATGATTTGCTATTTTTTAGCTCTTTTCTAAAGAGGTTACTCCAAACATGCTTTTCCTGCATCAAGGCACTTCTCTTAGAATCCGTACTAAGAGTATCCAGAGGGGAGGTAGGGTGGGGACGGATGAAAGAGGATGAAGGGCTTAGCCAGAGAACATGCTGTCTGTGCACAGGTCGTGGACACACACAGCTGTGTGATGGTGGCCAGCCGGAAGGGGAGAGGGGCCGGGGACGGTGGGCCAAGTGGGGGGTAAAAATGGGGACGTCTGCAATAGTGTCAGCAATAAAAATAAAGTAAAAAAGAGCATCCAGAGAGGGCCATCTTAGCCTTTCACTAAACATGTCCCATGGTGGTACCAAAGTCATTCGTTTCCTGTTTGCAAAAGTGTGCTGCTCTTTATAGCAATAAAGGTTCAAGGTCAGAGGCGTTTCCCAGTTGTTCTTGAGTGATTAGAGAACGGAGAATTTATTCAGGGTTTGAAGGAGTTAGAAAAAAATTGCCATTTAAAAGACATTTGTATTTGTCATCATGTTAGAAATTTTTATTTCTCAAGGAATCTGACTTTATCAGATAACACAGTCTAGATCTGTGCTGTCCAATTCATCATTCATGTGGCTATTTAACTTCAAAGACTATACAAAATTTAAGATCCAGTTTCCCAGGCACACTAGCCACAGGTCAAGTGTGTGAGTAGCTGCAGTGCCCGCGGCTGGTGTGTCAGGCAGCGAAGATGCAGAATGGTCACGTGAGTACTGGAAGGCCTGCTGTGCAGTATGATATGGATGTTCTGGTTTTAATCGTAACTTATGAAATGTTTAAAACATCAGAGATCAGTGAGAACTGAAATAATCAGTAAAGCATTTTCTAAGTGTAACCATTCTCATTGCATTGATTTCTAATCTTCATCCTTAAGAAAACATTAATAGTTGGAGTAAGGAGAATATTTTAGTTTAATGTATTAACTAGTGTGCATTCTCTTCTCTAACCTTTGAAAATACCCGTAAAGATTGGTCTTAGACAAGTCAGATACCTAGTTCTGGATGAAGCCGACCGCATGCTGGATATGGGCTTCGGACCAGAAATGAAGAAATTAATTTCCTGCCCGGGAATGCCTTCGAAGGAACAGCGCCAGACCCTTATGTTCAGTGCCACTTTCCCAGAAGAAATTCAGAGGTTTGTTTTCCTTCCTAAGGATGATTGTAATGTGCGTAAGTGCTTTCATAGAAACAGAAACGTGTTTTTTGAGAAACATTTGATTTTTTTAAGATTTTAAAATAGTTTAAAAAGTAGATGTATTTCTAAAAACTTGACCATACTTTTCATTGTTTCTTACCTTTGTTCTTGGTTTTGCATTAACGTGTATGTATTATAGCTCATAGCTAGGATTTAGTCAGTTCTTACTCAATGAAGTTGTCTTTGTAATTGTTCCTTTTCTTCACATCAGTTACAGAGCTTGGGGGAGCTGGTCTTGGGGAGGAGATGTGCATAGCAACTGTTGACAGATGTGGTCTGAGAACCCTGCTAGTGTGCTGCCTCTTCTTTGGTCTGCCGGTCCCAAAGCCGTGCGAGCCTGCGGTGTCCAGACACCGCAGTGTCGGCTCCCGAATCTGCTGTTTTCAGAGGCGGGACTGTTCTCTCTTTGGGACCAAGACCTCCAGACCTGCAGGCCTATCGTGGGGGCAGGAAGCACGGGTTCCATGGCGGGTCTCTGGAGTGATGGGAGGGGGCCTCTCTTGCTTGCGCCCGTTGGTGCCCAGGCTCCTGCCCCACAGAAAGATCCTGATTCCGAGTTCCTGTGCCTATGGCGTGATGCCAGCCTCACAGGGTCTCTTCAAGCCGGGCACTGGCTGCTTTCTAGGGAAGGGCGGCGTCAGCTCCTGTCCGGTGGCAGCTCCAGAGGCCCAGTGTGTCGTGGCCTGTGGGCCGCCTGTGCTCGGCAGAGGGCCCGGGCCTGGTAGAAGTAGCATGGGACCGCACACCCCAGGTCCTCAGAGGGGGCTGGCTGGCAGTTCCTTCACCAGTGTCTGCGTGTCTGCCCTGAAATAGGAAAGCCCTTGGTGTCAGCCGGGCCAAATGACCATGTGTGCCCATCGGGCAGCAGTGTCTGCTGAGGCTTTTCCTGAGCCGTGTTGGATTCTGAGCCTGGGAACATACAGGAAGTCGGGTGGATTCCCTGCTCGTGGGTTGTGTGTATCATTCAGTCCCTGACTCCTCGGTCGCGTCCCTGTCTTCTGCTTGACTCCGTGCTCCTCTCTTCATGCTCGCCGAGGCCTTGCAGCGTCCGTTTCGCTGGCTGGCACCTGCCTGTTGCCCGTACCCCTGGTCTCTCCTGAGCTCTGGCACTCAGCTCTCACCTCTTGGCGGCATTTTCCTCTGGGCTGCATCACCAGCAACTCCTGCTCCTCACGTCCACGCTGAGCCTCTTCCCCTCCCTCTTGCCAGTTTTCCTGATTAGGATCACGGTCTTTTTAAGCCCAAATCCTTTAAATTATGTTGAATCCTCCCTCACATCCCTTTACATCTCTGCTCTTGAAAATTATTCAACTTGGTAGTTATCCCTAAAATGTTTCGAATCTGTTAGTTTCTTCTCTGTTTCCGGCCATAATTTAGAGCCTTTTCAGTTTCCCCCTACTTGTGGGCAGTAGCTTTCTAACCTGCCTCCCTCCCTCAGCCCCTTTTTTGCGTTAGAAATAATTCTAAAATGAAGTCTGACCCTCTTGGACATTGATTCAGAATAAACCCATCATGTTTCCCATTCCTGCAGACTAGCAGCTTTCAAATGCTCCCCTGCCACTTGCTTCCTGGAACGGTCTGTTTCTGCTCTGTGAGAGCGGCGTCCTGTGGCAGGCAGGCCGCACTCCATCCTCCTCGTCATCTGTTCTCGTCTCTCCTCCTTTGGCATGGAAGCCTTGCCCAACCATTCCTCTTCCACACTCTGACCTGCTGCTTCCTCAGATCAAGCTTCAAACTCGAAGACTCTTCTGAATAGACATCATTTTAAACCGTTTAAAACACATTGTACATTTATTGGAATGTAAGAAGTGTTCAGCAGATTGTTATATAAATACATTAAAATATCTACTATAAAACTAAAATGTGTAAATATTATAGTAGTTATTTTTATATAAATGGATGTGACACCTCAGAGGCAGAGACTGTCACATTCATCTTGGTTCTCCCAGTGCCCTGGCGCAGGCACTCACGCTGTGGGTAGGGAATGAGGAGGAGGAAGGGCAGGAAGGAACTCCTGACACTGTCGAGGTGACGGACGAGAGGGTGCTTGCTGGAAGGAGGTAGATCAGAAGGAAGCCCTTCCCTCTTTGTGGTGGTGGGGGTTGGAGGAGCAGGTGAGGAGAAAGGAGCAGCAGTGATTGATGAAGAATCTGGATGCACTGAGTTAAACTACTTCCACGGCGTTCCACGGCGTTCTAGGAGGCAGCTAGAAACAAGGGAGAGAAGGGGACTGAGGTGGATTTGGATCTGCCCTTTCATCCCCCAGACGCGGCTGTGTGACTGCCTGTTCCCCTTCTCCACCTCCCAGGTCTCTGGGGCACCTTGTGCCTGTCAGGAAAGATGCTGGTGCCCGGCTTTGAGCGAGCATCATCAGCCGCCTGGCCTGGCCTCTGGGCCCTTGCCTCGTTTTTTCGCCTAGTTTGTTCAAGAATGATTTTAATGTGTGTCCCGACGAGAAAGGCACTGCCCTGAGGTCTGGTTTGCTCATGAGAGTTCGTTTGAAGTTTAGTGACTTGATAAACAGTATTTTACATGATAAAAGCAATGAGCAGAGAACAGGATTTTTGCATAAACTTACATTTCAGTGGAGCATCCTTTTCATAGTTATACACACATTTTATAGTTTTGTGTGGGCAGCACATGCAGTTGGAATTACTATGTCCATTATTTGACACAAACTTTTCCACTAGTAGTTATGTATTTTGCAGAAATTAGTATTTTATATTGATTTTTGAAAGGAGTGTTTGGATGACACAAGTATTTACCTTATGTTGTAGTTGTTATGATCTGTCTTGCAGGATTTCAGCAGATGTTTTTGCGTGTTAATGGAAGAGGTAAAGTGAAGGAATAATCTTTGTCTTTCCAGGATGGCTGGCGAGTTTTTGAAGCTGAACTACTTGTTTGTTGCTGTCGGACAAGTGGGTGGAGCCTGCACGGACGTCCAGCAGACGGTGCTCCAGGTGGGCCAGTACTCCAAGCGAGAGAAGCTGGTGGAGACGCTGCGGAGCACAGGTGCGGCGCGTGGGGCTGGTTCTGGCTCTGGGTTTAACGCTGCTGCTAGTGCTGTTTGGGATGGGTTTTAACGCTGCTGTTAGTGCTGTTTGGGATGCGTTTTAGTAAGTTTATTTTCATTCTTTTTCTAAAGCTGTTTTTATGATTTGGTTTTCTGTGTAAATTATATAGTAGTGTAGTCCTTTCTCCTCCATAAAGCTTAAAAGTAGGAAGGATGTGAGACTTTGCTTAACAGTATTTGACTAAAAACTATTCCAGCAGAAAAACATGGGTTTTTGTTTGTTTTAGAAAACAGAAAGGCTTAGTAACATACTTTTACATCAGACTCTTCTCCACAAAAGTGAGCTCTGCTGTATTTCTTGCTCCCGTTTTTGCTTCCGAAGGCCTCCTGTGCTCATGGATTGGAAGCGTCTTAGCACTAGAAGGGACTCTAAAAGACCTGACTCAACTTCCTCACAATTCTGAGGAGAAACCCAGTTCCCCTTCCCAAAACCATTCCTGTGGGAAGTCACCCCTGTGTCTCTTTGTGTGAGGGAGTAGCTGGAGGCTGTACCTGAAACAAAACTTCCAGGAGGGCCGTCTAAGGCCTCCCACCTCACAGGGAGTGGGATGGAGTGCGTTACAGACTGCACGTCCCACCCTCTCTCCTCCCTGTAGCTGCTCTCTCTGTTTGAAGGGAAAGAGGCAACATGTGACGCTAGAAACCATCTGGTTTCCAAAAGTGAGCAAAAGAAAGAAAGCATTTGTTAAAGGTGTCTGGTATTTACATACAGGTGTCCCTCAGAAATACATGCCGTACACACTTGAACAGCTGACTCAAACGGGTTTTCTCTCCTCCCAGCCCAACCCAGGAGGGGATATTTGTGTCTCGATCTGACCAGGTGTTGGTGGAGGAGCACTGGTGGATGAGGAGGTTTCCTCCTCGCCTCCCTTTTCTTCTCCTGAGTTTTTAGTTTGCATGTTAGTCAGTTTCATTGTCTTCATTGTAGGTGATGAAAGAACAATGGTTTTTGTTGAAACTAAGAAAAAAGCAGATTTTATTGCCACTTTCCTTTGTCAAGAAAAAATATCAACAACAAGCATTCATGGGTGAGTAGGTAAACACCACTTCCTAGGAGGGAGGCGGGATCTACTTGCCGATTGTTCAGAAACATGAGTGTGTGCCACGAATATGATAGAATCCTAGGATTCATGTTCGGAATTCTCAAAACAAAACTATTCTTCTCCTTCACTTTAAGGTTTTATGTGAACTCAGTGTCGGACGAGGAGGTCAGGCCTGTCTTAGGGCTCCTCCTCCCGAGGAGGGGGGGACTCCTCTAAGGTGCCCCTGCAGGGCCGTGCTCAGAGCCCATGGCTTCCTGTGCCGAATCTATCTCTGGGCCCACTGCGTGCTACAGCGTGTTAACCGGCAGGACTGGCCCTTCACCGACTGTACATGTGAAATAACTAATCAGTGACTGTAGAATGCTGAGGCTATACTTTGTCAGAAACCTGTATTTTTTAAGAAGTATTCTAATCAAATTAGTGTTTCTTCCAAGACTAGAAAGATTATTAATAGAGATTACTAATAGGTGAGACTTGACATCTGTCATCCTGGAGTTCAGTTTGGCTGTGTGCATCAGCTGTACGTCACCTGCAGCTGGGGATGATGTTCCCGCCTCAGAGCATTGGGGAGCTGTGTGATACGTGTCATGTGAGAGAGAACATTAGCGTCACATATTGCTGGTATTAAAAAGAAATTGAACGTCAATGCTTTTACTGGCATTAAAAATAAATCCACACATCAAACTGTAAAGGCTCTCCTTATCCTTTTCTTCAGAGCTGTCCTAAACACCTGCTTTCCTTTCTTCCAAGTGACCGGGAGCAGAGGGAGCGAGAGCAGGCCCTGGGAGACTTCCGCTGTGGGAAGTGCCCCGTGCTGGTGGCCACTTCCGTCGCCGCCAGGGGCCTGGACATTGAGAATGTCCAGCATGTGATCAATTTTGACCTGCCCTCCACCATCGCCGAGTATGTTCACCGCATCGGGCGCACCGGCCGCTGCGGGAACACGGGCAGAGCCGTCTCCTTCTTCGATCCTGAGTCAGACCGGCCCTTGGCGCAGCCGCTCGTGAAGGTGCTGTCGGATGTAAGTGTCCGTCGTCGAGCTGCACCAGTGTCTCCCTCAGCGGGAGGTGGGCACTGCACACAGGCATTCCGGAAGGTGGACGGCAGTCTCTGAGGCTGCGTCTGCGCATGTGGTTCATGCAGCTCGTTTGTTTTAAAGGCCCAGCAGGACGTCCCCCCGTGGCTGGAGGAGATCGCCTTCAGCACCTACGTGCCCGGCTTCAGTGGGAGCAGCAGAGAGAACGTGTTCATGTCGGTGGACACCAGGAAGGTTGGTGGGGTGGTTCAGAGGGGGCTTCTAATCACTCCGTGGACGTATGTCTGCTACTGTGACGTGCCGAGAACCGCCAGTATTGGCCTGGCCATTGTTTTTATACCTGAAGGTTCCTGTAATATATCTCTAAAATTCCTTGTATATAGGTGTTTTTGGTGTTAGAGGTGAGGAAGTAACATCAAGGTTTATACTCATCAGTCCCCCTCTCCCAAGTGTGCTGGCATTTTAAATTCTAATTTGGTATCTTTTGAACTTACTGTAGGAATTCTTTATTTTTGGAATTCTTGCCACATTATTACTAAGATACAGTCCTAGAAACATGAGTTGTACATCTTTTTAAAAATATATATTTTGATTTTTTTACAGAGAGGAAGAGAGAGGGATAGAGAGTTAGAAACATCGATCAGCTGCCTCCTGCATATCCCCCACTGAGGATGTGCCTGCAACCAAGGTACATGCCCTTGACCGGAATCGAACCTGGCACCTTTCAGTCCGCAGGCCGACGCTCTATCCGCTGAGCCAAACTGGTTTCAGCTGTACATCTTTTCTGATGTGTCAGTTTCTAGGCAACAGAGACAGTGAGCATAGGAATCATGAAGTAGTTGCACGTATCATTGGTGTCAGAGCTTTAAGTTTCTCCATTTTGCCAGATTGTTGGCTTGAAGTGTTTTCCTTGACTTCCCTGGTGGAGCCGGACCTGGTCCCCAGAGAGCTGGTTCTGGAGACGTGCTGCCTGCTCTCAGTGTGGGCCGTGGAGCCGGAGGGGTCAGCACACTAACTCTCTCTCTCTCTCTCTTAAAGAATTTCCATGGCAAGAGCACTCTCGGCACAGCAGGCTTTTCCTCTCCGCAAGTCCCGAACCCAGCAGATGACGAGTCGTGGGATTAAAGCCACAGCAGCCTCCAAGCTCGGATAGTTTTGATGCAGAGAAGCAGTTTTGATTTTGAGTTTTTAACGGACGTGTGAAACCCAGTACTCGTATCTCCTGTCGTTCTGTTCTTACTCCCGCCCTTGAAACCCCTCACTGGCCAGTTACGTGAGAGGCTGATACAGATGGTGTTACCTGCAAAGATTAAAGCATTTCTAGACATGCTTCCTTCTGGTGTGTTCTTCAGGGCCTGCAGACGTGCTTCCTGTCCGAAGGCTAGCTGACTCTTAGGCGAGGGTTGATGACTCTCAGATAAGCAGCAGCGTGGGTGATGCGCTTGGTGATAAATGATTGGGCTCGGTTTTCAGTGCAAGGAGGCTTTGGCCAAAGCAAAGGTGTGTCCCTGGAACGTGAGGCAGAGGTGAAGTAGGACCCTCTGCTGGCAGCTTCTAGTGGTCAGAGGGCCCAGAATGCAGCTCAGTGTGTGCACGTGAGGTCTGAACTCAGTGGCCAAACGTGGTTTCTGTCATGTGCAGATTCCTCGAAAATAAAGGCTGAGACCCTGCCCGCTAAGCCTTGCCACCACGCTTTTCCTTCGTTGCATAGCGTAGTTTCGACTCCTCTCTTGAGAAATTTGGTGTTATGAAACCAATGAAGTGAACAAAGTCATCTTATCTAAATTAAATGTTAATATATAACATACACGAATACACTGATGTAATGATGAAAATCATTCTTTGAATACAAACTAGATCAACAAAAAACAACGTTGCTCCTTCCTGCCAGAATTTTCCTTTTGATTTTTTAAGATTAATGAGGGAAACGGCCCCCTTTTCACTTGCCATTATACATCTTAAAATTACTGTGTCTAGAATGTAAGAAGTTCTTAGATCAGTGAGTGAATGAACCAAAACGTTAAGACATAAAGCAGTGAGGTGTAAATAATAGGGCGACAGAAATTATCTGTCTTGAGGGTATGTTATTGTTCACTTAAATCCAAAGCAACATGTCCTCAACATATATCTTGTTGTAGGAATTTGGTTAATAAATGAAATCACATATGAAAAGATGTTAGGATCACTAGTTAGATGCCTGCCACATGCTATATTTAAAATAAATTTCATGTGAGTTATACAACTACAAACATTAAACCTTTAAATTGAAGGTGAAAGTTCATTGTAAGCTCAAAGGACAGACATGAAGGAAACAACAGATTTGATGACAAAAGGATTACTTATATTAAAAGAGCCAACAGGCAAGTAAAACTAACACTGCGCCTCCCCGGTCTGTCAGTGTGTGAGTCTGTCGGTGGCTCGTAGGATCCGGGAGACAGATGCACAGACACCAGTGGCTCTGAGAGAGGTTCCACCATAAAATATGGGAAACACTTCGTGACCTCACTTCTGGAAAAGGCGGAAGGAGCGGGTGTCTGCGTTATTGTAATGCCTCTTAATTTTCTCTCCCAGGTTGTTCTGTTCACAGAGGTGATTTACAAGCCATTTCTGTCTTTCCACTTCCTCAGAGAGCTTCTTGGTCTGATTGCTTTAAAGGCTTTTGACTCCCTCGATGTCACACGTAACTGCATTCCTGAGCCACAGGTAAACGTGGGAAGAAAAGCACGCACAATCCACTGTCTTTGCAGCCCGATCGCAAATGGCCCCGGGTCTCATGCCTTATTTCTACATATAGGTTTGCTGTCTTTAGAAGAATATCAGAGTAGCAGACACACACAAGATGAGAAAGGGAAATGTGATGGTTTAAAGGAAGCCTTTTCTTAATTGCTGTCCCCTGTCGCTTTCACCTGCCTTCACCGGATCTGGTCCCATCACGTGTTCCTTGGCCTCACCAAGCCTAGACTTCTGTTGACTTCTGTATGAGATGTAAATATCTAACCGCCTCTCCTAGTCGTTTCCTGTTTTCTCTAGCTGTGTTGAGGTAATTGACATGCAGCACAGTGTGAATGTAAGGCCGGTGGCATAAATGTTTGTGAAGTGACTACTGCAGTAAGTTTAGTTAGCATTCATCCTCCTCCTCACACAGACACGAAAAAGGTAACAGCCCCTGCCAGCGGCTCAGTGAGCTGGAGCGTTGTCCCACACAGCAGAAGGCAGCAGGTTCGATTCCCAGTCAGGGCACATAGCTGATTTCAGGTGGATTCGGTAGGGCACCTTCCGGAAGGCAGCTGATAGGTGTTTCTCCCCCTCCCCACCCCCCTTCCTTCCTCTCTAAAAATCAATGAAAACATACCCTTGGGTGAGGAGTAAAAAGCAAAAGAAGGAACACTGGCCGCTGTCAATACTGTGGTTGGGAGTGTTGGCGGTGAGAGGATGATAGCCGCCTCCCCTCCCCCTGGTTCTCTTCCCTCCCTGGGACGTGCAGCCTGCCGCCTACCTTTCCAGAGTCAGCACCCACCTCCTGCTCGTGCCCTGCAGGCCGGCTCCTTCCACAGCCATTGTCCTGGCACCCGGAGCCCACAGGCAGGGCCACGGTGCTATGTTGGCTCCGCTGGGCCAGCCATCACAGTCCGACACCCATGCCTCCACGGTGTTTGCAACCTTAGGGCCTCTGTGTCTCCAGGGAGAATTATTAGGTCAAGATCAAGTGAAGTCTCCGTCTTATACTGGGGTCCCGATTTGAGCTGGGCATGAGAAGTTAAGCAGCCATGGGGCCAGGAGACTCCCTCAGCAGGGGTGAGGTTTCAGGCCCCTGTAAAGTTTTGGCAGTGAGGGTCTATGCCCCATCTCAGTTGACCCCCAAGTTCTCTCCCGATGGCCCCTCTTCGACTGTGCCTGTCTTAGGTTGTTCCTCCCCTGAGGAATCTTACCCATCACTGGCTAACCAGCCATCCTCTGGGGCCAGACAGGGTGATGTGAGGTTCAGTTCTGTCTCCTTGGTATCCTATGCCCCTGTGGCCTCCATGTCCAGCTCCTGTTTTAGGATTCCCACGCCTGCTGGCTGGGCCCCAGCACTGATCACATATCTTGGGGAACCCAGGTTTCTTCTCCAGGGAAGACCCAGCTCTCCCCACTGGGTGAGAGATCCATGGTACCAGTCATCACAAGGCTTCAACCTCAACATGAACAGAAAGCTCAGGCAGCAGCTGTGGGCAACTGGATTGTGAGAACAAGAGGGGCCAATATAGAATGCTCAGGTGCCTTCCCAGGGGGCCCTCTACACAATGAAAGGGATTAAATCCTTTCATGTCATTTTTAAATTGCTGCCAGACATACAAAGAATTGGTTTGTAAGTTTGCTTGGAGTAATTGTATATTATGCTTTTGTAATTTTAGAATATTAAGAGATTTGTCATCTTTGTCTCCAAGCACCAAAAAGATGATTTTTTTATTGATCCCCAAGAGTTCGAGGTACTATTACATCAGTCATATTATAGTGCAAAAAATTAAAATTTAAAAGCTATCAAGATTATATTATAAAATTTTCAAAAGCCTTCTACTATTTAAATCAAAAAAGGGGGAAAGTAGAATATCATGTAAGGGAAAATATCCTGAAAGTAAATTACATCTAGAAAATTTGTACTTCAGAAAATTGTAATGCTAACAGCAAGACACCCATGAAAAACACACATGGTGTCAAAACAAGCCAGAGGAATATCATTTGAGCAAAAAATGAAAAAGGATCCCAAGTCAAATTTATAGAAAATATTCCTTTATTAACTTTTGGTCAAGAATATATTTTCAGAAAACAACTTCAAGACCATGTGGATTCTGGCAACAGAGAGGAATTGACAGGACTACTCCAACCATGAAGACAGAAGAGAAGCAGTCCAGAGATGGAAGTCGCTGATGATGCCTTACCATAATAGCAGTCAGCAGCTGTGTGTCACTGCAGGTTGCCCAGGACCAAACTAGAGAGGATTAGACCTGCATTACCACCATTTCCCCACCATCCAGAACTGAAATATCATTGCTGACTTGTACACATAAGGAACTGTTTGACATTGAAATTGGGTCTCAAAAGAACTGGTGGCCTAGAAAGAAACTCTCTACAGACTAATTCATATGCCTTTCAGCATATGATTATTGCTTGTCTCATTTTTGATTCTTATATTTCCAGTAGGACATGATCTCACTCATCTAGGGGAAATGGTGAACACCATAGACTGATGAACAAGAACAGACCCAGAGATAAGGAGCCATGGGTCAGACTGTTGGACCTCTAAGGGAGGGTGGGGATAAAAGGGAGAGATCAACCAGAGGACTTATGTGCACACATATGAGCCTAACCAGTAGTCAAGGACAAGGGGGCGGGGGGGGGGGGGTTTGAGGGCATGAGTGGGGGGGATTGAAATGAGGGGTTGAGGACAACTATGATACCTTAATCCACATGTGTCAAACACAAGGCCCGCGGGCCAAATCCGTCCTGCCAGGCCTTGCAATGTGGCCCGCACCGTGCTGTCATCACTGTACTCCGCTGCGTTTCCATCACAGTGACAGTTTATGACTGTTCAGTAAACCATTCGGCCCGCGATTTAGGCTGGATTTTAGATTTTGGCCCCTTCTCTGATTGAGTTCGACACCCCTACCTTAATCAATAAAGAAATTAATAAAATAATAGATCAAGTGAAAAGTGATAAAACTGTTCACACACCCACTTGCTTTACACCGGACCGTTTGTTCACTCTGTGGCTTGCTGTCCTCTCCTCACAGGAGCGGGAATATGCCCCTTCCCCGGGGTGCCTTCTAGGATCCCGCCCCGCCCCGCCCCAGTCCTCTGGAAGCTGATGGCGAGGGCGGTGTGCTGGGGCTTCTCCCTGAGGGGCCTTACTCCAGCGAGTGCCTGCTGCGCCCACTGCACCCCTTTTCTGGACGGGGGTTTGGCTGACTTCCCCGAGTTTCTCTGCTCTCTGGTAGATTGTACAATTAGTCTTCTGTACCTCCTGCTTTATGGTTCTTCATCTGTTTGTTTACGTTCTGGTAGAACTTTCACTCTCTCCCAACCCTTTCATTACTTTGTTATCTTTTCTTTCCAAGAGCTCCCTTACTTCCTCTCGTTTTCCCAAACGTTGCTTCGCAGTGCGTTTCTGTCCCACTAACCTTTCACCTGGGACTGAACAAGATGTTTGTTTTTACCTCCAGCGTGTGTTTTTCGCTGTTTGGCCTCAAAAACCTTCAGCCTCCCTTGCGTTCAGGTTTTGGGGGAGGTTTATGTAGACCGGACATTCAGCCCTCCCCCGATGTGGCCCTTCCCCCAGGTGCTCTCCCCGCTCTGAGGTCCAGGCCCGGGCTCCGGAGGCTGGGCTGGGACGGGCCTGAGGCAGTGCGCCTCGCTTCCTGTGAGTCCTCGCGCGTTAGGGAGGCTCTGGGGTGCAGGGGCAGACGCCTCCCCCTGTCGCCAGGGTCACCTGGCTCACGGCAGCACGGCAGCCGTGGCAGAGGCCTCCCTGCGCCCCGGCTCACACAGGTGGGCAGCGCCGTCGTCGCCCCTAACGTGAGAGAAGACAGCCTTGCACTTGGGAGGTGTGAGTGCCGCGCACAGTATCCAGTGTGTTAAAGCATCTTCCTGCGGCCTGTGTGCGACGCTGCCCTGGGCGGCCGCGGTGCCCGCTGTGGGCCTAGGCCCCACCCAGGGCCCCATCCTCAGAGGGACCGCCTCCCTCCCTCTGAGGCCTGATGGCGAGCGGGCGCCCGGCTTCCTGCGTCGGCCTGGGAGAGCCGAGCAGCCCGGGAGCTGCCAGTGCTGGGGAGCGGCTCCGGGCATCCCGACCAGGCCGGTCCCCGCTCGGCCCAGGGATGCTGCCAGGACCCGGCAGGACCCTGCCCACCGGAGCTCCGGGGCCGGCATCCAGCCGAGCGGCCCGGGCGGGCGGGCTTGCCCTGGCCCCCTCCGACCTCAGGCGTCTGTGTCCTCTTCTCTCACCAGGACTGGCCCCTGGCTTTAGGGCCCAGCCCAACCCGAGGGCACGGTAGGGCCCTCCCGCCGCCACACGGAGAACCGCTTTTCCAGACGAGCGTGTCCTGAGGTTCCGGGTGGAGGTGAGCATGCAGGGACCTGCCTCTGGACTCCCCCACAGGAGGCGGTCAGGGTGCGGCCAGGCCCAGCCCAGTGCCCGTAACTGGCTGCCTCTCTCCTCTTCCAGGAACACTGTCCCTTCACTGTCAGGCTGTGCATTTGTTTCCACAGGCCAGCTTCCGTCCGCTGAGATGTCCCTGCCTCTCACCGTCCCCTGGGGCCTGCGTTCCGGGAGCTCGGGGCACACCCTGTGTGGGCCTGGCCGGCGGGGCCGTGGCACCCGGTGGACTCCCCTGGGCCTCCGCCTCCCTCTGTCCCCTGAGCCGAGCGCAGGACGGGCGCCGAGCCTCCCTCCAGCCGGTGGTCCTTGTTCAGGGGGCAGTCGTGTGTGGTGGACAGGGGCTGCCATCTGAGAAACGGGTGCTGCACCCCTTGCCGCCGAGCGAGCATCCCAGAGGCCTCACGCCTGGGCGGCGAGCCCTGGGGCCGCAGCCCTGACAGCCCGTCACCGTGCTGAGCGCCGTGGGCAGTGCGAGCAGAGGTAGCTGTGCCAGCGCAGAGGAGGCACGGCGTGTGGTGTGCCGTGGGCACAGGGCCGTGGGCTGGGCCGTCCCGGGGGCGCCGTGTGAGGAAGGCCAGACATGCTGCTCGCTGTCCGTTTAGAAACATAAAAAACAGGTTTCTTTCTCCAGCGATACATGGACCTTCACGTTCTCACACCTTTTTACTTGCTGAGCTATTCCCGTGGTGGTGTTTTTGTTAATCCTCACCGAGGGCATGTCCCCTCGATTTTTAGGGAGAGTGGGAGGGAGAGGGAGAGACAACCATGGGAGAGACATGTCCCTCCTTCCTCAGAGACCACCCCCGGCTCCCTACGTCCCCTCAGCCGCACCCGTCGGTGTCCTGCTCCGCGCCTCCGCCCCCCCCCCCCCCCGGCAAAGCCTTCGAGGTCACGGACGGCCCTCTGAGGCCTTCTCCCAGGGCCGTTCATACGGCCGGTGGCCCTGCCCCCTCGCTCAGGTGCGATGCAGTCCAGGCCGCGGTCCTCTCGGAGCTGCTCCCGCGTCCGGCCAGGGGAAGCGGCCTCTGAGCTGCTGTCACCCGGCCCCCGGGTGCTCAGAGTCGGAGTGTGAAGGGAGAAACGCCGCTTTTCAAAACCCTCACCGAAGAGGGACAGAGAGAGCGGGAGGGAGGGAGGAGGGAGAGAGAGACACTAATGAGAAACACATCAATTGGTTGCCTCCCACCCGACCGGGGCCAGGGATCGAACCTGCAGCCGGGGTGTGTGTCCTGGATCGAGAATCAAAACCGCGACCCTTCGGCCTGCAGGCCATCTCTCCCCATGGCGCTCCGGCCAGGGCCACGCCATACGAGGCCCACGGGGGACGCCGCAGCACTGTCAGCCTGAAGCGAACCCCGGAAGCTCTGTTCCTCCAGACAGCGCAGCTCAGGCCCCGCCGAGGAGGCGCCGGTCACCCTGACCGCTCGCCGCTCCTGGGGCCGCTGGGGGGCGCTCCGCACAGGGCCACAGGGGCTCCGAGTGCAGCCTGCGGCGTGGCCCCGCGATGGCCTGCCGCCTGTCCTCACCCTGCGGACGGCGTCCTCCCAGTCTTGTCTGCGGGGTGGTCTCCCCCGGCGGATCTGCGCTCCGGCAGCCGCTGCCCTCCACGCAGCCCGACAGGAATCCCCGGCATTCCTCAGCGGCCACGTCAGCTCCGGAGGCTCCCCACGCCTCACGCACGGCAGTGCGTCAGCACCGTCACCGGGTCCGGCGTGCCTGTCAGCATCGCAAACGCACCCCGCTCCGGCCGCTGCGCCTGGCCCGCCACCCGGGCTCTGTGTCTGACGTCCCGGCCCCTGCCCTCGCCGCGGCCCCGCCCGCCTCCGCCCCGGCTCAAACCCGCGCTGAGGCGAAGCACACCTGTCTGAGAGCTCAGGGCGGGCTTCTTCCTGCTCCCGCCTGAGCCCTTCCTGCTCTGCTTTCCCCTCTGACTCTGTCAGTCACAGAGGGATGTGGCCGGCCGTGCCCAGAGGGGTCCCGCGCTTCACGCTCGCACGGTTCCTACGGGAGGCCGGCTCCAGGCCCGGCTGCCTGGGTTCCAGCGCTTGCTTTGGACAAGGTTCTCCATGGCTTTGGCCTCAGTCTCCTCATCTGCAAAGTGGGAGCAAAACCATCACCCGTGCCCCTGGACCGTGGAGGCGCGGGCACGAGACCGTCAGCGTGAAGGTCATTAACGTAAAGATGGTTGGCTGCCCCGCCCGGGCCCAGGCGGGGGCTCAGCCTCCTTTCCGTGAGCGCCCGAGGCACAGTCAGCGTGACGGACGGCTTCGCGTGAGCGCCTGTCTGCCTCGCCGCGCGGGAAGCTGATGACAGGACCACAATTGCTTCCAGCTGAGGGCTGCTCCCGGGAGGGACGGGCGGCCGTCCCCGTGGCGCTGCCACGCCCAGGGTGCTTTCGCGTGCCGCTCCCCCAGACGGCTCCGCGCTGCGGATAATGCGCCTCTTCCCAGCAGCGTGGAGGCGCCCTCGTGGGACTGGGCTGGGCTTAAAAGCAGAGGCGTCCCGGCCGGCCGGCCAGCCCACGGACAGGCAGCGTCTCTCGCGTGTGACTCCAGGTCTGGCGGCGCTGGGGACCCAGGGCTCCTTCGGGGCCGGTCCTCTGACCTGCAGGACGGCTCAGGCAGGTGGGTGCCCAGCTCACGTTCACGCGTCTGGTGACTCGAACCCAGGCAGGTGAGGCCTCTCTCTGTGTTACGGGTCTTCTGCATCCTTCAGTGAAATGAGGGCACACCCAGACTCCTGAAGGATCCGTGGGAGAGACCGGTTGGTGGTAGGTACAGGGCACCTAACCTTGGGCAGCTAATATTTCAAAATGCTGGGGTGGAGGCGGGGTCAGAGGTCGGGGCTGGGGAAATGCAGACTCTAATGCCTTTCCCTGCTGGACGCTCAGGGCTGGAGCAGATGAGGCCCGGAGGCACGGAGGGGTGCGCTGTGTCCGTGCCTGGCGTTGGGGGGCCGAGGGTGGGAAGTCACCCCTCGGTTTGGGGGGAAGAGTGCAGGCTTCGGAGCGAGAGCGTCGTGGTCTGAATCCCAGCCCCGCCCTCACACTCTGTGTTGGGCACACCTGAGCCGTGGGCCTGCTCCGTGCCTGCAGCGTGGCCGGGACACGGCCTCCTCGGGACTCAGCCGGGCGAGGTGTGACCTGTGTCGTGTGATCAGCATTTCATAGCCTCGTGTTTGCACTGGCGCCAGCCTTGCCGCCACTGTCAGCGAGGCCGTTGTGTGCAGGTGGCCGCCGAGTGCATTTCTGTTTCCGAGCCGGTGACATCAGCGAGCCAGCGCCCAGGGAGGGTCCGGGTGAAGGGATAGTGTGGAGGGCGAGGACGGGAGGCGCGGCCGGAGGGACGTAGCCATGCTGCTGTTGCCGTGGCCGCCTGAGACAGGGTGGGAACAGCACGTTAACCTGCCGCTCCCTCCCTGCCCTGTCCACCGCCCCCACAGCTGACGGGACCGCTGGGTCTCTCTCCGGTCCTCCTCCTCGGGGGCCGCTGCTGGGCTGGCCCCTGGAAGGACGGCCACCGTCGTGGGTGCCGTGGGCTCAGGTCCCCTCCAGCCACAGCTCCTGGCCCGGACCCAGCTCCCCGGAGCGCCGGCAAGAAAAGCCTCCCCCGAAGGGGAGTTACTCAGAGCCGCGCTGGGAGTGGGATGAGGGGAGTTGCTCAGCCGCGTTGGGAGTGGGATGAAGGGGAGTTGCTCAGCCGCGCTGGGAGTGGGATGAAGGGGAGTTGCTCAGCCGCGTTGGGAGTGGGATGAAGGGGAGTTGCTCAGCCGCGCTGGGAGTGGGATGAAGGGGAGTTGCTCAGCCGCGTTGGGAGTGGGATGAAGGGGAGTTGCTCAGCCGCGTTGGGAGTGGGATGAAGGGGAGTTGCTCAGCCGCGCTGGGAGTGGGATGAGGGGTTACTCAGCCGCGCTGGGAGTGGGATGAGGGGTTACTCAGCCGCGCTGGGAGTGGGATGAGGGGTTACTCAGAGCCGCGCTGGGTGTGGGATGAGGGGAGTTACTCAGCCGCGCTGGGTGTGGGATGAGGGGAGTTGCTCAGCCGCGCTGGGTGTGGGATGAAGGGGAGTTGCTCAGCCGCGTTGGGAGTGGGATGAAGGGGAGTTGCTCAGCCGCGCTGGGAGTGGGATGAGGGGTTACTCAGCCGCGCTGGGAGTGGGATGAGGGGTTACTCAGCCGCGCTGGGAGTGGGATGAGGGGTTACTCAGCCGCGCTGGGAGTGGGATGAGGGGTTACTCAGCCGCGCTGCGAGTGGGATGTCTCAGCGATGACTGCGGAGGGGAGCGGGGGCGGGGCCCGCCCACTCGCATGAATCCCCCGGAGCGGCTGGCCGGGGGCGGGGCTGAGTCACCTCGGCACAGGGAGACACGGATGTGCTTAGACCTGCCACGGAGCCGGCTCCTGGCCCCAGGCCCTCCCGCTGCCTAATGAGGGGTCAGAGGAGGCCTCCGGAGGGCTCAGGAGCTGGTCCTCGGGCCGGGGGAGGCCGGGGTCAATGCGGCTCCTCTCGCTGCTGACCGCCCAGCCGCATTCCCGCGCCGAGGGGACCTGCTCACAGGAGCCACCTCGCCTCCTGGATCAGCCCACAGCCTAACCGCCTGGCACGGCTCTGCCAGACACTCAGCTTCTGGCGAGTCCCTGGGGGACCCCACTGGTTCACATTTACACCTCCAGGCAGTCTGCCTCTGGCCAGTGAGGGTCAGGGGGCATGAGAGGGTCAGGGGTCACAGGAGCATCTGTGGAGGACATTGCGGAGGTGCTGCTGGCTTCCCTGTAACGGCCCCCCGCACCCCCGCGCCCCCAGTGCCGGTGCGTGGCTCACTGCTCAGCGCTCACCGGGTGACCTTGTGGTGCTCCCGCCTCCTCCCCTCCTAACCCTCAGCCCCCGCACAGGGACTCAGTGCAGTGCCATCCCCTCTGCCCTCCGCCCCTTCTCCTGGTGAAAAGCCGGACTAGCCGGGCCGGCGTGGCTCAGGGGCTGAGCGAGGCCTGGGAACCAGGAGGCCACGTTGATCTCTCTCCCTCTCCCTTCCTCGCTGAAATCAATAAAAATACATTTAAAAACAACTAAACAAACTGGACCGGAGTGACGTGAGGACAGGCCCAGGCCCCTTTTCCCGGCTGCTCCTCACCTGAGGGCATTTGTTTTCTGTGACTTTCAGAGAGAGTACAGGGGGCGGGGGTGTGTGTGGAGAGAAACAGGGATGAGAGGGAGACACATCGATGGGCGCCTCCCACACGCACCCCAACCAGGGCTGGGATTGAACCCACAACCCAGGTCTGTGCCCTTGACTAGGATGGAACCCGCCACCCTGCGGTGCCAGGGCTGTGCGCTAACCACTGAGCGGCCAGCAGGGCGGGGCGGGCTCCTCTTTATCCACGCAGCGTGCGGCTCCACCGCCTGGGCGGGGAGGAGGATGCCGAGGCCAAGCTGGTTTGGGGAGGTCCGGCCCCACGCGCCAGAGCCCCCTCAGGCACGCCCGTCCTCACCGCCGCCTGGCGCTTCTCAAACTTCATAAATAATGGGAGCGCAGCCTCACTGACAGGAGGCAAGCAAAGATCACAGCCCGTTCAGAATACTCTAGGTACCAGCGTTTTATTCAACACTTATTTTATCCAACATCTTTGAAGTCTTAAAGATGCAAAACCTGCCTCAGGATCCCCATGTAGCTCCGGAGTGTGGAAGCTTTCCTTCATCAATCGTAGCTATGGCCTCCGCTCCGGCCTCCTCCTGCTCCGTCCTCCTCCCAGCTCCATCCTCCTCCTGCTCCATCCTCCTCCCGGCTCCATCCTCCTCCCAGCTCCATCCTCCTCCAGGCTCCGTCCTCCTCCCGGCTCTGGCCTCCTCCTGCTCCATTCTTCTCCCAGCTCAGTCCTCCTGCTCCGTCCTCCTCCTGGCTCCATCCTCCCCCCAGCTCCATCCTCCTCCTGGCTCCATCCTCCTCCTGGCTCCATCCTCCTCCAGGCTCCGTCCTCCTCCCAGCTCTGGCCTCCTCCTGCTCCGTCCTCCTCCTGCTCCGGCCTCCTCCCAGCTCCATCCTCCTCCTGCTCCATCCTCCTCCTGCTCCATCCTCCTCCCAGCTCAGTCCTCCTGCTCCGTCCTCCTCCTGCTCCGGCCTCCTCCCAGATCCATCCTCCTCCTGCTCCATCCTCCTCCCGGCTCCATCCTCCTCCCAGCTCCATCCTCCTCCAGGCTCCGTCCTCCTCCCGGCTCCGTCCTCCTCCCGGCTCTGTCCTCCTCCTGCTCCGTCCTCCTCCCAGATCCATCCTCCTCCTGCTCCGTCCTCCTCCCGGCTCCATCCTCCTCCTGCTCCGTCCTCCTCCTGCTCCGGCCTCCTCCCAGCTCCATCCTCCTCCTGCTCCGTCCTCCTCCTGCTCCGTCCTCCTCCTGCTCCGTCCTCCTCCCAGATCCATCCTCCTCCCGGCTCCATCCTCCTCCAGGCTCCGTCCTCCTCCTGCTCCGGCCTCCTCCCAGCTCCATCCTCCTCCTGCTCCGTCCTCCTCCTGCTCCGGCCTCCTCCCAGCTCCATCCTCCTCCAGGCTCCGTCCTCCTCCTGCTCCGTCCTCCTCCTGCTCCGTCCTCCTCCTGGCTCCATCCTCCTCCCGGCTCCATCCTCCTCCAGGCTCCGTCCTCCTCCTGCTCCGTCCTCCTCCTGCTCCATCCTCCTCCCGGCTCCGTCCTCCTCCCGGCTCCGTCCTCCTCCCGGCTCCGTCCTCCTCCTGCTCCGTCCTCCTCCTGCTCCGGCCTCCTCCCAGCTCCATCCTCCTCCAGGCTCCGTCCTCCTCCTGCTCCGGCCTCCTCCTGCTCCGTCCTCCTCCCAGATCCATCCTCCTCCCGGCTCCATCCTCCTCCAGGCTCCGTCCTCCTCCTGCTCCGTCCTCCTCCTGCTCTGTCCTCCTCCTGCTCCGTCCTCCTCCCGGCTCCGTCCTCCTCCCAGCTCCATCCTCCTCCCAGCTCTATCCTCCTCCCGGCTCCATCCTCCTCCAGGCTCCATCCTCCTCCCAGCTCCGTCCTCCTCCTGCTCCGGCCTCCTCCTGCTCCGTCCTCCTCCTGCTCTGTCCTCCTCCTGCTCCGTCCTCCTCCTGCTCCGTCCTCCTCCGGGCTCAGTCCTCCTCCCGGCTCAGTCCTCCTCCAGGCTCCATCCTCCTCCCAGCTCCGTCCTCCTCCTGCTCCGTCCTCCTCCTGCTCTGTCCTCCTCCTGCTCCGTCCTCCTCCTGCTCCGTCCTCCTCCTGCTCTGTCCTCCTCCTGCTCCGTCCTCCTCCCGGCTCCGTCCTCCTCCCAGCTCCATCCTCCTCCCAGCTCTATCCTCCTCCCGGCTCCATCCTCCTCCAGGCTCCATCCTCCTCCCAGCTCCGTCCTCCTCCTGCTCCGGCCTCCTCCTGCTCCGTCCTCCTCCTGCTCTGTCCTCCTCCTGCTCCGTCCTCCTCCTGCTCCGTCCTCCTCCGGGCTCAGTCCTCCTCCCGGCTCAGTCCTCCTCCAGGCTCCATCCTCCTCCCAGCTCCGTCCTCCTCCTGCTCCGTCCTCCTCCTGCTCCGTCCTCCTCCTGCTCCGTCCTCCTCCTGCTCCGTCCTCCTCCGGGCTCAGTCCTCCTCCCGGCTCAGTCCTCCTCCTGCTCCGTCCTCCTCCCGGCTCCGTCCTCCTCCTGCTCTGTCCTCCTCCTGCTCCGTCCTCCTCCTGCTCCGTCCTCCTCCCGGCTCAGTCCTCCTCCGGGCTCCGTCCTCCTCCTGCTCCGTCCTCCTCCCAGATCCATCCTCCTTCCATCTTCCTCTGGGCTCCGCCCTCCTCCTGCTCCGTCCTCCTCCCAGCTCCATCCTCCTCCCGGCTCCATCCTCCTCCCAGCTCCGTCCTCCTCCTGCTCCGTCCTCCTCCTGCTCCGTCCTCCTCCTGCTCCATCCTCCTCCCAGCTCCGTCCTCCTCCTGCTCCGTCCTCCTCGTGCTCCGTCCTCCTCCTGCTCCATCCTCCTCCCAGCTCAGTCCTCCTCCGGGCTCCGTCCTCCTCCCAGCTCTGGCCTCCTCCCAGCTCTGGCCTCCTCCTGCTCCATCCTCGTCCCGGCTCCATCCTCCTCCCAGCTCCATCCTCCTCCAGGCTCCATCCTCCTCCCGGCTCTGGCCTCCTCCTGCTCCGTCCTCCTCCTGCTCCGTCCTCCCCCGGGCTCCGTCCTCCTCCCAGATCCATCCTCCTTCCATCTTCCTCTGGGCTCCGTCCTCCTCCTGCTCCGTCCTCCTCCCGGCTCAGTCCTCCTCCTGCTCCGTCCTCCTCCCGGCTCCGTCCTCCTCCTGCTCCGTCCTGGCTCAGTCCCGAGGCCCCTCCCGCTGTGCCAGGGCTTGTGAGGGCGCGTCTCTGGCCCCGGATGAGAACGGGAGACGGTGATGAGGCGGTGGAGACGCTGGTCCTCCCACAGTGCATGTTAAAGGCCGCTTCTTCTCCGCGGACAATGGGGAATTGTTCCCTGCAGGCTTCAAACTCGTTTCAGTCAGCACGTGGCCGCTGCCAGCACAGCCCGTGTCTGAGGCAGGCGCGGCCGGCTCCGCTCCCCAGGCGTGGCCCTGCTCCCGTGGCGCCCTCACGCTGCCCGGGCGTTCTCCGTTCGTCCGTATTGGACGGCGCCTCCGTGTTTTCTCCGGAAACTCTGCCCGTGCTGGGAGGCCCCTCCGGCGGCCGCTGGGTGGAGGACACGCTGTTCCCTCCGAGAGCCGGCGGCCGCGGGGCGGCTCCCTGTGCTCCCACTTCTCCCTAACGGCGCCGCTGGGCGGGCGTGTGCCCTGAACCCACAGACAGGCCCCGCCCGGCGTCGGCCCCAGGGGAGTGGGAGGTGCTGCGGGAGCCCCGCGCCTGGGGTGCAGGCCTGCAGCGCAGGGGGCAGGCAGGGCGGCCCGGACCGCAGCACCTCTCGGTGGGCTGGGGGAGGCAGGTGTCCGGAGGAGGTGGCTCTGGAGGGGGGACCCCTGCCGAGACTCAGGGAAGGACGCTGAGGCAGAAGGAGCCCCTGGGACGGAGCCGGGGGCGGGAGGCACCTGGTGCGCTGGGGAAACGGTGAGCCGTGCGTTTGGCCGGGAGCCGAGGCCGAGGCTGGGACAGGCTCAGCCCCAGGGAGCTCCCCCGTTCCTCCCGGGAGTGCATCCTCTGACCAGCACCCCCCATGTCACATGTGGAACGAACTGTGGACGGAACAGATGTGGACGGGGTGGATGCGGGAGTATCCAGGGGCCTGTGTGAGGACAGCCAACGAGTGAAATGAAATAAGTTTGAAAAACCGAGGGCTCAGGATGTGTTTGTGCCTAGAGCGAGGCTAGCTGAACGGACACGGGAGCAGCTGACGGACCGAGGACAGGCCGCCCTCGCCGCCGACGCAGGGCCATGTGGGCCTGGGCGCTGTGGGTGCTCCCGCTGCTCTGCCCCGGCGGCCGGGCAGGTAGGTGGCTGCGCGGTGCTGGGCGGCGCGGGTCCCACTGCCTTCTCCGGGCGGGAGCTGCCCAGGGAGACCGAGGGGCACTGGCCCCGGCCCAGGAGGGGCACAGGGGGTTCAGGGCCCTGCATGGGGGGTTTGGCCGCGTGCATGTGGATGCGTGTGTATGCGTGTGTATGCGTGTGTATGCGTGTGGATGCGTGTGGATGCGTGTGCCAATGGGGTAAGATGGCCTGTCATATCTTCCAAGGGACGGAGTGAGACTCCCATCGCCAGTGAGGAGAACATGCCACCCCTCACGGCTCACCACCCCGCCCAGGTCCGCTGCCGTCCTCCCCACGCCCAGGGCTGCCGTCCCCACGCGCTGAAGCTGTGTGTGTGTGTGTGTGTCTGTGTTTCAGCCCCGCCGGCCAAGCCCGAGAACGTCTCCTGCGTCTTCTACTATCGGACGAACTTCACCTGCACCTGGAGCCCCGACCCGGCGGCCGGCCACACGCAGTACTGGGTCCGGAGGACGTACGTGCAGGGCCGTGTGCGGGGGAGGGAGGAGGCGGGCTCGGGGCGTCTGGTTCTCAGGGCCGGCTTCTGGGGGGCCACGGGGCATCCAGGCGCAGGGGCCGGCGTGGCTGCTGAGCCCGGCTGACGGTGGGGTGGGGCGGCTGCGGCCTGGCTGACCGCTGTCCGGGCACACGCACGGAGGACCGGTCTGTCCGTGTACTGTCTCCAGCGGCGTCCCTCCTCCTGGAACGTGTGGTAGAGCTTTCCTTCTCCGGGCTCGGGTGGAGGGAGGGTGCCTTTCCGCCCCAGCTCGCGGTGTGGCCCTGTCATCAGTAACCACCGGGACGAAGTCCAGTTTTCACGGCCTCACGCCTCCCTTGTCCAAATTCTGTCAGAAAAATGACAAAACCTATAATAATGAAAGCATAATATGCTAAGTAGACCGGATAGCCAAACAACCTTCTGGACGTCCTTTCTAATGAGGCTGTCATGGCGGAGGCCGAGGCAGAGGTGGTTAGGGGTGATCAGGCAGGCAGGTGGGCAGCTAGGGGTGATCAGGCAGGCAGGTGGGCAGCTAGGGGTGATCAGGCAGGCAGGTGGGCAGCTAGGGGTGATCAGGCAGGCAGGTGGGTAACTAGGGGTGATCAGGCAGGCAGGTGGGCAGCTAGGGGTGATCAGGCAGGCAGGTGGGTAACTAGGGGTGATGAGTCAGGCAGGTAGGCAGCTAGGGGTGATCAGGCAGGCAGGTGGGCAGCTAGGGGTGATCAGTCAGGCAGGTAGGCAGCTATGGGTGATCAGGCAGGCAGGTGGGCAGCTAGGGGTGATCAGGCAGGCAGGTGGGCAGCTAGGGGTGATCAGGCAGGCAGGTGGGTAACTAGGGGTGATCAGGCAGGCAGGTGGGCAGCTAGGGGTGATCAGGCAGGCAGGTGGGCAGCTAGGGGTGATCAGGCAGGCAGGTGGGCAGCTAGGGGTGATCAGGCAGGCAGGTGGGCAGCTAGGGGTGATCAGGCAGGCAGGTGGGCAGCTAGGGGTGATCAGGCAGGCAGGTGGGTAACTAGGGGTGATGAGTCAGGCAGGTAGGCAGCTAGGGGTGATCAGGCAGGCAGGTGGGCAGCTAGGGGTGATCAGTCAGGCAGGTAGGCAGCTATGGGTGATCAGGCAGGCAGGTGGGCAGCTAGGGGTGATCAGGCAGGCAGGTGGGCGGCTAGGGGTGATCAGGCAGGCAGGTGGGTAACTAGGGGTGATGAGTCAGGCAGGTAGGCAGCTAGGGGTGATCAGGCAGGCAGGTGGGCAGCTAGGGGTGATCAGTCAGGCAGGTAGGCAGCTATGGGTGATCAGGCAGGCAGGTGGGCAGCTAGGGGTGGTCAGGCAGGCAGGTGGGCAGCTAGGGGTGATCAGGCAGGCAGGTGGGTAACTAGGGGTGATCAGGCAGGCAGGTGGGCAGCTAGGGGTGATCAGGCAGGCAGGTGGGCGGCTAGGGGTGTTCAGGCAGACAGGTGGGCGGCTAGGGGTGATCAGGCAGGCAGGTGGGCGACTAGGGGTGATCAGGCAGGCAGGTGGGCAGCTAGGGGTGATCAGGCAGTCAGGTGGGCAGTTAGAGGAGATCAGGCAGGCAGGTGGGCAGTTAGGAGCCAGGTGGTCTGTCTGTTTTTTCCACTTCAAAGTGAGCCTAGAGGTGCCAGCTCTGTTCTGTTTGGTGTTTAAATGCAAGAGCTCCTGTCTGCTCCTCTCTCTCGCTCCTTAAAATGGGTCCCGGTGAGGCGAGGGGAGCCCCTTGTGCTGTGCAGAAGAGGGGCAGTGCCTGGCGGCCCTGTGGGTGGCGGTGGCGGTGGCAGGTGTCACAGGGCCCAGCAGGGCCCGAGAGGCGAGAGCAGGTCCTTGGCTCCGAGGGAGGCGCCTCTCCCAGACCGGCCGCCTTCCCAGCGGGAGAGCCGCGCACACTGTTTCCAACAACACCTCACGGGACACGGGACGTGCACGCCATGCACACCTCCACAGGCCACGGAATCTCGTCTTCCACTCTCTCCCTGACCGTTCGGCCACGGGGAGCCGGTCTTGGCCTAGGGCCACGCAGGACCGTGGTGGCTGCCTCTGACCTCCCGGCTGTGGTTCACCAGCCCCTGGGCAGGCCCAGCGACCAGGTCCACGTGGCTTACCACCTTCCGTGCTCACTGGCCTCAGCCTCGTCCGTCTCCTGCCAAACCCGGACCTCGTGGCTAGAGCTGCACCGGGGCAGGGGATCCTGCCGGTGTGTGTGCGCGTGCGTGCGGGCTTATTTTATTTTATTTTATTTTATTATTTTATTTTATTTTTAAATATGCTTTATTGATTTTTTACAGAGAGGAAGAGAGAGGGAGAGAGAGTTAGAAACATCGATGAGAGAGAAACATCGACCAGCTGCCTCCTGCACACCCCGCACTGGGGATGTGCCCATAACCAAGGTACATGCCCTTGACCGGAATCGAACCCGGGACCCTTCAGTCCACAGGCCGATGCTCTATCCACTGAGCCACACCGGTTTTGGCGCTGGGCAGGATTTCAGTGATCTGTCTTGGAAAATACTTCAATGAGTTTCCTGAAAACAGTATATACCTCTGGTAAAAAATTTGATCTGAAAAACATAAAGAATATTAAAAAAAAAAAAAAAAAAATCACCCCAAATCCCATCACCAAAAGTGACAGCGTTAGTGTTTTGACAAAGACCTTTCCGGCGCCCTCTGAGAACAGTGATGTCAATGCACGAGTCGATCTAAATGTGACTATTTGGCAGGTAACACGAATCCTGCTCTTTCTCGCCAGTAGTAGAGTGTGGGCCTCTTTCTGTGTGAACAGATGCAGGTGTGTTGAAAGCCATTGTTTACATCCTAGTGAAGTGTCTCCATCACTCATTTCACAAACTCTCGGGTCTGTTCTGTTAGGAAGCGGTTCTCAGGGTGGTTCTGGGGTCCTGGGGCCCAGTCCTCGCCGTGGCCAACGCGAGACCAGGGCGGTCTCCGCGGCTCAGCCTGGGCGGCAGGCGCAGCGAGCTGCATCTCGCCGGGAGGGAGGGAGGCCTGGGGAGAGGGAGTCACACCTTCTGGTCTCACAGTTCTCCAGAGAAACCCAGACGGAACCAAGAAATATGCCCTTCGCACGGTGAGTCTGGCTAGGCTTCCACACTGCTGAACGAGCTCACATCGACCCGCTTTTTCCTCAAAGCTCTTTCGGAAAGAAAAACGACACTTGTCACCCTGCAAGCGAGACTCCCACGTCCTGCTCCTTCTTTCCCCCGATAACCCTCCCGGACGTTTACACCATCCAAGTGGAGGCTCAGAACGCGGACGGGACCGCGGCGTCGGACGTGACACGCTGGTCCTTAGCTGCCGTAGGTACGTGTCCTTGGACGTCTTTCCTGCTCGCTTCCCAGAGACCCGCCTCCCCCTTTGTGGTTCATCCTCTCCTGCAGCATTTTTCACCGCTGACTTTCAGAGAGAGCGGAAGCGGGGAGAGACAGAAACATCGGTGTGGGAGAGACCCATCTATCTGCCTTCCGCATGGGGCTGGGGTTGCCTGCAACGGAGGTACATGTCCTTGACCGGAATCGTACCCGGTACTCTTCGGTCCATGGGCTGGCGCTCTATCCACTGAGCGCGCCGGCCAGGGCGAGGGGACTTTTTCTCGATCGGGTATGCATTTGGCTGCTGCGAACAAACCTCTGCTGTTTCCAGGGCTCCGACCAGATCCGCTGAGTGCTCTCTGGGGTGTGTGTTTGTTTTTCGTGTTTCTATGGGGGAACAGAACCTTGGGGGATTTCCTCGCCATCGTTTTGCTGACATCACTCAGTATACATGCTTCTCTCAGCAGTTCCGACGGTGAAAATTAATGACACGGATGACACGGCTCCCGGGTGACACGCCCAGCCGGCGGGAGGGCTGGGTTCGTGGGAAGGGTGGGGATTTTGGAGTGGGCGCCAGTGAATTCCAGCTGGGTTCCCAGGAGAGTGTTAGCTTCCCAATCCCAGCCTGACCTTCTTAGCAGTGCATCCAGCATGTGGGAGGTGGTCGGAGGAGCTGACTCGATGAGGATGGAGCTGCAACGAGTGAGGCTTTTTGGAGAGCAAATGGCAGGTGTGGAAGCCACTGACACATGCTCACTCGGTCACTCTGCCCTCAGGGGCCTCAGGAAACTACCGAGACCAGCAGAGATGCAGCTGTCCCCCCATCCACTCACTAACAGACCGCGCGCCAGCATCTCCCTCCCGGGTGCATTGTCCAGTTTGGGGTAGATGTCATGAGCACGTTCTGACTTGCAAATCTGTGGTTTTTATTTTCAGCAAAAATGGAAGCACCAGTGATTTCCAGTGTGACACCAGTTGTGGCTGTCAAACGGATGCTTCAGATACAATGGGTCAAGCCTAAGCTGGCCCCAGCCTCGTCCCCGTTAAAATGCCGGCTTCGGTTCAGGATGGCGAACAGCACCCACTGGGTGAGTCGTGCCGGTGTTCCGTCCGGGGCCCAGAGCAGGGCTGCCTGACGCTGCCGTCCAGCTGGACACGCTCTCTCCTCTCCACGCCCTCCGCCCGCCCTTCGGGGGGAGCGTCTCACCCCAGGCGCCCGCGTCCTGAGCACCTGCCAGAGAGGCTGGGGCATGGCTCCTTCCTTTTCCACTTTATGAAGCTGTGATATAAAGCACACATTTCGCAGAGCGAACAGAACATAGTATGCATTAACAGATGTCGTTGTCCACTCAACACTGTGAGCTCCTTTCGGGCCTCAGTTCAAACCCTGACGGCGCCTCCGGTTTGGGCGCGAACGGCCCGGCCTGGGAGGTTCCTCTGTGGACCGCGCAGATGGGAAAGGGTCGGATTCGGGATCGAACGCCACCGGTTCTGTAAGCCGAGAGAGGGTCGGAGTGAAGGAGAGAAAGGGAAAGATAACAGGGCTCCACCAGCTCAAAGTCGTCTCTGCCTTGTAGATGCAAGTCAGCTTCAAAGTGGAGGCCGAGAGAAACACCCACACCTCCAACCTCACGGGGCTGCAGGCCCTCACGGAGTACGAGGTGGCGCTGAGCTGTGCGGTCCAGCAGTCCCCCTTCTGGAGCGCCTGGAGCCCAGTGCACAGAGGAACCACCGAGGAAGGCGAGTGCCCGGCCCCTCGGCCCCTCCACCTGCCCGGGTGGACCTGCCCGGGTGGACCTGCCCGGGTGGACCTGCCCGGGATGGGTGGTGCCCTCCACCTGCCCGGGTGGACCTGCCCCGGGTGGACCTGCCCCGGTGGACCTGCCCGGGTGGACCTGCCCGGGGTGGGTGGTGCCCTCCACCTGCCCGGGTGGATCTGCCCGGGTGGACCTGCCCGGGTGGACCTGCCCGGGGTGGGTGGTGCCCTCCACCTGCCCGGGTGGACCTGCCCGGGTGGACCTGCCCAGGTGAACCTGCCCGGGTGGACCTGCCCGGGGTGGGTGGTGCCCTCCACCTGCCCGGGTGGACCTGCCCGGGTGGACCTGCCTGGGTGGACCTGCCCGGGATGGGTGGTGCCCTCCACCTGCCCGGGTGGACCTGCCCCGGGTGGACCTGCCCCGGGTGGACCTGCCCCGGGTGGACCTGCCCGGGTGGACCTGCCCCGGGTGGACCTGCCCGGGTGGACCTGCCTGGGTGGACCTGCCCGGGTGGGCGGTCAGGGACCGGGGAACTCCAGTCCCGGAGCCGGGGTGTCCGGGCTTGTCCTTGGCAGGGTCTCCCCGGCCACAGGGCGTCAGCCCCCGAAGTGGCTTTCTGTCCCGTGAGCCGGGCCCCGGGGCGTCAGCCCCCGAAGTGGCTTTCTGTCCCGAAGGAAGGCGGGAGCCGGCACAGCGGGTTCTCTGGGGAAAGGCCTCGCCGTAGCGGGCGGTGTAATATTCACAACCTCCTGTGACAACCCCAGGCGGCACTGCAGCCCCGGAGCTCCGGCCCCCAGCGTGAGGGCGGGGCTGGCTGGGGCGGGAGGGCGCCCCCCGTGACGGAGGGAGGAGGACAGCTGGCTGGGGTGCCATCGCTGGGCCCGCTGGGACCCCGGCCTGGCTGTCCGGAGCCTCCGTGCTGCGGCCCCTCTCCACGCGAGGAGCGGAGCCCGTCCAGGCACCCGCTTCTGTGCTGGCTCAGAGAGTGCGCCACCCAGGAACGCCAGGCTCCCGTATCACTGGGCCCTCCCGGAGGCCCTGTTTGCAGGGGAGTGGGATGCAGCTGCTCAGAGGCCCCGGGGTGTGCCGCTCTGTAAACCGGGAGCCTGCGGGCTGACCCGGCCGGCAGCCGGCCGGCGTGTGATGGACGAATGCGAGTTTCTCGGGGCTGGAGTCCTGGCTGGTCAGGACAGTTTCCCTGGAGACAGGACGGGAGTCTGGGTGTCCTGGGGTGGTTTCCATAGAGACAGGACGGGAGTCCGGGTGTCCTGAGGTGGTTTCCATGGAGATAGGACAGGAGTCCGGGTGTCCTCTAGGTGGTTTCCATGGAGACAGGACAGGAGTCCGGGTGTCCTCTAGGTGGTTTCCATGGAGACAGGACAGGAGTCCCGGTGTCCTCTAGGTGGTTTCCATGGAGACAGGACGGGAGTCCGGGTGTCCTGGGGTGGTTTCCATGGAGATAGGATGGGAGTTCAGGTGTCCTTGGGGTGGTTTCCATGGAGACAGGACGGGAGTCCGGTGTCCTTGGGGTGGTTTCCATGGAGACAGGACGGGAGTCCGGTGTCCTTGGGGTGGTTTCCATGGAGACAGGACGGGAGTCCGGGTGTCCTCGGGTTGGTTTCCATGGAGACAGGACGGGAGTCCGGGTGTCCTTGGGGTGGTTTCCATGGAGACAGGACGGGAGTCCGGGTGTCCTCGGGGTGGTTTCCTTGGTCCCCGCTGGCCGCACTGTGGGGCTGGCCGCCTGGAGGCCAGGTTCCCTCGGGGCCTTGTCTGCACGGCCTGCCTCCTCCCGTAGTTGCCACGGCTCCCGTGACCTCCTGGCCCGTGTGGCTCAGCCTCCCGCTAGTGCATCGCAGTCTGGCCGGCCTCTGGCGTCCGCCTGAGCCGCGGGTGGACGGCCAGGATCCAGACGGCCTGGCAGCCGGCCGGGCTGCAGCTGTCGCCGTGGGAGAGGCCGCCCAGCAAGCTGCTGTCTGGGTCCTGGGCTCACACAGTGGGCACACCCACCACGCAGCCACGGAGCCCGTGCCTGTGTTTTCCCACCCCTCCCCCCAGCAATGCCCTCCCCGTGTCCTGCACGCTGCAGTTCTCACAGGGGAAGCCAGCACCTCAGACCTCTGTAATAGTTTGGGATTTCCAAGTGAAGCACTGCCTGTGTCCGTGTGGATTTCAGCACATTGCGTGCTCCGGCTTTTACCCATGTGGAAGCAGGTGCAGATCTCCTGCATGACACGTGACATAGTCCACTGCTTTACTGCTATGAGCTTGTGGCCCAGGCGGTGTCCTCCTCCTACTGTCCACGCAGACAAAGTGGGCACAGCCAGCGGCTGGGCCGTGGGCCGTGGGAGGAGCTGGAACTGTTGGGCTTCACGTGTGAGCTCATCTGCATTCCACTGCGATGCGTCTGCCAGATTGAACTGAAGACAGAGCAGCAGTGGTCTTGGCAGGGACAGCGGGCTGGTTCCAGCCGTGGAGACGGGGCGCCTCCTGGCGTCAGCCCTGCAGGCTGTGCGGGGAGCCCCACCGGCCCTCAGCTGGGAGCACTGCTCCATCGGCCCTCGCAGTCTTCGCTCCCCTGTGCGCCGTCAGGCGACCAGGGGCTGCGGCAGACGCTCAGACATGAAATGGCGCATCATCTGAACCGAGCCCTGTGCTCTGTTCCACGGGGGTGGCTGCACCTTCCCCCTGAGCTCACAGGCAGGAAGTCACAGAGCCTTCCCCCTGAGCTCCCAGGAAGTCACAGAGCCTTCCCCTGAGCTCACAGGCAGGAAGTCACAGAGCCTTCCCCTGAGCTCCCAGGAAGTCACAGAGCCTTCCCCCTGAGCTCCCAGGAAGTCACAGAGCCTTCTACCTGAGCTCGCAGGAAGTCACAGAGCCTTCTACCTGAGCTCCCAGGAAGTCACAGAGCCTTCCCCCTGAGCTCACAGGCAGGAAGTCACAGAGCCTTCCCCCTGAGCTCCCAGGAAGTCACAGAGCCTTCCCCCTGAGCTCACAGGCAGGAAGTCACAGAGCCTTCCCCCTGAGCTCCCAGGAAGTCACAGAGCCTTCTACCTGAGCTCCCAGGAAGTCACAGAGCCTTCTACCTGAGCTCCCAGGAAGTCACAGAGCCTTCCCCCTGAGCTCCCAGGAAGTCACAGAGCCTTCCCCCTGAGCTCCCAGGAAGTCACAGAGCCTTCCCCCTGAGCTCCCAGGAAGTCACAGAGCCTTCCCCCTGAGCTCCCAGGAAGTCACAGAGCCTTTCCCCTGAGGTCCCAGGAAGTCACAGAGCCTTCTACCTGAGCTCCCAGGAAGTCACAGAGCCTTCCCCCTGAGCTCGCAGGAAGTCACAGAACCAGCCGGTGGCGTGTTTTCCTTGGGCTGATTCCAGTCCCGCAGCCACGCCGTTCCCACCTCACTGTTGGGCAGCACTGATCCCGCTGCCTCCCCAAGCACTCCCTCCCCGTTACCTCCTCTTCTTCCCCCCACCTCTCCCTTTCCCTCTCCCTCTCTTTCCCTCCCCCTCTCCCTCTCCCTCCCCCCCTTCCCCGTGCCCAGCCTGTCTGCTCCCCGCAGTTCCCCTGGGCCTGGACCTGTGGAGGGTGCTGGGACCGGCTCAGGAGGACGGGAGCCGCCCAGTGAGGCTGCTGTGGAAGGTGAGAGCTCTGGGGCCTTCAGTCTCCGTGTCTTCATAACCTGGGGCTCTGCCGCCAGAGCTGTGATTCTTGGACTTTGACCTCCCGAATTTCCTGCCCAAGAGGCTTTATGATGCCCCAGACTTCCCAGGGGTTTCCCTGCTCAGAGCCTGTAGGTCACCTTATGGGCTAGGATTAGGATTTAGGATTAGGGTTAGTGTTACAGGTAGGGCTAGGATTAGGGTTAGGGTTAGGGTTAGTTAGGGTTAGGGTTAGGGTTAGGGTTAGGCTTAGGGTTGGGGATAGGGTTAGGTTGGGGTTAGGGTTAGGGTTAGGGATAGGGTTACAGGGTTAGGGTTGGTTAAGGTTATTAGGGTTAGTTAGGGTTAGGGATAGGGATCAGGTTAGGGTTAGGGATAGGATAGTGTTACAGGGTTAGGGTTAGGGATAGGGTTACAGGGTTAGGGTCAGTTAGGATTAGAGTTAGGGTTAGGGATATGTTACAGGGTTAGGGTTAGTTAGGGTTAGGTTGGGGTTAGAGTTAGGGTTAGGGATATGTTACAGGGTTAGGGTTAGTTAGGGTTAGGTTGGGGTTAGAGTTAGGGTTAGGGATATGTTACAGGGTTAGGATTAGGGTTGGTTAGGTTAGGGTTAGTTAGGGTTAAGTATAGTGTTACAGGGCTAGGGTTAGTTAGGGTTTGTTAGGATTAGGGTTAGGGATCGGGTTAGGGTCACCTTGCAGGTCCTGGGGCTGCATCCAGGCCTGTCCCTCTGTCGGGCGGTGCAGAGGCATTAGCAGAGGCACCGGCCTCCAGTGGGAGTTCAGGGCCACCCGCAGGCAGAGGCACAGCTGGGCCTCTCACCCGGGACTTGGCCTGAGAGGGCAGCCATGGAGCGGGGTGCTGGGTGCTGGGTGCCCGGGGGTGGAGATAGGAGGCCCAGGCCAGCAGTGACCACGACCAGGACAGTCCTGGCGGCTCTGTGTCCGTGTGGGATGGAGGGAGACACAGCGACAGGAGACGGCGCTGCTCCCTGGCCTGCACCCGCCAGCCTCCGGCGCGAGGCCCCTTAGCGCTGACGCCGCGGCCAGCACCCCCTCTCGGGCCCTGGGGGTGAAGTCGCCGTGTGGCGCTGCTCCCCGGGAGGGCACCTGCCTCGTGTTGTTCACCCGCCCCCTCACCATCCGCCCCGGCTCCGGCCTTTCCCTTGTTTTGGCAACAAACTAGGTTCCCCGCGCTCAGAGGGCCCTGGAGCGAGCGCTCAGCTACCAGGTCTGGTTCTTCCCGGAAAACACCACCAACCTCACCGAGACCGTGACCACCAGCCGCCCGCAGCTGGCGCTGACGCTGGGCGCCCAGGCCTACCGGGTGTGGGTGGTGGCCGCCAACTCGCTGGGCCAGAGCCCGCCCGCCTCCCTGCGGGTCCCGGCCGCCACCGAGGAGGGTGAGTGCAGCCGCTGCCAGGGGTCAGGGGTCAGGGGTCAGGGGGCCGGTGGAGCAGAGGCTGCTGGGCTCACAGCCCTGGAGGAGAGGAGTCACACCCCCCACCAAACCCCACCCTCACCCGGCTGCAGTGCCAGAGCTCTGGGGGGTGTGACGGGAGCCCCCTCTCCTGCTCTTCCAGGGCGGGCTCTGGTTCTGAAGACCCTGGTGGTGGTGGTGGTGGTGGGCAGTGGCTGTGGGCAATGGGCGGCGGGGGGTGGGGGGTGGGCGGTGGGCAGTGGGGGGTGAGGATGGGCGGTGGGTGGTGGGTGGTGGGCTGTGGGCAGTGGCCGGTGGGGGGTGGGGGGTGGGCGGTGGGCGGTGGGCAGTGGGGGGTGAGGCGAGGCACACACCTGGGCGGTCTCCCTCTGGTGCTCACAGCACTTTCAATAGACAGAGTGAACTCTGACCCCCGGCCTGGGCTGGAGTGAACTCTGACCCCCGGCCGGGCTGGAGTGAACTCTGACCCCCAGCCGGGCTGGAGTGAACTCTGACCCCCGGCCGGGCTGGAGTGAACTCTGACCCCCGGCCTGGGCTGGAGTGAACTCTGACCCCCGGCCTGGGCTGGAGTGAACTCTGACCCCCGGCCGGGCTGGAGTGAACTCTGACCCCCGGCCGGGCTGGAGTGAACTCTGACCTCCGGCCGGGCTGGAGTGAACTCTGACCCCCGGCCGGGCTGGAGTGAACTCTGACCCCCGGCTGGGCTGGAGTGAACTCTGACCCCCGGCCGGGCTGGAAGCCAGGGCTCAGCGCCTCTGGGGCAGGGTCCTCGCGGCCTGCTCCCGGCAGCGCGTCCCGCATGGCGGGCAGGTCCCGGGCGGCACCGGGGGCCTTGGATGCGTGTCTTCCTGGGGCAGATGAGGTCTCCCCGGAGGCGGGTTCGAGGCGGGTGTGGGCAGCCTGGGCAGTGGGCACCGGTGCCCTGTCCACCACCCCAGCTCCGGAGCCTCAGGCTCGCTCTGGCCGCGGGCGTCCCTGTGACTGAGGGCCCTGCGAGGCGAGTCCTCGGCCTCAGCGCGGCAGCGAGGGGTTTGGGGGGAACCGAGGTCAGAGGCGCCTGGTCATCGGAGGGAGGTGCGAGGAGGGACCTGAGGGGGAGGGCAGCACACGGGGTCTGCAGGAGGCCGAGCCCCCGCTGCCCCGGGCGCGGGTGCGGGGCGCTGAGGGGGCGAGGGTGCGAGGCGGTGGGTGTGCAGGGGTCTGGGGGTGCGGGGCGATGGGGGTGCGAGGCGGCGGGGTGCAGGGGCGCTGAGGGGCGGGGGCGGCGGGGTGCGGGGTGCGGGGGTGCGGGGCGGAGGGGTGCAGGGGCGCTGAGGGTGCGAGGCGATGGGGTGCGGGGCGGCGGGGGTGCGGGGGTGCGGGGCGGCGGGTGCAGGGGCGCTGAGGGGCGGGGCGGCGGGGTGCGGGGTGCGGGGGTGCGGGGCGGCGGGGGTGCGGGGCGGCGGGTGCAGGGGCGCTGAGGGGCGGGGCGGCGGGGTGCGGGGTGCGGGGTGCGGGGCGGCGGGTGCAGGGGCGCTGAGGGGCGGGGCGGCGGGGGTGCGGGGCGGCGGGGTGCAGGGGTGCTGAGGGGGCGGCGGGGTGTGGGGGTGCGGGGCGGCGGGGTGTGGGGGTGCTGAGGGTGCGGGGCGATGGGGGTGCGGGGCGGCGGGGTGCAGGGGCGCTGAGGGGCGGGGCGGCGGGGGTGCGGGGTGCAGGGGCGCTGAGGGGCGGGGCGGCGGGTGCAGGGGCGCTGAGGGGCGGGTGCAGGGGCGCTGAGGGGCGGGGCGGCGGGGCGGCGGGGGTGCGGGGTGCGGGGTGCGGGGCGGCGGGTGCAGGGGCGCTGAGGGGCGGGGCGGCGGGCGGTGGCGGCGGGAGCACATCCCGAGGCCGGCCCCCTCTGTCCACAGCGTTCCGGGGCGTCCAGGCCGTGCAGGCCGGCCTCTCGCAGGCCGGGCTGGCGGTGGCGTGGCAGAGCTCCGCGCCGCACGTGGACGCGTGGATGGTGGAGTGGCTCCCGGACGTGGACGCCGAGCCCCCCGCCCCGTCCTGGGAGGCGGTGACCGGGGCCAGGAACTGGACGATCCGGCAAGGTAGCCGGCCCGGCCTCCTGGGAGCGGCTCAGGCGGAGGGCGGGGGCCAGGGGTCCGAGCAGGCACACCCTCAGGGCGGCCCCTGAGTGAGCGGACGTGAGCGAGGCCGGCGCCGCCCATCCATCAGCCCGAGCTCCTCATGCGTCACCGTCCGCGGGGAGACCTCCACCTGCCGGACGCGGGCCGAGACCCGGGCCCAGGCGTCCGGGTGGGCCCCCAGCCTCAGCTGGGCCGGGGGGCGGGGGGCCCGGGGGGCGGGGGGCCGGGGGGCTGCCTCACGTCTCTCCCGGGGGCCGTCGCTCTGTCAGAGGGGCAGCTTTCGTTCTAAGGATCAGTTTAGCAATGTTAGGACAGGAGTCGATGCGAGGCCCTCCGCCCTAACTCCCCACCGTCCAGACGTGGGCGCGAGGGAACGGGAGAGCTGGCGTGAGCCTCAGGCCGCACCTCCAGGCCGGCGTGCTCCCTGCGCCAGGCCCGGCCGGTAACGCTCCTTTCCTCCGTTGCAGATGAGCTAGCGCCCCTCCAGTGCTACAACATCTCAGTGTACCCACTGTGGCAAGACCGCGTGGGCCAGCCGTGTTCCGTCCAGGCCTACGCCAGGGAAGGCGGTGGGTGTGCGGGGGTGGCGGGGGGCGGGGGGGCACTGGGGCCTGTCCAGCCGCAGCCCATTTCAGAGAGGAAGGAGAGGGAGAGAGAAACATCAGCGGTGAGAGAGAATCATGCCTCCTGCACGCCCCCACTGGGGGGTGGAGTCCACAGCCTGGCATTTGCCCGGCCGGGAATGGAACCGGGACCTCCTGGTTCACAGGTCGGCGCTCGGCCACTGAGCCACCGGCCGGATACAGACGCTCTTGAATTGTACAGCAGGAAGCTGGGTCTTCCCGGCCGGCCTCCCAGACGTGGCTGTGTCTTTCTGGGAGCCACCATCTCCCAGGGCCCCGTGGGATCTGCGTCCTCCTGCGGCCAGGGCGGGCTCGTCCCCGTCTGGTACGGCGGGACCGACGGGAGGCGCGGGGCTGGGTGTGGGTCGGAGTGAGGCCGTGAGAAAGTCCTTCCCTCTTCAGACGCCGAGCCCAGCGAACAGTCCCCCGGGGCTGATCCACCCCCCACGCCGGCGCGGGTCTGAGGCCGGCAGGCCCCGAGGGGGGCGGGGCGCGGGGGGCCGGCTGGGCTCACGGCCTCTCCCCCTCCAGTCCCGGCAGCAGGCCCCGTGCCCAGGGCGGAGGGCATCGGCGTGACAACCGTCTCCATCGTGTGGGAGGAGGTTCCCAAGCACCAGCGACACGGCTTCATCTGCAGCTACACCGTGTTCTACCAGGCCGAGGGCAGCGCGGTGCTGGGTAAGCGGGCTCCGGCCGCCGGATCCGGGCCCCCGGGGGGGGCCGCCACCCCCGCGTCCCCGGCTCCCGGGCCCCCCCGGGGGGGGAGCCGCCTCCTCCCGCGTCCCCGGCTCCTGGGCCCCCCCGGGGGGGCCGCCTCCTCCCGCGTCCCCGGCTCCCGGGCCCCCCTGTGGGGCCGCCACCCCCGCGTCCCCGGCTCCCGGGCCCCCCCGGGGGCCGCCACCCCCGCGTCCCCCGCTCCTGGGCCCCCCCGGGGGGCCGCCACCCCCCACGTCCCCGGCTCCCGGGCCCCCCAAGAGGGCCACCTCCTCCCATGTCCCCGGCTCCCGGGCCCTCCGGGTGGGGGGCCGCCTCCTCCCGCGTCCCCGGCTCCCGGGCCCCTCTGGGGGGCCGCCACCCCCGCGTCCCCAGCTCCTGGGCCCCCCCGGGGGCCGCCACCCCCGCGTTCCCGGCTCCCGAGCCCCCCACCCCCGCGTCCCCGGCTCCCAGGCCCCCCCCCAAGAGGGCCGCCTCCTCCCGTGTCCCCGGCTCCTGGGCCCCCCCCGGGAGGGCCGCCTCCTCCCGTGTCCCCGGCTCCTGGGCCCCCCCGGGAGGGTCTGGAATCGGGTGAGAGGGCGGGTCGGTCCCTGTGGGTCTGTGGGAACCGGGTCAGTCCGGTTGCTGTCCGGCTCAGACGGGGCACTCCTGGCCGCGTTCCCGCCTGGCTCGCCAGTCGCAGACCATGGCCTGCTGGGCCTCCTGCTCCTGCACACCTTCCTGTCCCCCCGGGGGCCCTGGGGGCACTAGCCCTGCCCTCCCGCTGAGGCCACTCGGGGACGCCCCAGCCGGCTCACCCTCCGGCTGTGGGCTGTGCCCGCCGTGGCCTGGCCGCTGGGACCGTGTGTGGACGTGCCTGACGGGCCGGGAGCGCTGTGAGCAGACCCCGCGGCCCGCTGTGCCGGGCTGAGCCGGAGGGGCCGGGCGGGCGGCCTCCAGCTGAGCCGTCAGAGCCCGGCTTCCCACCGCGGCCCCAGCAGCAAACGCGGACTGTCTGCACACACACACACACACTCACACACACACACACACACACACACTCACACACACTCACACACACACACTCACACACACACTCACACACACTCACACACACACACACATACACTCACACACTCACACTCACCACACACACTCACACACACACTCACACACACTCACACACTCACACACACTCACACACACTCACACACACACACACACCCACACACACACACACACTCACACACACCACACACACACACACTCACACACACACACACACACAACCACACAACACACACACACCTCTCTCTCACACAGCACACGCACACAGGACACACACTCAGCGCACACTCACACTCACACACACACACTCACACACACATCACACACACTCACACACACAGACACTCACACACGCACACCACATCACACACACTCACACACACACACACTCACACACACACACACTCACACACACACACTCACACACACACACCACACACACACTCACACACACACCCCACACACACACACACTCACACACACACACCACACTCACACACACACACACACTCACACACACCCACACACACACTCACACACACTCACATCACACACACACACAACACTCACCACACACACACAACACTCACACACACACCACACACACTCACACACACCCACCACTCACACACACACACTCACACACACACACTCACACTCTCACACACACACACACACACTCACACACACTCACACACACACACACACACACTCACACACACACACTCACACACACACACACTCACACACACACACACACACACTCACACACACACACACACACACTCTCACACACATTCACACACACACACACTCACACACACTCACACACACACACACACACACACACCTCCCCGTTGGCTGCTCAGAGCCCATGCTGCCTTGTGGCACAGGTGTCTCAGAAGGAGCTCCCATTGGCATGTTCTCCAGAGTGAACGGGCCGAGCACATGGCTGTGCTTGTCAGCCTTCTGCGTGTCTTCTCGGGGGGAAGTCTTTGCAATCTCCTGGCCCACTTTTTAAAAAATACATTTTATGATTTCTTACAGAGAGGAAGGGAGAGGGAGAGAGAGCTAGAAACATCGGTGAGAGAGAAACATCGGCAGCTGCCTCCTGCACACCCCCCACTGGGCATGTGCCCCCAACCAAGATACATGCCCTTGACCGGAATCGAACCTTCAGTCCACAGGCTGATGCTCTATCCACTGAGCCACACGGTCTCGGCTCCTAGCCCGTTTAAGCTGTCTTCCTGTCACTGAGCTGTAGAAGCTTGTAAATATGTCCTGGACAAGGTCCTCATCACACAGCTGGCTTCCCGCACACTCCCGCTGTGGCCGCCTCTGCGCAGGAGAAGTCCCGCCCAGCCGTTTCTCCGGGCGGTGTGCGCGGCGTCGGACCGCCTTCCCCGGGGGGCCTCCGGGGTCCCGTGGTTTGAGCTCCTAACGGGCCCCCGTCGCCTGGATGGGCTCTTCTGGAGGAGAAGCGGGTGGGAGAGCGGCCCAGCCTGGTCCCCATGTTCTTACCCGGTCCGCCCGGCTGTGCTTCTCCTTCAGCCAAGACGGTCGGCGCCCGCACCCTGGGGTGCCGCCTGGAGTCCCTGAGGCGCAAGACCTCCTACTCCGTCTGGGTCATGGCCAGCACCAGCGCCGGCGGCTTCAACGGCACCAGGATCGCCTTCCAGACGCTGTCCGTCAGTGAGTGCCCCCCGCCCGCCCGCCCGCCGTTCTCCGGCCGTGGGGGGGGGAGGGTGCCCCCGGGCTGGTGCCCCTGGCGGGCGGGCGCAGGGAGAGGGCCTGGGCGAGGAGAGGAGGGAGGTGGGCAAACCGAGCGAATTCAGAGACCGGCCATCGGCTCCTTCCTGCTGGGCGGCCCCCAGTCACCGTGAGGAGGCGGGTCCAGCTCCTGCCAAGTTCACCCTCGGCCCCGAACCAGCTGTCACTCAGGCCGGCCCCGGTCAGAGGTGGCGGCCTCGGGGGGATCGGGTGGAGCGAGCCCGGTGGCTCGCAGGAAGGGCCTCGCCCTCGCCATTCTGGAGCGTTTTAAGCAGAAGAGCACGTCCTACGCTCCACGCGCCAGCTTTCACGTCAGAAACGGGAAGCAAGACGAGCCTGAGGGATGCAGCGAGAATGCCCGGCGGAGAGCGGGAGCTGACGCCGACTGTGCCCGCAGGTGTCCTGGAGGTCTGCCTGGTGGCCGCGCTGGGCGGGGGCGGGCTGCTGCTGCTCAGCGCCCTGGCCGCGGCCTGCGGCCTCCGGAAGCCCAAGTGAGTGAGGGGGCCGGGCTGCCGGCCGGAGGCGGTGCCACGCACCCCCGGCACACGCACCCCCGGCACACGCACCCCCCGGCACACGCACCCCCGGCACACGCACCCCCGGCACACGCACCCCCCGGCACACGCGTCCCCCGACACACGCATCCCGGGCACACACACACCCCCGGCACACGCACCCCCAGCACACGCACCCCCGGCACACGCGTCCCCCGACACACGCATCCCGGGCACACACACACCCCCGGCACACGCACCCCCAGCACACGCACCCCCGGCACACGCACCCCCAGCACACGCACCCCCGGCACACGCATCCCCGGCACACGCATCCCGGGCACACGCACCCCCGGCACACGCACCCCCGGCACACGCGTCCCCCGACACACGCATCCCCGGCACACGCACCCCGGGCACACGCACCCCCGGCACACGCACCCCCAGCACACGCACCCCCGGCACACGCACCCCCAGCACACGCACCCCCGGCACACGCATCCCCGGCACACGCATCCCGGGCACACGCACCCCCGGCACACGCATCCCGGGCACACGCACCCCCGGCACACGCATCCCCGGCACACGCACCCCCGGCACACGCACCCCCGGCACACGCGTCCCCCGACACACGCATCCCCGGCACACGCATCCCGGGCACACGCACCCCCGGCACACGCACCCCCGGCACACGCGTCCCCCGACACACGCATCCCCGGCACACGCATCCCCGGCACACGCATCCCGGGCACACGCACCCCCGGCACACGCATCCCGGGCACACGCACCCCCGGCACACGCATCCCGGGCACACGCACCCCCGGCACACGCACCCCCGGCACACGCGCCCCCCGACACACGCATCCCCGGCACACGCATCCCGGGCACACGCACCCCCGGCACACGCATCCCGGGCACACGCACCCCCGGCACACGCATCCCGGGCACACGCACCCCCGGCACACGCACCCCCGGCACACGCGTCCCCCGGCACACACGTTCCCCGGCACACGCATCCCGGGCACACACACCCCCAGCACACGCACCCCCGGCACACGCACCCCGGGCACACGCACCCCCGGCACACGCGTCCCCCGGCACACGCACCCCCGGAACACGCATCCCCCGGAACACGCACCCCCGGCACACGTGTCCCCCGGAACACGTGCCCCTGGCACACGCGCCCCCGGAACACGCATCCCCCGGAACACGCACCCCCGGAACACGCATCCCCCGGAACACGCACCCCCGGCACACGCATCCCGGGCACACGCATCCCCGGCACACGCACCCCCAGCACACACACCCCCGGCACATGCGTCCCCCGGCACACGCGTTCCCCTGCACACGCCCACTGCGCCCCACGCCCCATGCCCCACACAGAGCTCTGGACCCACAGAGGACCCTCCCACGGCCCTCCCGAGGCGGCCCCCGTGGGAGCAGCCACGGGCTGTCTGACAAGGTGCCCTGCTCCACTGAGTCAGGGCGTTGGCCGCCCTGTGCTGGGCACCAAGGCTCCCAGCTGGCGGGCAGAGCGGAGGGCGGGCACCCACAGGGAGGGGAGCTGTCTCCGGGCGCCGTGCTGCTGCCCCAGAGCCTCCTGCCTCAGGGAGCTCAGGCTCCTTCCCGGAGGCCTCCATCTTCGAGGGGCTGGCAGTCACCGTGCCGCCAACCTCAGCGCTGCCCCTCCGCCCCCTCCCCCGGGGCTTCAGGCAGACTGTCTGACAGCCCGGACTGCTGTGGCCGGGACCCGCCGGGACTCTCCCCTGACGTCACCTCGGAGAAGGCCTGCGGGAAGCAGCGGGGGGGGGGGGGGGGGGTGCTGTGAGGGGCAGGTCTCTCCCCCCAGGCCCCCGTGTGACTTCATGTCACCCCCATGCAGCTTCGCTTCCCCGTCTGAGCTGGAGCGGGCTGCCCTTCTGTCCCAGGAGCCACGCAGCTCCCCGGACACACACACACACACACACCCGGGCACACCAGGCTCCCGGACTCAGCGTGTGGGAACCCTTCTCCCAGGCTGAAGCACCTGTGCTGGCCGGACGTCCCCAACCCTGCCCGGAGCAGCTTGGCCGCGTGGGGAGGCGGGAGCCTCAAGGTGAGCGCGTCTGCCCGGAGGCCACTGAGCCGCCGGTGAGGGCGGGGAGCGGCTGGCCGGCTTCATGGCCGAGGGCAGGACCGGGGGCGGGACCGGGGGCGGGACCGGGGGCGGGACCGGGGGCGGGGACCGGGGGCAGGGACCGGGGGCGGGGACCGGGGGCGGGGACCGGGGGCGGGGACCCGGGGGCGGGGACCGGGGGCGGGGACCGGGGACGGGGACCGGGGGCGGGGACCGGGGGCGGGGACCGGGGGCGGGGACCCGGGGGCGGGGACCGGGGGCGGGGACCGGGGACGGGGACCGGGGGCGGGGACCGGGGGCGGGGACCGGGGACGGGGACCGGGGGCGGGGACCGGGGGCGGGATCGGGGGCGGGGACCGGGGGCAGGGACCGGGGGCGGGGACCGGGGCGGGGGACCGGGGGCAGGGACCGGGGGCGGGGACCGGGGGCGGGGCCCGGGGGCGGGACCGGGGGCGGGGATCGGGGGCGGGACCGGGGGCGGGGACCGGGGGCAGGGACCGGGGGCGGGGACCCGGGGCGGGGACCCGGGGCAGGGACCGGGACGGGGACCGGGGGCCCATCGGGCTTTGAGTGACTCATCTTTAGTCCCCACATGACCCCTGGGGTGCCCTTCGCTCTTCCAGGGTAAGCCGAGCCCGAAGGAGGTGGACGATGCCCTGAGCACAGAGGACAGCGCTCTCAAGCCCAGTGACCTCATTGACAAGTTGGCGGTGAACTTCGAGAATTTCCAGGAAGAGGTTTCCGCAGAGGAAGAGGGAAAGGGCCAGGAAAGCATGCTGGGAGGGGACACGAATGAGTACGTGACCTCCCCCTTCAGGCCTTACTGTATCCTGAAGCCGTTCACTGAGGCCGAGGCCCCGCCCACTGTAGCTGAGGCCCCGCCCACTGCGGCTGAAGCCCCACCCACTGTATCTGAAGTCACTCCCATTGCAGCCGAGGCCCCGCCCATGGCAGCCGAGGCTCCTCCCACTTCACCCAAGGCTCCGCCCACTGTGGCCGAGGCTCCGCCCAGAGAGCCCCGGCGCCTGCGCTCTGGCAGCCGGGAGGGCACCAGCCCGGAAGCTGAGGAGCAGCTTGTCCCTTCTGCCCGGCGCCCAGGGCCCGCCAGCGCCTGCCGGGAGGGGGCGCCCACCCTGTACCTGAAAAACTCGGTGACCACCAGGGAGTTCCTCGTGTCTGCGGAGCTTCCCGACCAAACCAAGAGGGCCACCTAGAGGCCGCCGGCGGCCCCTCTGCGGGGGCGGCCTGCAGAGGCGCCTCCCCGCCGGGCGTCTGCGCCCATCGGCTGTCAGGAGGCTCCCCTGCCTCTGGGGCGTCTGCGCCCATCGGCTGTCAGGAGGCTCCCCTGCCTTTGGGGCGTCTGCGCCCATCGGCTGTCAGGAGGCTCCCCTGCCTCTGGGGCGTCTGCGCCCATCGGCTGTCAGGAGGCTCCCCTGCCTCTGGGGCGTCTGCGCCCATCGGCTGTCAGGAGGCTCCCCTGCCTTTGGGGCGTCTGCGCCCATCGGCTGTCAGGGGCCCAGCCTGGGGCCTCGCCTCAACGTCCGGGCACACTTCCGTGGCCTCTCCTCGGCGTCCGGACACACTTCCGTGGCCTCTCCTCGGCGTCCGGACACACTTCCGTGGCCTCTCCTCGGCGTCCGGGCACACTTCCGTGGCCTCGCCTCAGTGTCCGGACACACACACTTCCGTGGCCTCGCCTCAGTGTCCGGACACACACACTTCCGTGGCCAGGCCGTGGTCTCAGTGGCACCTGGGCGGGCGGCTGGGAGGGGGCGTCTCCATCACCCGGCCCCCGGGCCCGGCCGCTCCTCTCCTCGGCCCTGGGACTCACGCTGTGGGTCCCCAGCACGTCCCCGATGTGTCACCTTGAAGCTCCAGCCCAGAGCAGCACCCGCAGCCTCGCCCGCACCCACAGCGCCCGGCGCTGCAGGATCACAGCGACTCCTGGGCACCGGCTCCGGCGGGCCAGCGGGTCTGCCCGCCTCCCGGCCGCTGCCCAGCCGACACCGTCGGGGCCCTCTGCCCCCGTCGTGCCCCGAAGCCTGTGGCAGAGAGACACCCACATTCAGAGGCCTCGCCCTGAGCCTCGCTGACTCAGCGGCCGGCACGCCGGACAGACACGCCCTGGGCCTCTGCCCAGCACAGCTGCTGCCTCCACAGCAGCCCCTGCCCATGCCCCGTGGAGCCCAGAGCTCGAACCCCTGACAGTGTGGGGCCTGAGCCTCTGTGTGGACAGCAGGGGTCAGCTCCCTGACCGGGGCCTGGGCTGGCGCCGGGCTGGCCTGTGGGTGCGGCCGAGCGGCTGGCGGCGTGTCCTCCCGGGAGGGGTCAGTGCTCGGGCGGGACCTCCTGCCGCCTCTCGGCTGTGCGTACGCGTCATCCCGTCCCCGTCACTGACAGCCCGGCCAAGGCCCTGGCACGGGCCAGCTCGCCAGGCTCCGGGCGCTCGGTCTGTGACTCAGGCGTGCTCCGGGCCCATCCTGAGGGGCCGGTGGGAGGTGAGAGTGTCCAGGGGGTGTCTGCCCACGGCTGGTGTCGGCCGTGGCTGACCCGGCCCCGGGCACAGGCCTTCTCCCGGCGCGCCCTCCTCACTCCCGCTCGGTCTGCAGCCCCGTCTCCTCCGCTCCCAGACGGCGCGGCCAGCGGGGAGGGACAGGCAGGCTCTGGGACCCGCCCACGGCTCTGGGGCCAGAACGGGACCAACCAGAGGGCACCCCGACTCTGGGCTGTGACGGGCTCTCCCGACCCCCCCCCCCAACAGTGTGACTAGGGCGCTTCTGTGAACCCCTGCCCCCTCCCCCGAGTTCCCGGTGCCCTTTGCCCCCCGCCTTTGGACTGAGATCTTGGGGGGGTCCAGCCTGGTGCCCATGCCTCTCTCTCCTGGCATTTTTGCTGGGCACCTCCAGCGGGGGACGCCCCCCATTCTGTGTGCGGGAGGGGCCTGGGGGCGTGCCTGGAGGGAAGAGGAGGGTGTGTGGAGGGTGCTCCCCACTTGTCCGTCTACCCATGAGGCTCTCAGAAGCTGACAGCTGGGCAGAGAGGGGCTCCAGGGCCTGTGAGTGGGTTACCTCTGCCATCCCCCGATCCTGCTGCACCCTCCACCTGGCCCTCTCCCGCCCCCTCTGGCTTCTGCTGCCGGCCAGCAGCTGGTCTCTGTGGCTCCTCCTCTTCTCGTCTCCCCCCCCCCCGCCCGCCCTGCCCGTTCCCATCAGCCCCCCTGAGCTCCCCCGGGCCCCGGCCGCCTGGGAGGACCCAGCGTCTGGTTCGGGAAGCGCCGGCGGTGCCATGGTCGGCGTGGCCACCGGTCAGAGCGCGGCTTCCCAGGAACCATGAGAACTCTCTCCGGCTGCGCCCGGCTGCTGGGAGCCGGGTCCCAGGCACAGGCCGCTGTGGCCGTCCCGGACGGGGTCACAGGCCGTCCCGGCCCAGCGCCCAGGCGGCCTCTGGAGACAGCCATTCACACGCTCTGCTCCCGGCGGGCACGGGACGAGAGCACGCTGACCACTGCCCGCTGGGCCCTGCAGACAGCCGGGGCCTGCGGCCTGGCTCTGCCCGATCCCAGGAGCCGTTAGGAGGTGCGGAGATGTCCTCTGGCTTCTCAGAGGCGGGTGCGGGGACGGGGGTGCGGGGTGGGGGGGGGGTCTGCATGTCTGCCTGGGCCTTCCTGCGCCCGCCTCCGCGCTGCTGCATGTTCCATTCGTGGCTGCGGTTTCTCTGGTCCCTGCCCCCGCCGGCCCGTATCTGGGGTTCTGCTCAGGCGGCCACTGCCGGCACCCACCGCGCTGGAGCCCTGTGGTCCCTCACTCTCTGGGCCACCTCTGAGCCGCCATGCACCTAATAAACTCGGAAACGTCGCCGGTTTTTCTCACTCCAGACAGCTATTGCGGGGAGAGGCTCGGAGGGCCTGCCCGGGGCGTTAGAGGGTGGTCTGCGGCTGGCGTGGCAGCGTCCGGGTGGTGGTATGTCCTGTGGGAACGCCGTAGCAACGGGGCTGGTGTCAGCGGGTGTGTGGTCTGTGCGATGGGGGAGGATGTGGTGACGGAGGCCGCCGGTCCTGGCTCCCGCGCTCGGGCTGGGCCCGGGTCAGGGGGTCCCAGAAGCACCTGCTGCCTGCAGGAGCCGCGGCTCAGCACCCACTGGCCAGACCGGCCGTGAGGTGCAGGCCTGTCAGACTCTCAGAGAGGCACAGTGTGACCTTCCCCACAGCGAGGGGCGGTTCCTGCTCGGACGCCGGAAAGGAGACCCGGTGCACGTGCCACGCTGGTTGTTAGAGCGAGCCTCCTGCCCCGGGGACCGGGGCCTGGCCAGCCTTCCCCCCAGGACCCCGCTGCCCCAGGACCCCGCTGCCCCAGGACCCCGCTCCCCCAGGACCCCGCTCCCCCAGGACCCACACCCCGCTCCCCCAGGACCCCGCTCCCCCAGGACCCACACCCCCACTCCCCCAGGACCCACACCCCACTCCCCCAGGACCCCACTCCCCCAGGACCCACACCCCCACTCCCCCAGGACCCACACCCCGCTGCCCCAGGACCCACACCCCGCTCCCCCAGGACCCCACTCCCCCAGGACCCCACTCCCCCAGGACCCCACTCCCCCAGGACCCACACCCCACTCCCCCAGGACCCCGCTCCCCCAGGACCCCGCTCCCCCAGGACCCACACCCCCACTCCCCCAGGACCCACACCCCCACTCCCCCAGGACCCCGCTCCCCCAGGACCCACACCCCCACTCCCCCAGGACCCACACCCCACTCCCCCAGGACCCCGCTCCCCCAGGACCCACACCCCCACTCCCCCAGGACCCACACCCCACTCCCCCAGGACCCCACTCCCCCAGGCCCCACACCCCACTCCCCCAGGACCCCGCTCCCCCAGGACCCCGCTCCCCCAGGACCCACACCCCCACTCCCCCAGGACCCACACCCCCACTCCCCCAGGACCCCGCTCCCCCAGGACCCACACCCCCACTCCCCCAGGACCCACACCCCACTCCCCCAGGACCCCGCTCCCCCAGGACCCCACTCCCCCAGGACCCACACCCCACTCTCACCAGGACCCCGCTGGGCCTGCCCCACCCCGCCGGCTCCCTCCCTCCCTCCCTCCCTCCTCTTGGCGCTTTTCCCAGCTCCTCCCAGCCCCCCTTCCCCCCCAGCCCCCCTTCCCTCCCAGTGCCCCCCCCCCCGCAGGTGCCAGGGTCCCCCGCCTCATGAGGCCGGACCCCAGGGCTCCCTCCCCCCTGGCCCTCGGCCCTGAGCACGCTCTGGCCCGCGGGCGCTCCCGCTCCTCCCCGGCCCACCAGCCCGGCCACAGGCAGCTCTCCAGAACTTTCTGGAAGCGGAGAAAGCAAGGCGATGGGGGCCGGCAGGGACGCCTGACACCGGCAGGGGCAGGGACGCCTGAGCTCCGCCCGAGGCCCCCCCTAGGCCTCGCCGGGCTCCGGAACCTTCTGGGAGCCAGCGCCTCGGCGTTGGTGAGCTTCTGGGTGTGCGTCTGCCACCCAGTCCAGGGCGCCGGCGGGAGCCAGCCGGTGGGGGCGGAGGCCTGGGGCGGCCCTTCCTGTGACACGTGGTCCCGGTGGCCCGGCTCCAGGGAGGTGCTGAGAGCAAACCTGGAGGTGCCACTGGCCCCCAAACCCCAAAGCCAGGGCCTGGGGAGGGCGGGGCCAGGCGGTGGGGCCAGACCTGACCGGGCCTTAGCCCAGGGCCTCTCTGCCGAGTCCTCTGGCCGGAGGAGGCCGTGGCGAGGCGGGGTGCCGGTCTGTCTCCGAGGGCAGCCCCGGCCTCCAGGACACGCCGGGCTCCAGGAGAGGAGGCCCGGCCGGGGCTTCCCCACGGGAACCCCGAAGCTGACGTGACCGTGCCTCCCTCCCACCGCCTCCAAGAACAGTTCACACGTGACCCAGAGGGAGAAGGACGCTCACCCCAGGCGCGTCTCCCAACCCAAAGAAATGCTCATTTATAAAACTTTAAAAATACATTACTTTTATTTTTTTAATGAATAAAGAGGAAGGGAGATGGAGAGAGAAACTTCAACGATGAGAGAGAATCGTGATCAGCTGCCTCTGGCACGGCAGCTGGATCCCACTGGGGATCCAGCCACAGCCGGGCAGGTGCCCCGGCCAGGATGGAACTGTGAGGACACCGGCCCGCTGTTCTCTCTCTTCCCTGGAACCCAGCCCCGTGGTACACCTCCCCGCCCCCGCCCCCCCCAAAAAATAACCCACCCAAAAACTGCTAAAATGAGCAACCCCAAAACAGAGCAGCACGATGAAACCCCAAATGAGACCCCAAAGCTTCTGTTGTCCATCACCTCCCTGGTCCCCCTGCCTCCAGCCAGAGCGTAGGAGCCTCAGCTGAACATCCAGCTGAAGTGGCCGTGGGTTTTTAACTGGGAACAGCTGTGAAGGTTAGAGCATTAGGGTGAGGGTTAGGGCTAGGGCTAGGGTTAGGGTTATGGCTAGGGTTAGGGTTAGGGCTATGGTTAGGGTTAGAGTTATGGCTAGGGTTAGGGTTAGGGTTAGGGTTAGGGCTAGGGCTAGGTTTAGGGTTAGAGCTAGGGTTAGTGTTAGGTGTAGGGCTACAGTTAGTGTTAGGTTTAGGGCTAGGGCTAGGTATATATTTAGGCCTATTTTGGGGTTACGTCTAGGGCTCTGGCTAGAATTGCTAGTCAGGGTTATGTTTTCGGTTAGAAATATTGCTAGGTTTAGGGTTAGGGCTAGGGCTGTTAGGATTATTGCTTGAGTTAGGTTTCTGGTTCAGGTTCGGGTTCGAGTTCGGGCTAGGGTTTGGATTTGGGTTAGCTTTAGGGTTGGGGCTTGGGTTAGGGCTCAGGCTAAGGTTGGAGTTCGGGTAAGTGGGAACGTTAGGCTTAAGGCTAGGATTAGGGTCATGTTTAGGGTTCGTGTTTGTTTCTGCTCTGCTGTAGGCCTGTGTGTGCCACTCCATGTGTTGGTCCATGCCGAGCGGGACGGTGGGGATTCGGCTGTGGAGTCGGTTTGAGTGGGAACTCGTGTCTGTTATTCAACTCCATTTCCCTGAGCCTGTGGGACTGTGTTGCTCTCATCTTTACCTCGTAGTAATTTTCTAGGGTTAATGACGGGGAATATATCTGCACTTTACACCTGCAGTGGCCTGCGCCTCCGGGGTGACAGAAGTGTCCCGGCTCGCAGGGACCGCCCTCCCTGCACCAGGGTGTCCACGTGCAGTTCCAGCTGCAGAATGCGGGGCCCAGCTCCGCCCGCCCTCCTGTCAGCATGGTCGCTTTGGAATCAGGGTCCGCAACAGACATGGGGGTGAGACCAGAGGCTGCCTAGGCCAAAACGCAGGAACCCACGCCCCAGCCCGATGTCATGTGTGAACCCTTCAGGACGTGGGAGACCTCTGGTCTTTCCGGGTGGAGCCCGTGTGAGGACCAGCAATGCAGATGGACGGTCCCCCCCTCCAGGTGGGCTGGCTGAGCTGCTGGCTCCCCACAAGGGGCGACTGGATGCAGCAGGGCACAGGCCGGCCACAAGGTGGCGCTGCACCTCCGTTCATTGGGTCAGTCAATGGGGTAAGACAACCTCCTGGGGGTTGGGCTCCAGGGCCCTGTGAGCACATCCTGGGGGTCGTCGGGAAGCCTGGTATGGCATGCCGGCTCCGAGTCCTACCCGCTCGGAGGCCACGGCCGTCTCCCCAGCTGCCCAGTCTCACCCGTCGTGCCAGACGGCATCGATCAAGGCACAGCCCTCCACGGAGACCAGCCCCGGACGGTGTGACCAGCCACACGTAGCCTGAACAGGATTTACTGCATAGGTTAAGGTTACAGGTGATACATAAGAGCTTGGTATGATACACGTGGAGTTATGTCAACATAAAACAGCTGGTTACAATGAGCACATGCAATTGGCTACAAAGGAAAAACACGGACAACACCCTCCACGGGCCCTGGCCACGGCCAGGAGGGGCAGCTGGTGTCCTGGCGGGCGGGGCCGGTGCAGGGCACACGGCAGCACTGGACAGGGCACGCCCACGTCCACTGTTCACACACGTGCGCGTCAAGATGGAAGGGCTTTGACACTGACCTTAGCACACCCCTTCTCCTGTGGTGCCCGGTGCTGGTGGATCAGCCCTGGACGCCGAGTCCTCCCTCGCCAAGGCCCATGGTTAAGGGACACCCTGTGGCCCCAGGCCTCGCTGCGTTTTCATCACGACTGCCCCCCCGCACCACACCACTGCAGCACACACGCCAGCAGCACGTGAAAGACATATGAACCCCAAAGCCACATGTGGCCCAGACACCCCCACCTGCACCTGCCCACGGTCTGGGCAGTGGCTGTTGGACCAGCGGGAGGGCCAGGCCCCAGGTCTCGGGGGCCTGGGACCCTGCTTTGGGCTCTCTCCGGACACCTTGCCGTTGAGTGGCTCCATCTTCTCTCGATTCACAGAAAAGTGCAAGGATGTTTAGAAGTGGCCTCGCCGGGCAGCAGGCTGACCACAACTCCCAGCGAGTGGCTCCCGTCACGGAGACACAGTGCACACCTGGCTCCTCCTCAGACCCGAGGGAGGAGACGCTGTGAACACAGGCCTCCGTCTCTCACTGCGCCTCGCATTTCTGCACCCCGATAGTCCTCATTAGCCAGGCAACCCTCCCAGACAGGCCACAACGCCCCCGAGAGGGGCTGGCGCCCAGCAGGGTCTTAGCAACGGCGGCCTGAGTCCTTCGCCCACGCCGGGACGCCCTCCGTGCGGGCGGCCTTCAGGAGGGACAGCTGAAAGTGCACGTGGGCGGCTGGAGGGCTCCCTCCCGGGGGAGGGGGAGGGGGGAGGGGAGGGGCACCCGAGCGGGCCGGCGGTGAGCAGACCGAGCACACGGAGCCGTCGGGCCTCTCCCTCCGCGGCTCGCGTGCTGGGCTGCCCCGCGTGCTGGCTGACCCCGCTGGGAAGGACTCAGCTGCCCAATGCCAGGGGCTGGTTTCCACAGGCGCTCAGGGCTGCGTTACGCGGGAGGGACAGACGCGGGAGCGGAGCCGTGGTTGGGCTGGAGGGCTGGGTGAGGGGCTCCGCTCCGTCCGGAGGCCATGGGAGGGGCTAGAGCCGGTGAGGGCAGCCCGCCCCCCACACGTCAGGTGCCACCCGCTGGATCCTAGCTGCTCAAAGCGTGATGCCTTCTGCATAGACTACACACGACACGAACCCAGCCGGTTCCTCTGCCTGCGTGAAACAATCACACGCATGATGCACAGACAGCCTGGTCACGCCTCGGTCACGCCATCCAACTCCAAGCACTTCCCTTGTTCTCTGGGGGCCAGGATGCACATCCCAAGTCAGTGATCACACGTGTTTCCCGAGTGGAACTCTGCCAGTGACCACGTCGTGGTCTGAGGTGCCCTATGGCAGCCGGGCCCGCACCCTCCCTTCCTGTGCGACACCCTCCAGGCCCCGTCCTCACTGTGCGCCCCAGACAGGACTGGTTAGCTGAGGAAATGGGTGGCCAGGATTTCCCGGAAGCCGGGGCACCCACGGGGGAGCCGGCACCGGGGCGCCCCGAGGCCTGGGCGGGAAGTGGCGGCGATGGACATCCCCGGGAGCACGCCGGAGGGAGGGAGTGCCCGTCAGCGGGAAGCTCACTGCTTTCTCAGCTGGTCCGTCTCCGCGAACGGCTGCTGGGCCGGCCTGTTCTGCCACGTGAAAGGACGGGAAACAAGCCCACGTCTCCCAGGTCCCGGAGGGCAGCCTCTCCCCACACAGCCACTGCGTCCTCCTGGCGGAGGCGGGAGGGGCCGTGGTCAGCGCTGACCCGAGGACGGGACGGAAGTGGCTGCGGGCCGTGCCCCCTCGGGGCTGGCGGGGAGGGGGACGGGGGGAGAGCAGGCCGTGCCCTTCGCTGCTTCCCACGCCAGCGGACGGGACTGCCCCAGTCCTGCCAGCGCAGAGCCGCCTCGCGGGAGGATGTCTGAGCTGAGGCCACCGCCTGCGCCATGACCTGCAGGGGCAGCGCGTTCCCACGGAGCCTCGCCCTCAGCGGTGAGGGTGGCGTGCGGGCGGACAGCTGGCCCCGTGCCTCTGGGCACGCCGAGTCAGACGCTGCAGGGGCTGTGAGCAGGGACGGCAGCGTTCGGAAAGCCACCAGGCGGCCGATGCCGGAAGGTGCCGGAGCCTGTCCAATTGCAGGCTCAACTCCGGAACCCGCTCCAGCAGCTGTGCCGTCCCGGGTGAGTCTGTGCTGTGAAGGCTCGGGCGCGGTTCCGGGGCAGAGGCTGCTGGCCGGCTCGGCCCTCAGCACAGCGTGCGTCCGCCCCGGCGTCCAGGCACAGGTCCGTGCCCCGAGGCCGCGGCAGCCCGCGGGGAGGCGGGTGTAGTGAGTGGATCGGGGCCTGGGCCCCCGAAGGCCGTGGTCACGCGGCGAGGGGGTCCGTGGGTCTGCGCAGACTCGGCTGTCCGGCGGCCTGCGGGACGGGCGCTCACTGGGGCATGTAGCCGCCGGGCCGCACCGTCTGCGGGAGGTAGCTCTTCGGCGGCCCCTCGTCCAGGCCGAGCACGGCCTCCAGCCCACCCGTCTCCAGCCTCTCGCCGGGCCCCGGGGCGGCCGGGCCCTCCCGGAACGCGGGCGGCGGCCCGGGCCCCGCGGGGTCCTCGCCGGCCGGGCCCTCCCGGAACGCGGGCGGCGGCCCGGGCCCCGCGGGGTCCTCGCCGGCCGGGCCGGGGCTCTGCTGGAAGTACTGCTGCCGGGGCGGCGGCAGCTCGTCGGGCCGCTCCTCGCAGTCGAGCAGGGGCTGCGTGGACTCGGAGCGGGAGAACACCTGCACGGAGGGCACCTGGTGGCGGTAGCCGCTGTGCACCACGGTGGAGTACTGCACGGCGCTGGCGCTCTGCGCGGACGCCGCCTCCGCCTCGTCGCCGCTGGACAGGCTCTGCCGCGAGGACATGCAGGAGGAGCCGCCGATGCCGCTGCTGTGGCCGCCCGTGCTCAGCTTCTCCTTCCGGAACAGCTCCAGCGCCTTCAGCTCCTCCGGGAGCGGCTTCGGGTCGCTCGCCTCGATCTCCACCACGCTCAGGTCCGTGAGCGCGCCGTCCGAGAACATCTGGTCCTTCGAGCTGAAGTTATGCTGAGGGAGGGAGTCAGACAGAGAGAGAGGGAGGGAGGGGGCGGGGGGGGGGGAGAGAGAGAGAGAGAGAGGGAGGGAGGGGAGAGAGGTAGAAGAGAGAGAGCGAGAGAGGGAGGGAGGGGAGAGAGGGAGAAGAGAGAGAGCGAGAGAGGGAGGGAGGGAGGGAGGGGAGAGAGGGAGGGAGGGAGGGAGGGGAGGGAGAGAAGAGACAGAGGAGAAGGGAGGAGGGGAGAGAGGGAGGGAGAGAGGGAGAGACCAGAGGTAGGCGGGAGGGGGCGGGGGAGAGAAGAAGAGAGATAGAAGAGATAGAGAGGGAGGGAGTGAGTTAGGGAGGGGAGAGAGAGCGAGAGAGGGAGAGAGGGAGGGAGGGAGGGAGGGGAGGGAGGGAGGGAGGGGAGGGAGGGAGGGGAGAGAGGGAGGGAGGGAGGGAGGGGAGAGAGGGAGAGAGAGATGGAGGGAGGAGAGAGGAGGGAGAGAGAGGAGAGAGACAGAGAGAGAGAGGGAGGGAGGGGAGAGAGGGATGAGAGAGGGAGAGACAGAGAGGGAGAGGGAGGGAGGGGGGGGGGGGAGAGGAAGAGAGAGAGAGAGAGAGAGAGAGAGAGGGAGGGAGGGAGGGAGGGAGGGAGAGAGGGGAGGGAGGGAGAGAGGAAGAAGAGAGAGGGAGAGACACAGAGGGAGAGGGAGAGATGGATCGTCATTACCACACGTCACTCAGGAACTGCAGGCACACCGGAGGGCGGAGCCAGAGTTGGAGGTAACGGCCCCGCCACCTGCCCCGGGGCCGCTACAGGGAGTTCTCCCTGGGACCCGGGCAGTGGCGCCTCGGCTGCTGGCAGAACAGCTCTTGCTTTCCACATGGACAGGGACGCCCCGGGCTCACGGACAGAAAACACGGGCTGGGGACTCAGCTACCCAGAAGACACGCGTGTCGGTCTGTGACAGACTCGAGGAGGGAAGGAACGCCCGGATCCTCCCCATCAGCGTGGGAACACGCAGGCTGAGGGCTGATGGGACAGGAAGCTAAGTGCCCGCCTACGGGCTGCCAGGAGCCGTGCCGACACGTGCAAGCGTCGCATGGTAACCCAGGCGTTCTCGGCGGACCTGCTCAGGGAGCGTGCTCCGATGGACAGCGGCACGGACAGTGGTCCCGTGACTGCTGGTCCAAGTGGTGAGCTGTGGTTGGCCCCAGCGCACCCCCAGCTGCCTGAGCCTCTAACCGAGCCGGAGCCCGTCTTACCCGGGGCGGCGTGTGGGGCGACCACTGGGCGATGTGGCTCTTGGACGGGTCCGGGACGTTGGGCCAGATGTGCTTCTTAATCCTGCGGAGGGAGGCACACCGTGAGGGCGCGGCAGCACGGGAGGCCCTGACCCGCCCGCCAACAGTGCCCGCCGACCCGGAGCACGGAGCCGGCCTGCCCCCGCTGAGCAGCTCTGCGCAGGGCACTGAGCGACCGTCCTCGGCACAGCGAAAGGCCGCCCACGAGACATCCCGCGGGAAAACGTCCCTCCGCCCAGATCCCGCTGAGACCACGCGAGCTCCCGTCACAGCCTCCCACCCAGAGCCAAGGGCTCCGCTGCCACGTCAGACGGCGGGCGGCCTTCAGACTGCCCAGGTGCGGGGAACAAATGGGCTTTTCAAAAGGAAGAAAGAGGAACAAGACTAAAACGCCCGAGGGAGCTGTCCCTCTGTCCCTCAGCACAGACCTACTGTGCGCGTCCCTCCTGCTGGCGCAGCCCGGGTCAGAGCCGGACGTCACGTGAGGGGAGGCCAGAGTCCAGAGGAGTCACGGGGCCTCCAGGCGCCCCCGGCTCAGCCGGGAAACGTGGGCAGACCTCCTCGAGGGGACCTCCAAAACACCCCCACCCCAACTGACAGGAAGCACCTCGCTCCCATGGTGTGAGAGCACCTTTGCCCACCAGCGACTCGGGCCCGGGGCTTCCCTGTGAGTCGCTTAAAAGGGGGACTCGCCATGAAGGGGAACATGTCCCCACTAACCCACACCCCGATCACGCCCTGAGCCTGGGAACAGGTGACGTTTCCGGGAAAGTTACCCGTGCACCCGCCACGCCCCGGCGGCCCTCCTCGCTAAGACACGGTGACACGGACGCCGAGAGCAGAGCAGCGGCTGACCCCATGGACCGCGCCCAGGACTCTGCTCGCAGGGAGGCGGCCAGGGGGCGCCATCCATGGACAAGCCGCGCCAGGCAGCAGAGCAGGGAGGGGGTGGGGGCAGCGCACACGCATACTCACAGGTCCCGCTTGTTGAAGCAGAGCAGCACGCCCAGCAGCGTGAGCAGCAGGAAGGCCAGGCAGACGGGCACCACGATGGCCTCGATCTCCCCCTGGGCTGGAACGAGAAGGAGAGATGGCTCCGCCACGCCGAGGACACGCTTCCCACCCCGGCCTCAGGCCGAGCATCAGACCCGCCTCAGACCCAGACCTACAGGGAGGCCAGGCAGGGCTTTGGGCACCCTGAGCACAGCGCCCAGTGGAAGTGTGCCTTCAGCAGACAACCCCACTGTGCGCTGGCTAGGCTGCAGGCGCATGTGCCGTGTGCACAGGGAGGCAGGTATGCGTGGGACACACTGCTGTAAGCCTCGCCTTACGGCCGGGGCTGGCAGTGAGCCCAGGTCTCTGAGGCCTGGGCTCCTGGGAAGATGCGCCCATCCCCCATGTCCATCTTTCCTCACTTCACCGTCAGCCCCATCCCTCCACGAGGCGCACAGCCGGCTGCCCCACGACAGCCAAATGCTGCTGGCGGGAGGGGGAGGAGAGGAGGGCAGCCCCTGACCTTCTTCCCGCTGATGGCGCCCTCCCTGCCGGGCTGCCGGGAAGCTGGAGTCTGTGACGGAGCCACACGTGGCCCCGGGACCAGACCACGAGCCCTCCCTCTTTCCAGGAGGAGCTCTGCGGGCCGCGGGGTCAGGAGGGCCCAGGGCACGTGCGAGGAGGAGCTGTCTGAGCTGCCGCCCTCGCCCAGGCCTCCCGTCCGCACGCGGAGGGCCATGGTGGGACGCTCCCGCTGAGGCTGTTACAGACGGGCCGGGGTGGTCTGGTGGAGTCCCCCAGGCCCGCTCAGGGGCTTTACGGGAAAAGGTCCGAGTGAAAGGATGAGTGTGGTCGGCCATAGCATGAACAGAGGGAGCGGGTTTTGGGAACAGAGGGAGGCTGAGGTCCTGGCAGATCAGAGCCCGCCCAGCACAGAGCTCCCGAGAGCAGCTTTCCCAGTGACCGGGGGAGGCGGCGGGGAGGCGCGGGGGGGGGGGGGGGGGGGGGGCGGGGGGCACAGGGCTACCTGGGAAACAAAGGGCCGGAGGAACCAAGGGAAGAGGGATTTTGAGGACGGAGAGGCCATGGGAGTCAGACCAAGGAGCAGGAAGATCAGGGACAACAGAGGCACAAAGACCAGGCCAGGAAGGCCTCCTGAGTGACAGCCGGGGGCAGGAAGTGGGTGTCGGAATGGGAAGCGGGTGTCGGGGGCAGGAGGCGGGTGTTGGGGGCGGGGGGCTGGTGTCGGGGTGGGAAGGGGGTGTTAGGGGGCGGGAGACGGGTGTCGGGGGGCTGAAGGCGGGTGTCGGGGGGCAGAAGGCAGGTGTCGGGGCGGGAGGCGGGTGTCGGGGGGCGGGGGGCCGGGGTCGGGGGGCAGAAGGCAGGTGTCGGGGGGCAGGAGGCCAGTGTCGGGGCGGGAAGTGGGTGTCGGGGGGCGGGGGGCCGGTGTCGGGGCGGGAAATGGGTGTCGGGGGGCGGGGGGCCGGTGTCCATGAAGCCAGTGCTGCAGGGTGAGTGGGGACGGGGCAGACCAGGCCCAGCACAGACAGATGAACCACAAAGAAAGGCGCCCAGGTTTGGGGAGTTTTTAAGGTCCAGGTGAAACCGGACAAAAACAATGAATAAACCAAGGAAGAAGGCAGGAAACCGTTTCTCTCGTTTAAAGAAACAGATAGAGCAGATCCCGGCCCAAAGGCCTATTCCTGAACTCGGTCCCAAGAGGCACCTAACAGGCCCCAGCAGCCTCGTCCCCGGTCGGGCTGAACGGGAAGGGCCTCGCCCGCTCTCACCGAACTTGGGGGTGGTGAAGGTGAACTCGGGGCCGTACTTGCCGCCCTCGTCCGTGTAGGCCGCCATGCGCACCATGTAGAGCGTGTCGCTCGTCAGCGAGGACAGCGTGTACTCCGTGTGGGAGGAGTCCACGTTCACGGCTGGAAGAAACACGGCCCGTCAGCTGCTGGGGCTCTGCTCCCGGGGACAATGTCCGACAGCAAAAGTGTCAGAAGGAACCGAGTGCATTTCACCCCAACAGCTTCCCGGAGGGGGCGGCCTGGGCGCCCGTGTCTGCCGGAGGGACCCCGGCCCCCGCAGGGCAGCAGCAGCAGGAGGGGAGGCGGAATCGGACCCCGCCAGGCGCCTCACCGGTCTCGTTGCCCGCGCTGGTCTTGTAGAAGATGGTGTAGTTCCGGATGAAGCCGTTCTGCTCGTCCACTGGCAGCTGGTCCCACGCCAGCACGGCCTCGTTCTTCCCCACCTTCTTGGTCCGCACGACGGGGCCCGAGGAGGGCGCTGGGGGAGGAACGGCCGTTCAGACGGAACGCCACGGGGGTCTGGTGACGTTTCCCCATCGCAGCCCCGGGATGGAGGCAGCCCCCGGGGTGGAGGCAGCCCCCGGGGTGGGGCGGGGTGGGGCGGACGGGGAGAGGCGGGGGCGGACGGGCAGAGGCGGGGCGGGGGGGGGGGGCGGGGGGGGGGGGGGCGGGGGGGGGGGGGCGGATGGGGAGAGGCGGGGGGCGGGCGGGGAGAGGCGGGGAGGGGTGGACGGGGGAGAGGCGGGGCGGGGGGGCGGACGGGGGAGGGGGGGCAGATGGGGCGGGGCGGGGGGGCGGACGGGGAGAGGCGGGGGGGCGGACGGGACGGGGCGGGGGGGCGGACGGGGCAGGGGGGCAGATGGGGCGGGGCGGGGGGGCGGACAGGGAGAGGCGGGGGCAGGGGGCGGACGGGCAGAGGCGGGGGCGGACGGGACGGGGCGGGGGGGCGGACAGGACGGGGCGGGGGGCGGACGGGACGGGGGGGGCAGATGGGGCGGGGCGGGGGGGCGGACGGGGAGAGGCGGGGGGGGGCGGACGGGGAGAGGCGGGGGCGGGGGGCGGACGGGCAGAGGTGGGGGGAGGGGTCGGACAGGGAGAGGCGGGGGGCGGACGGGCAGAGGCGGGGGGCGGACGGGGCGGGGCGGGGGGCGGACGGGGAGGGGCGGGGGGCGGACGGGAGAGGCGGGGGGGTGGACGGGGGAGAGGCGGGGGGGGGCGGACGGGGCGGGGCGGGGGGGCGGACGGGGGAGAGGCGGGGGGGGGCGGACGGGGCGGGGCGGGGGGGCGGACGGGGGAGAGGCGGGGGGGGGCGGACGGGACGGGGCGGGGGCGGACGGCACTCACCGGCCTGCTTCAGGTACGCCCGCACGGCCTCGGCGGCCCCCGGCCCGTCGCCGTACACCGGGGTGACGGTGATCAGGTAGCAGGTGCTCTCGGCCAGGCGCCCTGCGGGGAGAAGCGGGTGAGGCCGTTTCTCCTGCGACGGGAACGCCCGGCCCCACGGCCCAGGCTCCACCGCCACTTCCTGACCCCGAGCTTCCGGCTGAACCGGCAGCTGCCGAAGGGCCCCGACTGGGCCGCGCTCAAGAGGTGCCTGCTTGTGAGGGTCAAAGGTCACCCTCGCTGTCCGGGGGTGGGGAGGAGGGAGCACACACACTGGGAGCAGTGGGCAAAGCGTTGATGCCGTCAGGAGTGAGGACGGCAATAGTCCGGAGTGAGGCCGCTGAGCTCTCGGCACCGGAATCTGCCTCCTAGCCCGACGATGTGTCTGTCGGTGAGCCTGCTGCCTGAGCCAGGCCCACATGGTCGGGCGACTCGGAAAGAGTCGGGGTCATTTCCCCAGAAAGCACCCCATTTTACAAAGAGAAGTGATCCTGACTCCACCCTCTGGAACCCCCCAGGCGAGCGGCTGCTGCTCTGCCACCTGGTGACTAGCAGGGAGCAGGGAGCACACACAGGAGCACACACACATACAGGGAGCACACACAGGAGCAGGGAACACACACAGGAGCAGGGAGCACACATACAGGGAACACACACAGGAGCAGGGAGCACATAGGGAACATACACAGGGAGCAGGGAGCACGCATAGGGAGCAGGGAGCACACACAGGAGCAGGGAGCACACACACAGGGAGCACACACACAGGAGCAGGGAGCACACACACAGGGAACACACACACGGAGCACACACAGGAGCAGGGAACACACATAGGAGCAGAGAGCACACACATAGGAGCAGGGAGCACACACAGGAGCAGGGAGCACATACACAGGAGCAGGGAGCACACACACAGGGAACACATACAGGGAACACACACAGGAAGCAGGGAGCACGCATAGGGAGCAGGGAGCACACACAGGAGCAGGGAGCACACACACAGGGAGCACACACACAGGAGCAGGGAGCACACACAGGAGCAGGAACCGAACACCTGGCTGTGCTGAGCCCTGGCCGCCCCCAGGACCACCCTCTGGGGCCGAGGGCGGGTGGGAGGAGCCGGCCTGAGGTCAGGCCAGAGGCCGCAGGTACCTGTGAGGTGGGTGCGGTGCACACTGCCGTCCTCCTGCTGCCAGTCGGGGACGCAGGGTGCCTTGTCAGACAGCGCGCACCACTCCAGGATGTACTTGCTCACAGGCTCGCGGGGGGCGCTCCACTCCACCCACAGCCGGTTGTCTTTGGGAAACGCTTTAAGGTCCCTCACGGGGCGAGTAGCTTCAAAACACAACGTGGACAACACGGTGGTAAGTAAACATTTAAACATTTAAAATACCGATATTTTGCATTCATTTCCATAACCGTGCAATGTATCTTGCTATCATTTTTGTAGCATATATGTTATGTTGTAACATTAGCATGTATTTCCAAGAACAAATGCACTTCGTTGTAATTTACACGTAGTCACTGTATTAGACCCTTCTTTTCCCAGATGTTCTGTGTGGGCCAATTATAATTTTTCTTCTCGGAAAGCTACCGACAACAAATGTTTAAGTTGTGTGCTCATCAGGTCCCAGAGCTTCAGTGACGTGACAGAACGAGGGAGCACATGGCCAGCGAAGGCCGGCGGGCGGCTGGCAGCCATGCCCAGGCGGGCAGCTGGCTAAGGGAGCCGAGAGGGAGGTCAGAGCGCTGTGTCCTCACGGCGCCCCTCCCCCGAGCCCTTGGGAGCCAGGCCCTCGGACACCCACCTGCAAAGTCACAGGCGGGGATGGTGAGCACGGTGGCATCCGAGGTGCCGACCAGGTTCCTGGCGGTCAGGGTTGCTGTGTAGCGATCGCTGGTGAGGTTCACCGTCAGCTTCGTGTCCCTGACCGTGTAGTTTTGTGACCGTGATTTCCACCTTGTGAGAGTCACTTGGTAATCCAAGATCTTCCCGTTGGCTTCAAATGGAGGCAGGGTCTGTAAGACACTTCATGTCAGAGCATGTTCCCTGCAGGGTCTGTAAGACACTTCATGTCAGAGCGTGTTCCCTGCAGGGTCTGTAAGACACTTCATGTCAGAGCGTGTTCCCTGAGGCCAGACCAGAGCTGACTCGCCGTGTGCTGCCCTGCCAGCAGGCTGGACCTCAGTGCTCACTGATGGGCCAGGCCTCCGTGCCCTCTTCACCGTGGGGGCAGGAGCACCGCCCACGGGCGAGGCGAGGCGGAAGGGCCGAGGGCAGTGTAACGTCCGTCCCGTGTTTTTCTGCCTTTTTCAGGGTGATTGAGACTCGGCCCCTGTCCTCACAGGCATTCTCCCCGCTCCGCCCCCTCCCGCCCCGCGGAGGCCTCACCAGGCTCTCGCTGCGGCCTGAGCCTGCCCTCGCCAGCAGGTGCAAGGGCGGGGCTCCGTGTGGGGTGCTGCTCAGCGCGCTGAAGGGCGGTGAGCGGAGTGGAAGCTACGGCCCCCCTTGTCACACCCCCACGACGCACGGGCTCCGGAGCTGGAGAAAGACGTGGCCTGCTCACCTTCCACATGAGCTGCACCGACCGGGAGCCGTGAGCAGGCGCAGGCTCCACCTTGTACCAGAAGCTCGGGGCCTTGGATGGTCCTAAAGGAATGACACGCACCTGCTAAGCGTCTTATTGTCACAGAGACAAAGCCTGGAGCGCACTCCCTCTTGTTACCATCCCCACCCTCCAGCCCGTCCCTCCCTTACACGGCCCGTCCCTCCCTCACACGGCCCATCACCACCCGTCTGGCCGGGAGCCGGGGTCGGGGGAGTGGGGCCTGAGGAGTCAGTGACATGGAGGCTCCTGTAATCTCAGAGCCATGAGGCCACAGACAGCCCTAAGAGTCCCATGTAAGCCCTGTCTACACGTGCGCGTACGGCCCCCATGACACACATGAGACTGCGAGACGAGTTAGAACAGACGGAGTCTCTCTGGGGACCACCGGTGCGGTAAGAAGTAACTCAAATGAGCTCACGGACAGCCACCAGCACTGGAAACCAGCGTTTTACAAAACAGAGCCAAGTGCCAGGAGGCAGGCTTTCCCATCCCCGTGGGCTGCCCGACTCAGACACACGGGGATGAATGTGAGTGGAAAGCATGGCTGTCAGCAGAGTTTCAGGAGGATCTGAACCAGTCTAAGCGATGCTGTGCGGACCAAACCCAGAGAGAAGGCCCCGAGGCTGGGAGCTGCCTGGGGTGCACGGGGCCTATCCACAGCAGACAGCGCAGTGCAGAGGTGACACCCAGAACCCGTCTGGGCTGGGGGTGGTCCCTCAGCAGCACCCCGAGGCGCAGTCCTCGGCTCCGGGGCTCCAGAGAGCACACGTGCGGTCCACCAGTCTCCTGCCCAGGACTGCTCCTGCCGCTGCGGTGGGTCAGTGGCCGGGGACACCTCCGTACGTCCTGCCCACTCCTCCCACAGCGCCTCCCCACACAGTGTGGACACCAGGCCACGGCCCACTCCTCCCACAGCGCCTCCCCACACAGCGTGGACGCCAGCCCACTCCTCCCACAGCGCCTCCCCAGACAGCGTGGACACCAGCCCACTCCTCCCACAGCGCCTCCCCTCGCAGCGTGGACACCAGGCCACTCCTCCCACAGCGCCTCCCCACTCAGCGTGGACACCAGGCCACGGCCCACTCCTCCCACAGCGCCTCCCCTCGCAGTGTGGACACCAGGCCACGGCCCACTCCTCCCACAGCGCCTCCCCTCGCAGTGTGGACACCAGGCCACGGCCCACTCCTCCCACAGCGCCTCCCCACACAGCGTGGACACCAGGCCACGGCCCACTCCTCCCACAGCGCCTCCCCTCGCAGCGTGGACACCAGGCCACTCCTCCCACAGCGCCTCCCCCCGCAGCGTGGACGCCAGGCCACTCCTCCCACAGCGCCTCCCCACTCAGCGTGGACACCAGCCCACTCCTCCCACAGCGCCTCCCCACTCAGCGTGGACACCAGCCCACTCCTCCCACAGCGCCCCCCCACACAGCGTGGACACCAGGCCACGGCCCACTCCTCCCACAGCGCCTCCCCACACAGCGTGGACACCAGGCCACGGCCCACTCCTCCCACAGCGCCTCCCCTCGCAGCGTGGACACCAGGCCACTCCTCCCACAGCGCCTCCCCTCGCAGCGTGGACGCCAGGCCACTCCTCCCACAGCGCCTCCCCACTCAGCGTGGACACCAGCCCACTCCTCCCACAGCGCCTCCCCACTCAGCGTGGACACCAGCCCACTCCTCCCACAGCGCCTCCCCACACAGTGTGGACACCAGGCCACGGCCCACTCCTCCCACAGCGCCTCCCCACACAGCGTGGACACCAGGCCACGGCCCACTCCTCCCACAGCGCCTCCCCTCGCAGCGTGGACACCAGGCCACTCCTCCCACAGCGCCTCCCCTCGCAGCGTGGACGCCAGGCCACTCCTCCCACAGCGCCTCCCCTCGCAGCGTGGACACCAGCCCACTCCTCCCACAGCGCCTCCCCACACAGTGTGGACACCAGGCCACGGCCCACTCCTCCCACAGCGCCTCCCCACGCAGCGTGGACACCAGCCCACTCCTCCCACAGCGCCTCCCCACACAGTGTGGACACCAGGCCACGGCCCACTCCTCCCACAGCGCCTCCCCACACAGCGTGGACACCAGGCCACGGCCCACTCCTCCCACAGCGCCTCCCCTCGCAGCGTGGACGCCAGGCCACTCCTCCCACAGCGCCTCCCCTCGCAGCGTGGACGCCAGGCCACTCCTCCCACAGCGCCTCCCCACTCAGCGTGGACACCAGGCCACTCCTCCCACAGCGCCTCCCCTCGCAGCGTGGACACCAGGCCACGGCCCACTCCTCCCACAGCGCCTCCCCACGCAGCGTGGACACCAGGCCACGGCCCACTCCTCCCACAGCGCCTCCCCTCGCAGCGTGGACACCAGCCCACTCCTCCCACAGCGCCTCCCCACTCAGCGTGGACGCCAGGCCGGGGCTGCCTTAGCTAGGCTACCAACACGTACACTACGGCTGAGAGCCTGTGTTTGAGTGAAATGGTCACTAGCCGACAAGGAGGCCGTGGCCCCGCAGCCCAGGCGGGCGCCCGCGCGGCAGCACAGGTCACTCACGGTCCTCGTAGGTGGTCCCCCGCGCCTCCTCGCTCCAGTCGCTCCAGAAGCCCTGGCCGTCCTCCTTCATGCAGCGCAGCCGGAACACGTACTCGGTGAAGGGCCGCAGGTCCTGGACCGTGAAGGAGGAGCGGGTGGACGCCGTGTCTTCCAGAGGAACCTGGAGCAGAGAGACAAACCCCGCGGCGTCAGGACCGATGGCAGGTAACTAACGAACAGCCTGGGGTGTGAACGGGGGCTCGGGAGAAGTCAGTCCAGTCCGAAAGCAGCTGACGCTGGGACGCAGCCACTTCCACTGTCAGCCCTTCCTCCGGGGTCAGACTTAGAATGACAACAGCCAGCACAGGGGCCTGGCGAGAACGGGTCGGAATTGTACCGTCTTTCTGTCAGACAGGATGTGCTGCAGAACCGCGGGGAGTGCCGGTACCTGGGTCCAGGCTGCGGTGCCTCGGGCCCGGTACTGGATGTCGTACTTGAGGGTGATGAACTTGTTGATGCTGGGGTTGACCCAGCTCAGCTTCAGGATGCTGGACAGCTCCTCCGAGCTGCTGACGGACACGTTCCACGGGGGGACGGGCTTCACTGGAGGAGGAAACGAGCCTCAGGCCCCCGGCTTCTGCACACCCGCCCTCTCTCCTCTCACAGCCCGGCCTGGCCCCCTCAGTCCGATCGTCACACCCGAGGAAGGAGCAGTGTCCTTTCCATCTTTTCAGCTCAGAGATCAGAGAACGGCAAATATGACAACATGCAGAACTTTTAAACAAGCCGGACACCACACACGCACACATACGCACACACGCACACACACACACACCATGACCATCTCCTGTGAGAACACCCGGAGGTCACAGGCCTGTGGGGCCAGCTGTGGGTGTGCTGGGACGACGGGCACTTTGCTTTGTCCAAACTATGTTATTTTTAACAACAAAATGAACCGGCCAAAGTGACCAAAACCTAGACTCCTTCAGCTACCGCCACGGCGAGCGCGGCCAGGCTACCTCTGTCCACGGGGTCGAAGTTCATGTGCTCGGACGTGGCCGCCCCCAGGGCGTTGCGCGCCTCCACCCAGACCTCTATGTTGACGAAGTACACGGTCTGGTACTCCACGGTGCACACGGTGGGGCTGCCGCGCTTCGTCTGACAGTCCGGGAACTTGTCCGTGGCCCTGAGTACACACGTGGAGGGTCGGCATCAGAGGAGACCGGAAACACGAGCGTCTGAAATAACCGGCTGCTAAAACAGACCTCCTTAAAAGCTGACCTGCAGGGGCGGCTACAGGGCTAAGCCTCGGGCTGACCTGGCAGGGCCACAAACAAGTCCCAGCGTGGAGGCAGGGCCCTCTTACGCTGACTAAGCCTGGCCTGAGAGCGCTCCCTGCTCCTGCCTGGGTCCTAACGGCCGGTGGGAGGTGCAGCAGGTGCTGCCAAACAAGGGAAGCTCGCAGGTACACTGCCAGCATGTTTGCTGTGTGCGCTCTGACTATGAACACTCCGCTTGCAGGCCGCAGTGGTCTCTCCACCAGAGAAGCAGCGCCCCACCAGGCCCCAGCTGCATTCTCATCTGTCCAATCCCTCACCGCCCCCTCGGGCTCACCGACCTGCTGTGCTGGAGCGGCACACTGACCTCTTATCTTAAAACACGTCCGATCTGTATCTACACAGAGTTGTTCTCAGACGCCTACTCCATCCAGCATGCCCCTCGGCCCGCCCCTGATCCCCGCTCCTCCCCGCCGCGCGCTCAGTGCCGCTGCTCTCCCTTCATGCACAGTCCTCCGGCTGCACAGTCCTCCCGGCCGGCGGCCTCTGCGCAGGGGGCACGGGGAGGGGTGCGGACAGGGTTTGTGTTACCCAGACGAGCCCCGGCCCGCCAGGCAGGCCAGGTGACCGCTCTCAGACCTCTGTCTCCACAGGAAGTTCAGGTGGTTTCTCCCCTCACTCACATTTACATTATGCATCCATGAAGAAAACGTACATGTGCTTGTTGTTTCTTAAAGTGAAAGTATAAACCCAAACCGAGGAAAAGCACCAACTGAAACGTGACGACAGCGCTCAGGTAGCGTCAGGCACACTTGGGTGTGACGGTGGAATGTAAAGTGTCTGTATCCTTTAGAAACATGACTAGAATAGTCACGGATGTGTAACGTGACCTCAGACCAGCTGGGGGGTGTACACATAAGGCACATGCCGAGAGCTGCCGTCACTAAAGCGGGGCGGTGGCACACAGATTCATTACACGACCCCTCCCCCTCTCACGCTTCCGATGTTTTAACGCTGAAGGTCCAATAAAGTGTTTAAAACCTGCATTTGACGTTCCTGCTGGACAAATACAACCCCGCACCGCCCGACCTCACACACGGGGACAGCCGGACCAAGGACTTGCCATTCGGACTTGAGGGTGAAGTTCGTGTCCAGGTGCGTTTCCCGCCCCGGGTCCCACTGGCACGTCATCCTCTTCCCCTCGTTCACAATGCAGCTCAGGTTCGTGGGCTTCTCCGGAGGCACTGGGAGGGGAAGGGAGTGACTGTCAGACGCCCGCGTCCACCACCAGCACGCATTCACACCCGCCGAACAGGGGCTCCCTGAGCGCAGAGCACCGCGTCCCCAGAGCGCCCTCTGGAGGCAGTGTGTGCGCCTCGGCGAGAGGAGACAGGCGGAGACACGCGTTCACCGGGCTCTCTCCCTCCGCCCTTCTGGTGGGGGCGGAAGCAGAGCCAAGGGCAGGTGGCAGACCCGGCCTCAGCGCCTCCTGCCAGCTCACCTGCCTGGACACAGACTCCTCCCACTCTCACTCCCCTGCTCAGGCGCTCGCTCACTGCAGGTGACTCTGAACCAACTCGCAGGTTTAACTCGACAAGCCTCCTCTGGGAGGAGGGCCTCTCCTGTCAGGGGACTTTTCCGTAAACGACAGCCCAGGGTTTCAGGGGTTCTGCATGTTGGTAATGACACTGTGGCTCCGCTCCTAAGCTTGTTTTTAAAAGGCACTGGCCGGACGAGGCCTGTATCTCCTCAGACTCCCGCACACACGCACACGCAATCCCGGGGACTGAGCACTCACGGCCGGAGAGGACGCGGACGCCGTACACGTTCTGGTCGATCTGCCCGAACGCGTGGACGTTGCAGGTGAGCTGGGTGCTGAGCAGGCCGACGTCGGCGAAGGTGACGCTGGCCGCCGTGCGGTTCAGGACGGTGTACTGTGCGCGGGGCACCGTCTCGTGGTTGGTCTTCCAGAAGATGTAGGAGGCGTTGACGTGGAAGTAGTCCATGCACTTCTCCCGGAGCACGCAGACCGCCGTGAAGTTAGAGCCGAGCCGCACGACCGGAGCCTCGGGGACGATGTAGCCGCAGGGATCCAGGAGTTCCCCTGGACAAGCAAAGGCGCACGTGGTGCGGCTGCGTCTCCCCGGCTGTGGCCTGGCCGCCCGTCACCTGCCCGGGACACCGCCCGGGACCCCAGGGCAGCGCTCCGGGCACAGCCTCTACCAGGGGTCCTCAAACTGTTTAAAGTGGGGGCCAGATCACGGTCCCTCAGAGAGCTGGAGGGCCGGACTATATGAACTACTAATTCCTACTGTAACACCTCGGCTGCGCTCACTGCCCAAAAAACCTGGCGGGCCGGATCAGACTCCTCTGCAGGCCGCCTGATCTAGACTAAGGGGACAGCAACATAAACTTAACTTCGAGTTAAAGAACAGACGATATGACCAGGGAGTCAGTAGTTTTAACCACGCAGAACGAGAGTGATAGGAGAAATGGGGAATGTTCACGTTTCCAGAGAGAAACAAGGCGTAAAAGCCCCTTCCCAGGTAACCCCGTTTTCACAGGCGCCCGCTCCCGGAGACCAGATTGTAGAAAGCGGCTTCCACTAAGAAAGGCACGGATACAGCAGCCGGGTGCCCTGTGGGAGGGTGGGAACGTGGGCTGGAACACGCAATAGCACACGTTAGAGGGAACATGAGGACACGGCTGGCACTCGCCGCTGCAGGTCCAAACAGATCAATGCTGAGCTGGCTGGTGGCCCAGGGTCAACTCGCTGACCCAGGAGGTCAGAGGCGGCGAGCAGTCTGTCCAAAAACAGCTGCCGCCTCCCCCTCGGTTCTGCGCTGCCCACACCTGCCCCGTCGCAGGGTGTGCCACTGACTTCCAGGCCGGGCCGTGCAAACACCACCTCCTCAAGCACGCCTCTCCTCGTGGCCCTGCCCTGGAGCCGGGGTGCGTGCGGGTGCCCAGCCCACGGGGAGACACGTGCCACCAAGCCCTGCCGCAGCACCTGGCAGGCCGTGCAGCGTGCAGATGGGCCGTGCTGCTGTGGAGGCTCTGCGCCTGGCGGCCCTCTGACGCCCGTCCCACCGCGGCTCCAGCCTCAGCGTCAGGTGAAGCGACAGCTGACGGGTCTCCTAATCCTTCATTTAAAAGCAGTCTCCCTTCCCACCGACAGCCGTTGTTACTGAGCCCACAGCGTCCCACTTCGTAAATCACCGAGGCAACGTCCTCGCAGCCGCGGCGCTCGGAGGATAAGCCGGAGCCGGCGCTGTGATCTGCGGTGAGAACGCCTGCCGGGCTGGGGGGCCCTGGGCACTTACCCATGCAGGCCGCCATGAACAGCAGCAGCAGGGCGGGCAGCGTCCGCGTCCACGGGGCCGACATGGTGCGGGCGAGTCTGTAAGAGAACGGAACATCACTGTCACTCCTCCGGCACCTTCCCCAGCCTCCTGCTCCCCCAGCCCGCTCTCTAAAAGGGGCAGAAGACAGCCGGGTCTCTGCTGTCCTCCCGAAGTTACCGCTACGTCAGCGGAGTGGGAGCCGGCCGTGTGGCTCCACGGCTGTGCGCTGGCCCAGGACCCAGAGGTTCCAGTTGGACTCCCCGTCAGGACACGCCCGGGTTGCAGGCTCGATCCCCAGTGGGAGGCATGCAGTGGGCAGCCAGTTAGTGATACTTCTCTCTCATCAATGTTTCTCTCTCTCCCCCTCCCTCCCTCTAAAAATCAATAAGAATGTTACAAACAGAGCTGGAAAACGACTCCTCCTCAGGTGAGTGAGAAGGCGCCTGTTCTTTTAGGAAGTCCTCTGAGGGAGCATTGGAGACGCGTGTCTGCTGGCAGACCCATCAGAACCGCCTCAAGCTCCCTGCACAGAGGAAAAAGCCGGGACGCACAGCATGACCACCCCCCACCCCCAATACACGAGGACGCCTACACATCCCTGAGATCCCCAGGAGACAGACAGCCAAGGGAGCCCAAGAGGCAACGCACAGGAAAGGAAATACAAGTAACTCACAGATGCGATGGCACACACACCCCGTCACAGCAAAGAGAAAGGGCCCCTGCCCAGGATGCTCTGGGAAGCAGCCTGCAGCCCTGCACCAGGCAGAGCCCCTCCTGAGACCCGCCTCCTCGCCAACACCGCACGGCGGAGCGAGGGCACCTCCCCACGCTGAGCTCAGGGCAGCTCCCCACAGTGGGCGCTGTCCTGGACACTGAGTCGCTGCGGTGAGGTCGGACCACGCACATCTACTCCGGAACGGGACCCACGTGACAAGGGCAGGCAGGTGCAGACCAGCACGCTGCAGTGCACAGCCAGGCACAGAGGCCGGGTCAGAGGGCGTCCCGGGGGAGGGGGCGTCCCGGGGGAGGGGCGTCCCGGGGGAGGGGGTGTCTCGTGGGAGGGGGCGTCTCGAGGGAGGGGGCGTCCCGGGGTAGGGGGCGTCCCGGGGGAGGGGGCGTCCCGGGGGAGGGGGCGTCCCGGGGGAGGGGGCGTCTCGGGGGAAGGGGCGTCCCGGGGGAGGGGTCCTCTCTGGGGACGGGGTATCTCGGAGGAGGGGGCGTCTTGAGCAGAGGGCCAGTAAGCATTCTGGGAGGTGGGGCGTGTTCTGGGCGTGATGGATGCTGGTGCACCACGAGCTCGCACGCGCGCTTTGTGGACATGGGAGGTGCAGTCATGAAACAGTAACAACGAACACCAGTGTCCGACACACCCTCCCTGTGCGGTGAGAACAGACCCTGTGGTGACTCAGGCCCTCGCACCAGCCACCGTGCCAGCGGCACAGCCTCCCAGAGCCGTTCAGCTGAGACGGCACATCACAGTGAGTGATTCACAACAACCCAATTAAACAAACCTGCGGCACGGGACCGATCACAGCTGCACACCGACGGCTGAACCTGGCATTGCACCGAGAGGCGTGTGCCAGCCACGACGGCCGGTCATTCACGAAAGTCCGGGACAGACCGAAGCCACCTGCGATTCTGCAAAGTGCCCGGTGAAGCCGGGCACACGCAGCCCAGGGCACACGCAGCCCAGGAGGGGCCTGCATGCGCAGCCGTGTCAGCTCTCACAACACGTTAGCACAGAGCGCGTTTGTCACGTGTGCACAAAGCGACAGGAGAGAGATCAGACCACACGAACTTCCTTCCTTCCTTCCGTGCGCAGAGACTCCACTTGGACACTGGCGGAGGCTAGGTGGGAGGCGCCCCACCCGCCCTGCCACGCCCCATGTCCTCCCTCTGACGCAAGCACGGTCCAAAGTAAACAGTTTACATTGGAAAAGGCTCTTCTCCCAAACGAAGCTGCCCCTCCCCGCTCACAGCCTCCCCATCCGCACGGCAGCCCAGCCGCTCACAAAGCTACTCCACAGCCGCGCGCTGACTGACTGACAGGTGCAGGAGAGGCCACTCCCCCGACTCCTTCCTCATTCCCCACGATCACCTCACGCGCGTTCCTGGAGCGCAGAACACGCGAGCAGGGGGCAGCCCCACGGCAGGGCTCCGTGGCTGTGGGCGCCGCGCCCACCACGCGCCACGCTCGGCCAGGATGCTGCAGAGCCACCTCTCCGTTCTGAAAGGACGGCCAGGAGAGGTGGGGGCGGAGGGAGACACGCAGCACCGCTGCGCTCGGACCTGCTGTAACGGCGGAGGGGCCAGGACTGCTCCTTCCTCCGCCTCGCACCCTGGACGCAACGTTCCCCTGAAGCTGCCATCAGCGCCCCTCTCCCCGCCTCTCCTGCAGAGCGTCTAGTCCCGTGGCCGGAAGCCATGGTTTGCCGCTCTGTTGACTAATGAGTTTGTCAGCCACTGGTATAGTCTGTATTACTAAAAGGGCAATATGCTAATTAGACCAGACATCTTCTGGACATCGTTCGGACAAAGCCACGGTGGCAGGGGCTGAGGCAGAAGCGGTTAGGGGCGATCAGGCCGGCAGGGGAGAGCAGTCAGGGGCGATCGGGCTGGCAGGGGGGAGCATTTAGAGGATAAGAGAGGGTGCAGGCTGAGGGACGCTCCCCCCACACCCCACATGAACTTCGTGCACAGGGCCTCTCGTCTAATTATAACAGTGCTGCACACACGCTCCCCGAGACCTGCACAGGCTCTCAAAAGCTGCTCTGAAGCTGAAGCGGACTCCTGCCGGACCTGGGGAGCTCTGCTCCCAGCACCGACGGCCGGCCCGGCCACGCTGAGGCAGCTGGAGACACAGCACCTCGGCTAGGACTGAGTGACATATCAGAAGTTAAATTTATAACAATGACGTGTTATGAGGCAAAGAAATACGTATTTTTAAATTTTCAAATAAAAAGAAATGGAAAAACGTCAAGTGAAAATTCTCTATAATCCACCAAGGTAACAACTGAGCAATTTCGTGGGTAATCTTGCAAATTTCCCGTTCTTTTTATTTCTTCGTGCTGCACTGCTACAGCTATTGTGGTCGGAGGACCCCAAACATAAAACTCACCCCCTCCCATCTGCCTCTCGCAGCTCAGCGTCTTCTCTCTACATTACCCTCGTGTCATTTCATGTTCCACACGTGAGGGAGATCGCACGGCTTCCAGACGACGCCCGGAGCACAGCGCCCGCAGGCCACCTCTGTCATCACCAACGCAGGCTCCCTTCTCTTCACCCAGAGTCCACACGCACCTTCCCATCCCCGCTGAGGACAGCTCCCGCTGCGGACAGACCGGGTCTTGGCTTTGTAAGTAACACTGAACACAGGGGCGCGGATCTTGTCAACTGCCCACGTGCATAACCTTACATTCCGTAACAGGCACTTCTTTGTTTTATACAAACGGGGTCACAATAGTAAACACTAGTTCCTACAGCTTTGTTCACACTCACCTCCTCACCCGGGCTCCCTGCCAGCCGCGCTGCTCACACTCCCCCCATCTTTTCCTCCGTCGCCCAAGCACCTTCTCACATGGGGCAAGCAGGTCCTGGGAAGGGCCCGGCAGCACACAGGTCAGGCTCCGAGGGCCTCCCCTCTCCTGCAACCAGGCCCTCTGCCACGGGAGTGCTAACGGGGCCACAGACAACGTGTAGACACGGGGCACGGCCGAGTCCCAATAAGACTTTTACCAAAACTCACGTGAACCCATGCATGGACCTACATGTAAAACCCAAAACTTCGAGAAACCTCTGGGAAGTTGTTAGCAAAGATTTCTTAGACACGACACTGATTGATAAATGAGGCTTCATCAAAACGGAGGCTCCTGCTCTTTAAAAAACACGGTGAGAGGATAAAAGACCAGCCACAGATTGGGAGGGAACACTTATAAATCCATTTCCCAACAAAGACCTATTCCAGAACGTGTTTTTACACTAAGAAAACAAACCTAATTAACAGGCGAGCCGCATATCTGAGCAGACTCGTCACCAAGAAGGAAACAGCTAAGAAAACAAACACTGTGTGCTCAGCTCTCCCTCCCGGTACTTTCCAAGAGAAACGAAAGCGACATCCACGCGAGAGCCGGGGCCTGGCTAGACCACAGTCTGTCCGTGCACCGACACGTGAGGCCCATCACGCAGCGGACACGTTCAGTGCTTGCCGTGCCGGTGTGCTGCTGGACCTGGCACATACAGGGGACCAGCCCCGTTCCGGCTGGGGCAGGAGCTCACGGTGAAGTGCTGACTGCCTGGCTGAGCGCACACTCGGGGTCAGACAGCCCGTGTCTCCCCCAGCCCCGGCTGCTGCAGAGCCGCCGGGCGGCAGGGAGCTTCCTCCTATGGCAGACGCAGCTCGGAGGCCTTCCCCCCTGAAGGCCAGGACAGGGAGATGCTGGGGGTCGTCCGTCACTCTGCACCGTCTGGCAGCTTCCTCAAACATACAACAACCAAACGGATGGACATCAAGGGGAGAAAGAAGAGCCCGCAGAGGGTCCTCCATCAGGAATTAGAACCCGGTGCCAGGCTGTCGGGACCAGTGCACGTTCAACGTAACTGCTGCAGGGAAGATCACAAGAAGGACAGCGTGCCTCGACGTCGATAACGATAACAGGAATCAGGAATGTGACAAAAGCCCTGTTCACAGCAGCATCCAGACTCGACTGCGTCCAGGAACACCCCAGCCGGACTACACAGCAGCTTGTGACCAACACGGTGGAGCCTTCCGAGCTTCCTGCGAGCCTGAGCGTCCAGGGGAGGGACATACGGGCAGGGACGTCCTTCTCCTGTTCCCAGTCCAGAGCAATGAGGCCCAAACCCGAACTGCAGAGTGGCTGCGGATTGCACAACCAGCGCAAGATTTCACGGGAAATGCCAGAGAATAGCCCACGCCAGCTCCCAGGAAGAGCAAGCAGCACTGGTGAGGAGACCACCATCTGCTGAACACACTGCTGCCGGCTTTCAGGAACTGAGCCACGGCACTGGCAGGGAAGCAGCAAGCCCTCAGGGTGTGGCT